CATGAATGCCAGGTTTGAAAGTGTGGTTTATTATTTTTGTCTTTGTTAAGGTAAATAGCAGTGAAGCCTCCAGCTGCACATACAACTCCAAAAAACATCATGAACCCATGTATTGTTCCTCGAATCAATCGGTTCCAATTTAAAAATAATGAACTTTGTTGGTTAAACAGCATTATAGCTTCAAACATAAGGAACATCATCTGAAATGAATAATATGAAAGAATTAAAACATCACTTTTATTGCATGTTATGTAGGGAAGACACTATCTTAGATAGTGTCTTCCCTACATAACATGCAATAAATAAATATCTTTCTTAAAACTCTTACAAGAATTAACTAAAAATAAAGGTTGCAAAGAATGGATAACACGAAGTTCTCAATAATATTTTGGTTAAAATATGAAATTTTCTGACCTTTTTTACTATCATTCATATACTTCTAAGGGGAGGCAATGCTCTATTTTTACAGAATATAGATTTTTGAAGTAATGACCAAAAGTACAATTTAAGGTAGATTCATGGTATACCGCCATCTTGGATTGTACAATCGCAGTACACAATCGGTCTAGTTATTTGCCCAAATCTGCAAATTAGGAGACAGATTTGCAATTTATTTGTCACACTGTTTATTTATTTAAAGAAAACTTGGTGATTTATTGTATTATTCAAAATATTCCAACAAATATTGAATTTTGTGTTTTGGAATCATTTTTTTCAACTAAGCCATTTAAGGGGAGATAACTCTTTTAGTAAAAAATTACACTGGCTTGATAGGAAAATTTTTAATTTTTACTTGTAGCAAGAAATCAAGTTCGGTGACACCATTTTTTCTTTTTATTTTCTTAAAACATGTTATAAAACCTATCTTCTCACAATTTATTTCAAAATTCTATCTCATAGATTTCTTTTTATGCAAAGTATAAGAAAATTCTATCTCAAAAAAAATATATACCGATGATCTACCGTAAAAGGCACTCAAGCATAAAATGCTAAATGTTACACAAAAGCTCTGAAGGATTTTGTCTGTCAATCCATCCACAGTTGGAGTGGCCCATGAGCACAGGGTGGGAAAAAATACTGGCTTGTTCCCATTCTATTAAGTAGACATTGCTGTTTCTTATACATCTGTGTTTGAACATATGACTCTTACATGTACTGGTTCAGATTTTATAATCCATTGATAATTTGTATTCAATATTTCTACAAAACAATACCTATAAATTTGAAAGTACACTGTGGGCATATGAAGCCAAAACCACTTGACCTTTAATGTAATTACTGATTGATGTCTTTTTTGGGTTGTGTTGTTGGATTACAGTCTCATTATTGTATACACCACATCTTCTTCATATCATACTAAACTGCATTTTACTATCCTAGAAGAATATTGTACGAGTGGTAAAATATAACTGTTGTTCATGGATGAAATGTAGGTCATACATGTATTAACCATGTGTGTATGGTATTGCACTGTATACAGAATTGTCATATTGAAAAAGTTACAGACATATCATGGGTTTCCTGAGTAATGAACTTAACACAAAAGATTATCAGTCACTAAAGCATAAAGATTAAATGTAGATCAAAGTGACTGAATAATTGTTTCAGGGTTCTCACTAGGGCATTTTGAGGGCGAGTCCTGGGTCTCACCACTTTTTAAAATGCTGAGTCCCAGCTTGTTCTGATTAGTCCATAGTCCAGTTACTTGTTAAATAGTTCTGATCGGAACTGTCTTAATAATCTAACTTTACGTCCTTGAATGGAAGTATCCTTTATATCACTGGATAAGTCAGGTTAATATAGTATATATTTATATGGAAGCAACCAAATCTTTGTACTCCTTTCATTCAAAACACATACAGTATGAATTTTTCTCATTGTTGAAGCCCATATGAGGACTTGTAGTTGTTTACATCCAATAGAAAACAGTTTTCTATTTATGTAGACCTTATTACCGAAAATCTTCTAAAAAAAAAAGAATTTGAACACAACTTTATATAGGTATGTCACATTCAAATTAATTAGGGTATAAAATATGTGAATTTTCATCCAATGTTTCTGTCTAAACACTTTTACACAGATTCAATTGGCCATTTCAGAATCTATAAAGAACTATGGATAATTTTATTGTTCCTACTCCAAAACAAAAACATTGTCACGTCATTGGTTGAATTTCCATTGTTTAGAACCTTTTAAACCAATCACGATGTTTTGGTGTACACTTTAGAAAATATTACCCAGAATGCATAAGATTCTGAAACGGAGAATTAGGATACAAATATATTCAAAATAGTTGTTAACATTTGCACTCAATTCTAGAATAAAACAAACCATTTAGACTGTAGAAAGATATTCAACCTTTCCTTCACATTAGTACATTTAGTACAAGATGTAGACTATTATTAAACTGCATTTTTGATTCTGGTAATATTTTTTTTTAATTCATTCAAGCCAATTTCAAGGCAATCAGTATCTTTAAAATTACTTACAGCTATTGTCATTAGTGTAGGATGCCATGAAAATAGACCTGAAATTTAAAAAAATCATATTCTGAATCATCTAAAAAATAAAAACATGCAGTATCAAAAAATTTGATTACCGGGTATTACAAAATCAAATGAATGATAAACCATAAAATCAGAAGATCACAGATAATCCCTGAATTAGAGGGCATTCCCTTTCTTGAGGTTTAATTTTTTTCATCACAGCTTTTCAATTATAAAGTTTGCATATTCATGGTAACTTTATGCTCCTCTGCAGTTCAATACATATTACTGATGTCACTTGAAATCACCAATACATGTATTTCTTGTACTGCAGAGGAGCATTAGGTTTAATTTTGAAAGTTATGCTCCTATGCAGTATGTAACTGTTTAGTGCATATTTGTGATTTTTAAGTGAAAAATTAGTCTGAGGAGGAGCACACTTTTTTTTAATTTATGAACAATATGACAATGTGTTTAAATTATCTGATAATTAAACCTCTCTTTTTGTTGCAAAATAGCAAAATGTCACTTGCATGTTTCTTTTTTTATGAGAATCTATAATTCAGTCGATAGATACAGAAGTGAAGGTACATGTAACTGCCTTAATGGTGTTGTCAGCTATAAAATATCATAATCACTTTAAAATCAGAGCATGAGCGACCCTCTGTTCCGGTAGATAAGGGGATTTAAAGACTAAGACTGAGGTGCTTAAACAAAACAAAACAAAATTTAAAGTGCCCAGATGACCATGGGCCTCACATGTATTAATCAACCTTCAGGTAGTCTAATGATGGACATATAGGGCCATCATATTGGATATGAATTTTAAGGCCACCATTTATCAGAATATGTCCCAGGCTGTACTGCACTTTCGGTTTCATTTATAACCCTAATGTACATGATTCAGAAATTCTGTTTTCAATTTCAATTTAATTTTTGAATAGATGACATAGTATTGATCTGGTAACTTTAAACAGATACAATAACATGAATAATAATGAATATTTGTTTTCGCCTTATGCTGTGACTAAAATTGAGAATGGAAATGGGGAATATGTCAAAGAGACAACAACCCGACCAAAGAGCAGATAACAGCCGAAGGCCACCAATGGGTCTTCAACGCAGCGAGAAAATCCCGCACCCGGAGGTGGTCCTCAGCTGGCCCCTAAATAAAATTGTGTACTGGTTCAGTGAAAATCGACGTCACACTAAACTCCAAAACATATAAAGGAACTAAAATTAAAAAACATACAAGACTAACAAAGGCCAGAGGCTCCTGACTTGGGACAGGCGCAAAAATGCGGCGGGGTTAAACATGTTTTGTGAGATCTCAACCCTCCACCTATACCTCTAGCCAATGTAGAATAAAGAAACACATAGCAATACGCACAGTAAAACTCAGTTTAAAAGAAGTCCGAGTCCGATGTCAGAATAGGTAACAAAAGAAACTAAGCAAAATGATAATGATACATAAATGAACAAAGGACTACTAGCAGTTACTGACATGCCAGCTCCAGACCTCAATTAAACTGATTGAAAGATTACATGTATGTCTTCATCATATGAAAATCATATGAATATTATATTATGTCTGTTCTATAAGATTTGCTAGTCTTGAAATACAAATCTGATATAGCAGAGTGAAAGATATGATTTAATTCAAATTGATTTCAAATAAGAATGTAATGACTTAGACATTGAGTATATAAGACTTTCTCATACACAACTGCAACAAATTGGGTAATTTCAATCTTTCCAGCTTCACTAACATGACTAATGGGCATAATTATGGCATATAAAGCATGACAACCTTTTTTTATTAATGATTTCAAGATTCAAAGTATTTAGACATTTCAGCACAAACAGATAAAATTGAATTATCTATTCATGAATTCAATTTGTTAAAACAACATTCTTGATGACCTGGGATGTATTTTTACCGTGAAAATAATCATTAGAAAAGACTTTCAAATCAATCACAGACAAGACAATTTCCAATCAATAACAGAAAAGACTTTCAAATCAACTCAAATGATGACAGGGGGTGAAAATGGAGGAGGTTTAAAATGTTTACAAGAAAAAGGGAAGTCTCTCTCTACTCTAAATTATTAATTTTTTTATAATAAAATTTGAACTATTAATACTTGAACCGGGAACAGCCGAATATATCATAAATCCTGTGAAAAGGATTGTAGCAAAGTGTGCAACCATTTCTCAACTGTGAGTTTCAGCCACTCAGTGCTCAGTTTGTTCTGTCAGAATCATGTGGCTGGGGACTCATAAACATGAAAGTGTTGATTTGAGAAATAAAGAACCCTTTCTGTTGGAACGATTTTTTTTTAGAATATTCTGTGCATATGAATTGGATTTATGTCTACTAAATGTTTTCTTTTCTTTTAAAATTTGTAAAGGAAGGAGTAGTTTTCAAAATTTTCTGTAGAAAAAAATTATTTCAGACTAAATTTCTCTCATCACCGCGCACTGTAAGCAAACGCGAAACTGATTCAGATGAACCGAAAGCACCACATTGACGCTGATGGACGGCGTCTGTCACAAAGAAAAGTATGAAAATACAATAACTGATTACAGATACAATGCAGAAAAGCTGAAATTTGAAGGATAATATCAAGTTTGAAATTTAAGTGGAATTTCCAAACATCAAATATAAGTAAATGTGCTAATTATAAATTAACGAAAAATTAAGTAGCAAATCATCCAACAAAACAACCCATAGACTGGCATAGTTTATATTATAAGCATTTAACTTGTACAGTACATGTTTACTATAGGGCAATCTTGATGTCTTTTTGCTCAATTTACATGATATCCATTAGTCCCAGCATGATGCTATGACTGGAAAAGCAGAAAAAATAACAAATAACAAAATTATAAGACGAAGAAAGACAATTCAATAGCTAAAACAACATCTAAACAAAGACAAAGTAAGATGCAATTATAGGGTACCTTACTGTAGATAACTGATAAACAGTTGAGGGGGGGGGCAGTGTGTGAAACCTCCGCTCGCCAAGGCGAGTAATAAACAAATTTGGCGAGCACTGATACTTGGTAACTTGCCAATGTGGCGAGTGATATAAAATACTTCAACTGGCCAGAAAAAAATTCTCTGGCCAGTTGAAGTATTTTGACAGTTGTCAAGCCTTATATTGTCAAAGGTCCATGAATTTTAAGTCTGTTGAACTAATTTCAATGTGTAGTGTTACAAAAAATGATATTCTTAGCTCCTAAACATTTTATTTATCGCGATTGGCAAACTAAAACATTATTATGATGACCTTGACACCATTGAATCAGCATGCTAAAACCTACTATAAAATCCCCACCTTGCAGATTTTAATTTCTTGACATGACTGAAATAAACATATTATGCATGCAGTTGGGTATCAGTGAGTTACAAATAAAGCATTTATCAAAACCTGAGACTATTATTTTTTGTGGTTTTATTTAGTAAATTAAGTTAAAAAGACAATATTATTGCAATGTATCCTTGTATTATGCCAATTTATGGGTTTTCGTGCTATTTAAAATGCATTGTAATGTCACAATGTACACTGAAAAAGCATGCATAGTACGAATTCATATGACGTATGAAAACATGTGATCTGACAATATGTTAATTTAAATGATTTTAACTTTAGAAATATGGTTCTGTTGCGGTACCCTATTACATGAAAACTGGTAAAAAAAAGAAACTGATATATTCAGACCTCTAATGTAAATGGTTAAATACAGTGGATGTAATTATGATAGGGTTGTCTATCTTTTGCATATTTACAGCCCCCATATTGTTATATAAGGAACTTGCATACAAGTCATAGAGTACCCTTAAAACTAGAAAACAGTTGAAAATTAGATTTTTTGGAAAGTAGACTATCATATAATAGAGGCAGGTGTTACCTGTGAAAGAGGACGAAATCCATATAAATTTCCACAGAGAACTCATTTTGTTTGCTATTCCGTCAACAGAACAGGAACAGGGTGATATACAGATTTTTGAAAAATTAAAACTACAGTAAAATGATTTTGAGTCTTGTTACTAAGGCCACCATCTATTTTTGTATACATTTTACTAATTATGACATTTTAAACAAAAAAAATCACTATGATCTATCATTTAAAACAACCAGTAACTTATGAGATACTCTACACAATTGATTTCACGACTGAGACTGATAAATTAAGAAGTTGTGACGTTTACAAATTGCATAACACAATTCCCAGCATAATTTCTTGTATAAAAGTAACTGAATTACAGAAACGTATCTGATGCTGGTCTTATTGTTAGGAATTTTATTTATGACATAATTATTAATGTAAACAAATAAATGCTATCTTTAGGTAGCGTTTTTTTCTACGTTTTAAGGGATAGTTTAATTAAAAACATAATGATTTTTCCTAAAAAAAAACAACAAATATACAATGTGGGTTTATTACTGACCTTTGTACAGATACAAAAATCTGACTGTTTGGTCTGAGGTGATTCTCCCCCAGAGAACTCATGTTGTTTGCTATAAAATCGTATGTTGAATAAGCACTAGACTCATTTTAATATGTTTTTTTCAAAATGTTCGTCTTCATTATTCTTTTTGGTAATCAGTTAAACAAATTTGCGTGAAATCCTATGTTTTACATATGGCAACTTAAGACAACAGAAGTGGAACAGGGTAATGTGCAAGCTCAACTGTTAGGAAAAAAAAGTTAACAATTTTGAGTTCATTAGTATATTGATTTTTCATGAATGATTTTCTTACTGTTCTTGGGGACTTTGTCATCTTATCAAAATCTGTCATTGTGGAGGGCATTTGATATGTAAGCTGGCTCACTAAAGGTTCTTTCTATTACATTTATTTAAGCAGATAAAATATGGGAGCTAAAAGAAAAAGAATATCAGCTATTGGTGAACAGCAGAGTGAAGACAGAGAAGAATCACCAGGCCCACCAGCTGGTCCATCAAGTCAAACTAAGAGACGAAAAAAATCACCACATTACAGTCCAGTAAGTATACTGAGAGTACGATTACACAAAAAAAGGCTGCATGTTTGTTTGTTATTGTTGAAAGATCTCTCTCAATCATAAACTTTTATTTCTTAAACAAGTTTTAAAGATTTTCCTGTAACAACAAAAATTTGTAATTTGTCAGAGCAGTTCTACATACATGTACATGTATAGTACAAAATACTGGTATGTGATTTAGTTAAAAATCAATCTATCTGATGCTGATTGGAAAACTGAAGTATGGCAATTCCAGGTGAATGAAGTTATACAAGAATGATGTAGAAGATTATATGAAACAAGCATGTTTAGACAAAAATTGATGGGAGATACATGTAGTATTTTCTCATTTGAAATGAAGAATGTGTGTCCTGAATGTGCATTAATATATGTTTATAGCAGTGTTTGAATAAAAATTTATTTAGATACTGTAAATAGATCCTACATGTAGGTGTACATATTCAATATACATGCACAATAATATATATATATCATATTTCATGAAAAATTACATTCATTGTAGACTGAGATTTGTCAAGAGCTGTATGAAACAATACGTAATCATAAAACAGATGATAGTCGCTTTCTCTGTGAAACTTTTATCAGGGCACCCAAAAGAAGGTAAGTTTAAGAGTTTTAATGAATCTGTCAGGATGTTGTGCTAGTTAGTAACATAAATCTAGATACATTTGAATATCAAGTTATGTGTTTGGAATCAAACTTTCTCATTTCAAAGAGTGTAAAAAGAGTTTTTATCTAGACTTTCTGGCTTCTAGCAAATCAGTCTTTTCATTTACTCCTATAGTTCAGAATGCCAGTTTTGTTCAGTCTGACGTAAGGTAGCCACCTCTATCCACTTGCCTACAAAAGTAACTACATAGTGGGGGCTATCTTTAATCAGACTGACTTTGTTATCAGCCAATACTTTCTTTACTCAGCACAAGACCAACTAGAAAACAAGAAAATCTGAAACAAAAATACTTTAAACACAAAATTGACATTAATTTTGTCCATTGGTTTAATCCCTGTGGAAAGTGATGAAAAGGAACTTGCAGTAAACGTTATTGTGTCTTTGAAATGACTTTGTCTCTCTGATGAATCACCCAAATTTCTTCTGTCATGCCTAGCTTACAAGTATGTTAATGAAAGTATTTTTTTTTAATTGTGATGGCGCATTATGATAGTAATGTTTTTTTTTTTGCTTACTGTAAATTCAGAAATTATTGTGTGCATTCATTCTTGCAATTTTGTCATTTAAGACTAAAATGCGATTTTAATTTTTGCGATATTGAGGAAAATCCTGTTTAATTCATATAAAATATTTCAAAATGCAAGTTTAAATTATTGCGATTATAACCCTGTCACATTTTTCGCAATAATAAAAGCATCACAACAGTTTCTGAATTTACAGTAATGAATATTCATACTTTGGTTTATGTGTTGATACATAAGGAGTTAACTACCATAAAGAACTATTTGATTATTTCTAGAACTGCAGCAGACTACTATGAAGTAGTATCAACACCTATAGATCTCCTACAGATTGGTCATAAATTAAAAACAGAAGAGTATGAAGAAATAGAACAGTTAACAGCTGATATGGAACTGATGATTACAAATGCAAAATCATACTACAAGGTAGTTTTACATGTGTGTCAGTATACTAACATCAAAATCATACTACAAGGTAGTTTTTACATGTGTGTCAGTATACTAACATCAAAATCATACTACAAGGTAGTTTTTACATGTGTGTCAGTATTCTAGCATCAAAATCATACTACAAGGTAGTTTTTACATGTGTGTCAGTATACTAACATCAAAATCATACTACAAGGTAGTTTTTACATGTGTGTCAGTATAACATCAAAATCATACTACAGTGTAGTTTTACATGTGTTTCAGTATACTAACATCAAAATCATACTACAAGGTAGTTTTCACATGTGTGTCAGTATAATAACATCAAAATCATACTACAAGGTAGTTTTACATGTGTGTCGGTATACTAACATCAAAATCATACTACAAAGTAGTTTTACATGTGTGTGAGTATTCCTGCATCAAAATCATACTACAAGGTAGTTTTTACATGTGTGTCAGTATACTAACATCAAAATCATTCTACATGGTAGTTTTTGCATGTGTCAGTATTTTAACATCAAAATCTCTATCTTGAATTGAAATTATTGTATTCTTCATTTACAGAAAAATTACCTCAAGTCTAATAATTCAATTATATTCCCAAGACATGCAGAGTTGCTGTTGTTAGCTCACCTGGCCCGAAGGGCCAAGTGAGCTTTTCTCATCACTTGGCGTCCGTCGTCGTTAGCTTTTTACAAAAATCTTCTCCTCTGAAACATCTGGGCCAAATTTAACCAAACTTGGCCACAATCATCATTAGGGTATCTAGTTTAAAAAATGTGTCCGATGACCCCGCCAACCTACCAAGATGGCCGCCATGGCTAAAAATAGAACATAGTGGTAAAATGTAGATTTTGGCTTATACCTCTGAAACCAAAGCATTTAGAGTAAATCTGACTAGGGTAAAATTGATTATCAGGTCAAGATCTATCTGCCCTGAAATTTTCAGACAAATCTGCAATAACGTTCAGCAAAGTAAGATCTACAAATAAGTCGTCATGACCAAAATTGTCAGTCGACCCCTTTAGGAGTTATTGCCCTTTATAGTCAATTTTTAACAATTTTTCGTAAATTTTTGTTATCTTTTACAAAAATCGTCTTCTCTGAAACTACTGAGACAAATTTAACCATACTTGGCTATAATCATTATTAGGGTATCTAGTTTAAAAAATTTGTCCGATGACCCCGCCTTCCAACCATCATGGCCGACTTGGTTAAAAATAGAGCATAGGGGTAAAATGCAGTTTTTGGTTTATATCTCTGAAACTAAAGCATTTAGAGCAAATCTTACAGGTGACAAAAACGTTCATCAGATTGAGATTTATCTGCCTTAAAACTTTCAGATGAATCCGACAATCTGTTGTTGGGTTGCTGCCCTGAGGTAGTAATTTTACAGAAATTTTGCAGTTTTTTGTTATTATCTTAGATATCATTATAATATCTAATATCTAATACTATTAATTATGATTTTAACCTTATTTTACATGATTTCCAAAGCATCAGTAAATACAGGTGAGCGACACAGGCTCTTGAGAGCCTCTAGTTTAAATATTGAGAACAAACAGTACATTTAATATGGGAAAAGAAACTCAGCATATTAGAAAATTCATGGGGTAAACTGCAATGATCAGCAACCTAAAAGACAGCTTCCAAAAAATGAAATCCTTGAGGTCATGATCACAATAAGGTTTTGAATGATCATAGGGTACTTGGACCAAAGCCAGCTCTAAGAAAAACTCTGACAAGTTCTGAAACAATTCAAGAAAGACAACTGGGGGTAAACAAAGCAACACTACATGTAAAGTTCCCTATTGCGTATTCACAATTATATATATGATTATATGAAAAATAAATTATTCTAGAAAACCAGCCAGGAATATAAGGATGCCTGTGATTTGTGGGATTTGTACATCAACACAAGAAATGACCTAATAGCTGAAGCATTAGGAGAATCCTCTAAACAAGATCCAGGAAGACGTAGAAGTTTGAGAAAAGTTTCTACAATGGAGGGTGATGATGATGATGAAGATGAAGAAGAAAAAAGTGATGATACCAAGGTCTGCATTTGTATATTTAGTATTTGTATTGGTATTTAGCTCACATTATCCTTTTTTTTTAATGAGCTCCTCTGAAACCATTTGGTCAATTTGAATTAAATTTTGCCACAACTTTCCTCAAGGTGTATAGTTTTAACTGGGGATGTAGTATAGTTATCCCAAAATAAAGGACACTGTTACTATTGATTAAGCATTATGAGATAAAAACAGACTATTGATAAAGCATAATGAGATAAAACAGGTCTTTTATATGATATCCTGTAAATATCTGATTTTTATGCCCCACCTACCACGGTAGAGGGGAATTATGTTTTTCGGTCTGTGCTTCCGTTCGTTCGTCCGTCCGTCTGTCCCGCTTCAGGTTAAAGTTTTTGGTCAAGGTAGTTTTTGATAAAGTTGAAGTCCAATCAACTTGAAACTTAATACACATGTTCCCTATGATATGATCTTTCTAATTACAATGCCAAATTAGAGTTTTGACCCCAATTTCACGGTCCACTGATCATAGAAATGATAGTGCGAATGGGGCATCTGTGTACTATGGACATATACTTGTTCTGTAAATCTTTATCTTGCCTGTAAAAATGTTGCAGAATTCGTGACATAGGGATTCTATTCTGGAGGCAACAGTGTAAACTATTTATATTAAGCTTGTTGTTTCAGAAGTTAGAAGACATCATATCCTGCATACAAGTGTCTTATGTTCTAAAGTCTGTCTGGCGTATGCCTGTTGTTCTTGACCTCATAGTATGCAGGAAATAACTTAAACTTAATAAAATTGAGAATGGAAATGGGGAATATGTCAAAGAGACAACAACCCGACCAAAGAGCAGACAACAGCTGAAGGCCACCAATGGGTCTTCAACGCAGTGAGAAAATCCTGCACCCGGAGGTGGTCCTCAGCTGGCCCCTTAATAAAATTGTGTACTAGTTCAGTGAAAATGGACGTCACACTAAACTCCAAAACATATAAATGAACTAAAATTAAAAAAACATACAAGACTAACAAAGGCCAGAGGCTCCTGACTTGGGACAGGCGCAAAAATGCGGTGGGGTTAAACATGTTTTGTGAGATCTCAACCCTCCCCCTATACCTCTACATAAGTACTTCACACCAACTGACAATGGTTTAGGGTTATAATAGTTTTAATAGAAAGTAAATTATCTTTAAGGAATTAATAGAGTACAATTTCACCAATTTTTAAGAATAGTATTAAATGTTTGTCCATATTAGTAATTTATCAAAGGTTTATTCTACCTCAGATATTAGATGATCAGCAGGATGACCCTGAAGATTTTGAGGCTTTATTTGGATCTGTTGTGACGGCCAAGGATAATGATAGGGATATTAGTACTGTGTTCCAGTTACTGCCTCCAAAATCAGTAAGTTAACATTACAATTTTTAAATTTTCACTTATCCTTTTTTACAGAAATATAATAAGTGCAGTGTTTCATACAGTCAGAGCTCAGACATAAACAAGACAGAAAATTGGGAGACTTGTGCAAGTCAGATTATGTATTTTTATCTCACCCTGACCAAAGGGCCAGTGTGTGCTATTCTCATTATTTGTGGTTCGTCTGCTGTTGTGGGTTAATTCGTACAAATATCTTCTCCTCTAAAACTACGAGGCCACTTTTCAGAAATAAATACATGGGAGGGTAGGAACTCCATATTATTTTATTACCTAGGTGGAGGGTATTTCATTAGTTTCACTGATATTTATGTGGTAAAAAAATTCATTTGATAGTAAACCTCCAAGGTAATTTTACTGGAAAAGCCATATATATTATAGACAAACTTGAATATTTGAGAAGCCTTATCTTTGAGCAAGGTTCATTTGTGATTTTTAACAAAATGTAAAATCTTGTTTTCAACCTTTTTTTTCGAAGAGGGTGTAAATATTTATCTTTGTCATGAATAGGTGTCTTTTTTTTAAATGTATTGAATGTATAATAATTTAGATATCTTATTTCAGAAATACCCAGAGTACTACCAGATAATTAAACAGCCAGTTGACCTGAAGATGATTGCACAGAATATAAAACATGGTCGCTACAGGTCATTAGATGAAGTTGAACGAGATCTGTTGCAAATGGTGAAGAATGCAAAAACTTTCAATGAACCAAAGTCGCTCATATATAAGGTATTACTTATCAAATCTAGTGGCATTAGCATCAGTTGTCAACATTGTTATGCCCCTTAGGATAGAAGAGGGGCATGTTCATGTGCATCTGTCATTCCCTTAGCAGGTTTAAGTTTGGGTTTCAGGTAGTCTACCATGCAGTTGTGGTAACATCAACATGAAACTTAGTACAAATATTCAGTGTGAATTGACTCTTTAACATAAGCCAAATTAGGGTTCTGACCCAGATTCTGTGGTTAACTAGTGTTAGTGGGGCAAGGATTACATACATACATATATGTTTACCATTTATACATACATATTTGTTGGCCAGTTTTTAGTTTTACATAATTAGGTATTTGTGATATATACCTACAAAGCCATATACAAAAACATATCCAAAGTTTGAGAGTAAATGTAACTGTTTGTGCCAGACACTTAAACAATTACATGCTTAATTATATGTGTTTTATATTTATTTCAGGATGCTTGTACCATAAAGAAAATTGTTCAAAATAAAAAGATAGAATTACAAGCAAAAAGAGCACAGATTCCTTTGTCTGATAGAAAGAAGTAAGATTAATTCTGAAATTGAATATCACACTGTATTATTATGACAAATTTACCTCACGTTTACTTTCAAGTATTTGGAAGTAATTGAATGAAATAAGCAGATTGACCTTTATCATTCAAATTTTGTATGTGAAGTCTGATAATTCCAAGAAAGACTTTGATGAAAAAATCAGGCCATGTTAATGTGCATTAATACATGCTTTGACTTCAGATTAAGTGCTTTGTTTTGAAAAACCAGTACTTCGCAAAATGCTGAAATCATTTTGATATAAAAGTCTTATTTGTTAATGGGGAGGAACAAAAATTATTTACAAATGAATAGAAAACAATTATGTTAGATTTCTCTTTATGTACAATATACATGTATATCAGTAATTACATAACCCCTGCCATTTTCTTTGTAGTGGAAAATTTTTCTTTCTTTAAAAAAATCCATTCAGAAGTTATTCACCATTTTAGAATCTGATGCATACTGGGTAATATTTTCAAATGAGTACACCAAAACATATACAATTTAATAACGAAATAGAATAATGTAAGAGTGTTTAATTTTCCCAAAACAAATTGGTGAGATGCAGGAGGTAAAAGTTATGCACTGGTTATCTGAATATATCTCCCAAAAATTATTTATAAAATTGCATATCTACTTATCCTCGAATGTGATTGGTGCATTAGAATTCTTTTCCTTGGTTAACATTTGATAGACGATTTTGCCGAAACTACTTCCGTAACCTATTTAAACACTGTTGATTTCACTGTGATACATTCATTCAAGATACACATGAATTTAATCGTAGGGTTCCACAAAAAATGAATTAAAGAAAAATAACATATGTTTGGGTTGGCAATTATCAGGATTAAACACGTTTATGCTAGAGGTTATTGATGTGGTAACTGGGCAGATGCCCTGAAAACTTTACATGACAGGCCTTTGGATTTGTATTCAGATTGTGAGTGCATCAAGCCAGTTTACAAATTAATAACCTGTTGAAAAAATGTGTTAAATCCAATAATACTAATAAGTAGGAATAAATAGAGAATTAATATGTTCACTTACCACTTGCTTTGTTAAAATATCAGTTTTGTTCATTAACTTTGTTTGTTTGAATTTTTATATTTACTTTTTTTGTTAAAAGAGAAAAAGAATTATGAATGGTTGATTATTGAGAAATGTTCATATGCCAACGAGACAGTTCTTTTATAGTTTTTCTGTTGATAATCACCTATGATTGTTAAATAATGCTCAAAGGTCTAAGGGACACAATAATGAAATTAAGACAACCCCAGTATAGTTTTTGCATTATTTTAACCATAGTCTGATTTTTATAAGAGGAGAGAAATTTTTCATTTTATTTCTAAACGAAAGATAACATTCAATAATAATTCTCTTGTAACTCTTAAATAAGTGATGTATTATCAAGAATGTTATCTTTTAATTTTAGGAAAAGAGAAACTAAGATGATAATAAAGATGACAGATATATGTGCCGATTTACAGTACCCAACAGACGATGATGTACCTCAGGTCCAATACGATGATATTGATGATGATGAGGATAGCATGCTAGAACAGAGTCAGTTAGATTATGATGATGATTCTGGGGCTGAGACAGTTGCATCAGAAGATAATGAGAGTCCTTTCTGGACAATATTTAATGCAGTGAAAGCTTTCCGTGATGCTAATGGACAGACAATTTATGAACCATTTGTCAAACTGCCAAGCAGAAGGTTAATAGATAATATAGACACTTGTTACGACTGAACTACAAGAAAATATAATACTTTTTTTAATTTCATGCACAGTGGAGATTTTATCTATGAAATAAGATCATAAATACTTTTTTATTGTAATTGTACATGTGATGTTAACAATCTAAAAGTTAAGACAATTTCAAAATACAAGTTTTATGCCTATACTTCTGTTCCTATTGATACAAAATTCGATATCTAGTAGGTAGAATAGGATATTATAAATTGAATCAAAATATTTTACTGTGCAGAAGTTCATTTCTTTTTGGGTATCAATTTTTGTGGTTTATGAGAACACCAATCATTGGTTTGTGGGATTTGAAAATAATGGTTTTATTATTCTTTATTTTATTTTACTATTTTAACAAAAATATGTTTTTCCTTAGGCACTAAATTTCACTCTCTTGTACCATGAAATCTATGAAAATTAGTATTTCAGGAACATGTATTGCTTTGTTTGCATTAATACTATTTTTTTGTTTCTGTGCCTTTAACAAAAATTGTCCAAGCAGGGCCCCTGCTGACACATCAGTTTTCTAGTTGTTCTCTTGTTTTTATCACTTTTGATTGTATATTCCAGGTTTTACCCAGACTATTATGACGAAATAGACAGACCAATGTCATTAGCAAATATCAGAAAGAAGATCAAGGTAAGCATGTTTTAAGGTGTAAGGACCATTATTGACCATATGGTTCAAATGTTTTTATGCAAAGCTAACTACATGACTTAAGGCAAACATTGGAAATCTCAAGAAACAATATTCCACTAGCAAATTTTGTTTAATGATTTTTAACAGTTTTTTATGGACTTCCATGAGGAAAATTTTTATGCCCCTGCTATGTGAGTCATTTACTGTTCTAGAATTATGCCCCTGCTATGTGAGTCATTTACTGTTCTAGAATTATGCCCTCTTTTTGTTTCCACACTCTAACTTAAGTTTGTCTCATCCAAATTTTATGACACTCATACACAATGCTAAGAACCCCAACATGCAGACAGAGTTCGAATTTGGGTTGTGAGTAATTTACCATTCTGAAGTTTTTAACTTCGAAAAATGCAAAGCATTAGCGGGGATTCGTGTCCTCAGACACATTCTTCTTTTATTTTACATTATTTTTGACCATATGGTGAAGAAAATTTGATATAAACACTTTAATAACACAAGTATGATTTTTCTCTTTTCAAAGTTTCAATTGTTTTTAAAATCATTGGCTGAATTTTATTGTGAAAAGATTCTGTGTTGTGGTGTTTATATTCTATCAAATTAATAGTAATAGATAAATATACAAACAGTTTTCTTTTATTAAAAAGATTTATTTAAAAAAAACTTATTGAGTTAGTAAAAGCATATATATTTTGTAATCCCATACCTGAAAGGACAGTTCTGTACAGAATTACACATTTCAATAAACAAAAACAGAAGTTGTGTTGTTGTTTTTTAGAGAACTAATATGATCATTTAAAAATTTACTATAACGTGATTAAAAATTTCAGTATAAGCAGTACAGAACACTGGAGAAAATAGCCACAGATCTTAACCTTGTGTTTGAAAATGCTAAACAGTATAATAAAGAGGAGTCTAAAATCCACCAGGTATGTAAAGGCAAACATAATTTCCTTTCAGAAGAAATAATTACAAATACCAGTAAATGTTACATCGTTCATTTGTTAAGGAGTCTGTATGATAATTCCACTTTTTTGACCACTTGAATACAGAAGTTGATAAGTATTATAAATGTTTTAACATTAACATCTATCAGAAAGATATTTTGAGCCCAAAGCATAACTTGTATTCAGGTCCTTATCTCCTGTATTTAATGAATAATGCAGTCTGGAGCATGAATTGGGTATATAAGCAAAATTATTGGCTGCTTCATTAGATAATTTAAAACATTTATTTAGATGTAGAGAAATATTTGTTTTAAAAGAAATTTTCAGAGGTAAAAATTGTTTATTTTCTTTATAGGATGCTGTGTTATTACAAAAAGTTTTATATGACAAGAAAAAGGATTTGGATGGAAAGGTTAGTATAACAATGTATACATAAAATGTCAAAGTTCAGAAAATAATCCTACATGAACCATAGCATGACATGTTCCTTTGGTATTCCAAAATCAACCACACAGGCTAATGTCATGTACATAGTGTCTGTAGCACATACTGCTTGGCAAACTAATGCATGTGCTGTTTGTGTGCAGTTGTACACAATAAAAAATGGGGAAAAAAAGTAATCTATTTAAACTTTAGTTGATAAAGTGCAGAAATGTACAATATCTGATTGTTAATTCTCATACAAAAAAATCAAATGGCAATATTTCACAATCAGTAATATTTTAACAATGAGAATATATTTATAAAAATGGCCAGTTGATAATTGCAGAAAAGTTGCATAAAACTTGACTTCAGTTTTGTATGACAGATTATTAAATAGCCATAGTTATCATAATGCTCAATGTCAAATATTGTTCATTATATTTTAAATGACAAGATTTGAAATGATAGATATAGTTATCATGATGCACACTCAAAATTATTGACATTACATTTCAAATATATTAGTATTTTTAGGTTCTGGATATACTTACATTCTTTATTTTATTTTTTCATTAATATTTATGTTGATGTTTAGCTCATAGAGTTCCTAAAAGTCCTTGTGAGTTTTTTCATCACTCGTCGTCTCTGACGTCCATTATCATAAACTTTTTAAAAGTCTTCTCCTCTGAAACAACTGGGCCAAATGTTACAAAACTTTACCTTACTGTTCCTTAGGGTATTTAGTTTTAAAATTGTATCTAGGGATGTGATCTATCAATAAACACGGCTGCTGATACTAAAAATAGAACATAGGGGTAAAATGCAGGTTTTGATTTATATCTAAAACAAAGAAGAACTGACAGTGTAAAAATGATCAGCAAGTAAAGGTCTATCTCATATTAAATATTCATAAAAATCTGACAATTCATTTTAGCATAATTAACTTTGTAAAATTGGGAAGAAACAACAGTCAGTATTATGCATAGATGCCAGGTTTGGGATTATGCTCCTTACAATCTCTAGTTAATAGTAATTTACCCAAGTTCTTTTTGTATTAGATAATTTACCCAAGTTCTTTTTGTATTAGATAATTTACCCAAGTTCTTTTTGTATTAGATAATTTACCCAAGTTCTTTTTGTTTTAGATAATTTACCCAAGTTCTTTTTGTATTAGATAATTTACCCAAGTTCTTTTTGTATTAGATAATTTACCCAAGTTCTTTTTGTATTAGATAATTTACCAAGTTATTTTTGTATTAGCTAATCTAAAGAAGAAGATGGAACTTAGTTGACTTTGTTATTTCTTTTTTGTCTGATATAAAATTGTGCAGTACATGATTACATGTTCTGTAAAAATTCACAGAGATGGCTATTAATTAAGAATAAAACATAATTATTCATATATGTTATTCAGGTAAGGCGTATAGACTAAAAAAAGCTTTTGTTTAATTATGACTTTTTCTTTCTCTGATATATTTTTGTTATTTTAAAGTTGATTTTTTAGCCTAGTTTTAGTTTCCATCACATACTTTATCTTCCTATATATCTTGTTCACTATAGGACTTTAGTGTACTAGATGATAATAGCGTTGATTTTGAGGTGCCCTGTATCCCGGTGAGTGGTGATGTTGTCTTGCTTTAGATACTTTGTCCAGATACCAATTTTTGTTCATATTGAATCAATAGCTTACATATAATTACATAGATAAGTAAAATATCTGTTAAAAACTGATAACACTTTTAACCTGTATTACAAATATCTGTGAGATTATAAGTATGCTGCCCCATAGAACTTTTATTTGTTCTGGAGCTTGGTCATCTCAATGCTTTGTAGAGCCTATTTTAAAGCTGCTGGGAGGTACAACTTTGATTCAATATGGAACCTATTTAGATAAGAGTTGTCTGAGACAGTATTTTTTATTTGCTTTGAGTGTTGTAGTAGAGTAGAACTTTCTTTTCTGTTTTTTGCATATATTTTGAATATCATATATTTTTGTTTATTGATATGTTTGTTTCAGTTAAGAATGTATTCCAGTGTGGATTATTTAGAATGTTAGTTTCCAATATGTATTAATAAATAAGAAACTCTGTAATGTGACCCTTAAAAGCTACCTTTGTAATTAGTATTTAGTTAAGTCTCCCAAACGAAGTTTGGGAAGACTTATTGTTTTTGCTCAGTTCTTATTATTATTATTATTCTTCTTCCTCTTCCTCTTCCGCCGCTTTTAAATTTGAACTTGTCCGCACCCGTTCTCCAAAACCGCTTGTCAGATTAACTTAGGGTTTCACAATATGTTAGACTAACATGTCTAGTGGTGCAATCAGGGTTTTGTTTGTGCAATGGGGTTTATAAAGGGGTACTTTGAGGGGCAAAAAGAAAAGAGGGTTTTACTATAGAACCCTATGGGATTTTATTTTTTTAAATTTTCAAATGATTATAAATTGAAAACGATTGTAATAGACACAATCTTTTTAATTGAAAATGTTCTAAATGATAAAACCCATTAAATGAAATACAGGGTTAGTCCCCAGGGGTCACCCCCATCCCCTGCCATTTAAGAAAGTTCTAATACCTTGTAAGTGGTCAAGATCCCCACCCCTAAACCATATATATTCTGGTTTGTCATGCTAAGATGGTTTGAATGATATACAGGGTTAGTCCCCAGGGGTCATCCCGACCCCCTGCCATTTGAGAAAGTTCTAATATCTTGTAAATGGTCGAGATCCCCACCCCTAAACCATATATATTCTGGTTTGTCATGCTAAGATGGTTTGAATGATATACAGGGTTAGTCCCCAGGGGTCATCCCAACCCCCTGCCATTTGAGAAAGTTGTAATATCTTGTAAATGGTCAAGATCCCCACCCCTAAACCATATATATTCTTGTTTGTCATGATAAAGCAAATCAAATGAAATACAGGGTTAGTCCCCAGGGGTCACCCCCACCCTATGCCATTTAAGAAAGTTCTAATACCTTGTAAGTGGTCAAGATCCCCACCCCTAAACCATATATATTCTTGTTTGTCATGATAAAGCAAATCAAATGAAATACAGGGTTAGTCCCCAGGGGTCACCCCCACCCTATGCCATTTAAGAAAGTTCTAATATCTTGTAAGTGGTCAAGATCCCCACCCCTAAACCATATATATTCTGGTTTGTCATGCTAAGATGGTTTGAATGATATACAGGGTTAGTCCCCAGGGGTCATCCCGACCCCCTGCCATTTGAGAAAGTTGTAATATCTTGTAAATGGTCGAGATCCCCACCCCTAAACCATATATATTCTGGTTTGTCATGATATAGCAAATCAAATGAAATACAGGGTTAGTCCCCAGGGGTCACCCCCACCCTATGCCATTTAAGAAAGTTCTAATATCTTGTAAGTGGTCAAGATCCCCACCCCTAAACCATATATATTCTGGTTTGTCATGCTAAGATGGTTTGAATGATATACAGGGTTAGTCCCCAGGGGTCATCCCGACCCCCTGCCATTTGAGAAAGTTGTAATATCTTGTAAATGGTCGAGATCCCCACCCCTAAACCATATATATTCTTGTTTGTCATGATAAAGCAAATCAAATGAAATACAGGGTTAGTCCCCAGGGGTCATCCCCACCCTATGCCATTTAAGAAAGTTCTAATATCTTGTAAGTGGTCAAGATCCCCACCCCTAAACCATATATATTCTTGTTTGTCATGATAAAGCAAATCAAATGAAATACAGGGTTAGTCCCCAGGGGTCACCCCCACCCTATGCCATTTAAGAAAGTTCTAATATCTTGTAAGTGGTCAAGATCCCCACCCCTAAACCATATATATTCTGGTTTGTCATGCTAAGATGGTTTGAGTGATATACAGGGTTAGTCCCCAGGGGTCATCCCAACCCCCTGCCATTTGAGAAAGTTGTAATATCTTGTAAATGGTCGAGATCCCCACCCCTAAACCATATATATTCTGGTTTGTCATGATATAGCAAATCAAATGAAATACAGGGTTAGTCCCCAGGGGTCACCCCCACCCTATGCCATTTAAGAAAGTTCTAATATCTTGTGAGTGGTCAAGATCCCCACCCCTAAACCATATATATTCTGGTTTGTCATGCTAAGATGGTTTGAATGATATACAGGGTTAGTCCCCAGGGGTCATCCCGACCCCCTGCCATTTGAGAAAGTTGTAATATCTTGTAAATGGTCGAGATCCCCACCCCTAAACCATATATATTCTTGTTTGTCATGATAAAGCAAATCAAATGAAATACAGGGTTAGTCCCCAGGGGTCATCCCCACCCTATGCCATTTAAGAAAGTTCTAATATCTTGTAAGTGGTCAAGATCCCCACCCCTAAACCCTATATATTCTGGTTTGTCATGCTAAGATGGTTTGAATGATATACAGGGTTAGTCCCCAGGGATCATCCCGACCCCCTGCCATTTGAGAAAGTTGTAATATCTTGTAAATGGTCGAGATCCCCACCCCTAAACCATATAAATTCTGGTTTGTCATGCCAATATGATTTGAATGATATACAAGGTTGGTCCCCAGGCATCACTAATGCATATAACTTTACTGGACCAAACCAATTTTCACTAGACTTTGCCCAATGTCAGGCGACCCTGGGAATTACGAATTATGGGAGCTTCTTTTGGGAGACTTCGTAACAGCATCCTGTTACAATCATTTCTTGTTATTTTTCTTATTGATACTATAAAATGCTAAAAGTATTTCGACACCTTTTATTTTTAGTGTAATAACTTAAGACGATAAAACCATTTATTTGAGAAGAAAATCTTGAATTTATATTCATATTTGCATTGAATTACTTTTGACAGTTGAAACAAAATTAAAGATAGTTTCTTATTGAAATTTTCTTATCATTTTCTAACTTTTAAGGTGTTCATGAGTTAAGAAGACCGCCTTTCTTGTTATATTACTATATTATAGAATATTCAAAATGAAGCTTTGTTGAATTTTGTGAACACTCTTTGTCTAAAATGGCGGAAAAAAAAAGTATTCAAAATATAAACTGGTCACAACTTCAATTAGTTTCATCAAACCAATTAAGAAAAGATAATTTGTAAATAGTTTTATATGAAATAAATATATGCAAGTTAGTAGATATATTAAATTTGTACTAAAGAAATTCAGCATCCCAAACTTTTTAATTCTGTCATGCTAACTTAGTATTCAAATCAAATGTTTATTTCATCATTCATATTCATCATGAAATCCTTTTCTATGAAATACCTAATAATTCAGAAATGAAATTTTGCAAGTAAATTCTATTTATTGAATTCCTATATTAATCTTACTTGACTAATTCTTTTGCATATTTGATATTAACAATATATTTTGTGGCATGATATTTTACATGTAAACTAATCAAAATTTTAGATCTTCAGACTTTGTAAATGTTGCTTGCAGTCATTTATGGCATCACTCGGTTGTTCAGATGTTACTACCGGTACTCTTTTTTTTAAAATTTGTACCACATTTTAATTTTTTTTTTTAAAAGCCCATGGATTTTGCATGCCCCGCGTCACTGGAGGGAATTAAGTGTTACCCTTGTCGGTCCATCCTTACGTATATCCCAAAATTGGTTTCCATTCTCTAACTTTAGTTTGCTTCAACCAAATGTTATGAAACTTATACACACAATAAACAGATCAAGTTTGAATTTGGGTGGTGTCACTTTTACCGTTCTGGAGTTATGTCCCTTTATAACGTTATATACAAGCGGGGGCATTACTTTGTCCCATGGACACATTCTCCATTTATTTCTTCTTCACATAATAAAGTTTTGTTGTGGGGAGAGGTAATAGGAGGGAAAAGATATTGAGGGAGATTGAGTTGCTCTTTAGATGTTGGATTGGAAACAGGTGATAGCAATCATGGCAAGAAGATTCCTCTTACAGGGAACACCTAAAAAAAGGAGATACCTTGCTTCATTGTTGATGACACATAGATGCGTCAAGCATGAAGTATATACTGAAGTGATGGTTGAGGGACTGCTAACTGTCCAGCACTTTTAATTATTGTTTATTCTGCCATACATCTGTAATTTATAATTATCATTCTGTACTCTTCTCAGTGAACTGATTTTGGGACAACATATTTCTATATAATTATCATTCTGTACTCTTCTCAGTGAACTGATTTTCGGACAACATATTTCTATATAATTATCATTCTGTACTCTTCTCAGTGAACTGATTTTGGGACAACATATTTCTATATAATTATCATTCTGTAATCTTCTCAGTGAACTGATTTTGGGACAACATATTTCTATATAATTATCATTCTGTACTCTTCTCAGTGAACTGATTTTGGGACAACATATTTCTATATAATTATCATTCTGTACTCTTCTCAGTGAACTGATTTTGGGACAACATATTTCTATATAATTATCATTCTGTACTCGTCTCAGTGAACTGATTTTGGGACAACATATTTCTATATAATTATCATTCTGTACTCTTCTCAGTGAACTGATTTTGGGACAACATATTTCTATATAATTATCATTCTGTACTCGTCTCAGTGAACTGATTTTGGGACAACATATTTCTATATAATTATCATTCTGTACTCTTCTCAGTGAACTGATTTTGGGACAACATATTTCTATATAATTATCATTCTGTACTCGTCTCAGTGAACTGATTTTGGGACAACATATTTCTATATAATTATCATTCTGTACTCTTCTCAGTGAACTGATTTTCGGACAACATATTTCTATATAATTATCATTCTGTACTCGTCTCAGTGAACTGATTTTCGGACAATATATTTCTATATAATTATCATTCTGTACTCTTCTCAGTGAACTGATTTTGGGACAACATATTTCTATATAATTATCATTCTGTACTCTTCTCAGTGAACTGATTTTGGGACAACATATTTCTATATAATTATCATTCTGTACTCTTCTCAGTGAACTGATTTTGGGACAACATATTTCTATATAATTATCATTCTGTACTCGTCTCAGTGAACTGATTTTGGGACAACATATTTCTATATAATTATATTGTAGAGTGTACCAATATGCCTTTAAGACTTGCTGACTAAGATTAAGTTTTATATCTAATTTCAGTTCTTTGATATTAATTGATCCAAAACCAGATTGCTGTAGTGATGCATTTGTATAACATTCACACATCAAAATCTAGTTACTGGGACCAACATTCATGTAATTTGATGGGCTTCTAACAAAAGAAGGCTGATTTTCATGTTGTGCTTGCAGTAATTTTAATTATCTTTTTAAGAAGCAATGTATTAAATAAGATAAACTTTGTTATCTTGAATAACATAACATTTGAGATCTGCAACGTTGTTTAATGCATATTTTGTGTGTGTGTTTTGGAAATAGTCATGCAGTTCGCCTTATTGTTGGTATAGATGGGAGTGAGTTAAATATTGCATGATTTAGAAAATAAAAAATAAAAATCTAAATAATGTGAAAAAGTAAAAGTTAGAGATAATAATGGCTTTAAATGGGTTCAAGTTAGAAAAAAGGTTCAGCCACATAATTGCTAAGATTTTCACTGCCAAACAAGAAATCTGAAATCAACAGATTCACCGTAGTAACTCAGACATATGAAAAGTTAACATTTTTATTCACAAATTTCCTAATGTTAAGCTAATTCCATCAGATTAACACTCTGATGACAATAATAAATCAACGTATTGCTTGTTCTCCTTTATAAATGTGAAAGTACTTTTGTTCGTGGGTATCAATTTTCATGGTTTGAGCAAAAGTTACATGTACCTGGGTTCTTAAATTCGTGGATTTTAGTCTCTCTGAAAAAAATCAAGTGAAGAATTTGAATCCATCACAAAACGAAGATTCTTGATTTGTAGGACATTGCAAAATAAGGAGTTCATTTTCACTTTCTTGATCGTCTTTCATTACCGACAACATTCATCAATTTTTTGATAAAATAATTGCTTTTGGAAAATACCAATTCACCTATGCTTACACATTGTCTCAATTGAAGGAAATTGAAAGGTAAACATTGTCAACTTTGCCTCAGGGTGTTGAAACCTTAGTTTTAGCACTTTTACACTAACATATCAACTGGAAATTAACATTCAAATCATACAATTACCAAGGCACTTTCAAGTGAAACATTTTGTTTGCCTTAAAAGATAGTTGGAATTTTCTGATTCTCATATCAAATTCACACTATTTTGAGTTATTGGTTATTTGAATTTTTTGTTTGTGTGTATTTCCATTGTTTATGTAACAGTTGATCCAATATTTATAGGTCAAAGGCTGGATGGTTTTTCTAGGTTACTTATGAGAGATTTTTAAATGATGAATAATGTTCTTGTAGATTATTTTAGTAAGAAAACTTTTAGCAGATTTTCTTGCCTAATCCATTTTCTTTAATATCTTACAAGCGTGAAAAATATATTTGACTTTTTCAGAAGGTGTCTCGTGAGTTATTTGAGGAGGACAGTCATCAAAGTATCATAAAGAAACCAGGAAGAATTCCAGAGGCTGAGAAGAAACGTCCTGGACGTAAACCTAATCCTGATGTTCTCAGGAAACGATTAATGACATTGTATAAATGTGTCTTTGATTACAATGTGAGGACCTTTAAGATTTGTTAACATAGAAATAATAAAGAATATGGTTATTTGAATTAAATACTCAATTGCAGTGTTCTAGAATTCCCCTTTCCCATCAACCGTGGCAAGTTGATTTAGGTCACAGGAAAGTGGAAATTCAAACCTTTGTTGTCCGTGGGCAAGTAAAATTAAATAACAGAAATTCCTATTCATGCAGATCAAACGATCGATGTAACTGTTTGTATTCTTTTATTTCAATCAAAGTCTCAAAGCGAGATTGTTGTTGTTGGTGTAAATCATGCAGGGGTTCTAAAGTCTAGGGGAGAAAAAACGTATGCATGTGTTTCGCGATCACCGTCATAAATACGCTTACCAGCTAAGAAAGGAAAATCCGCGATGTCAAGTATCCATTCGATCTAGATGCAAAAACCTAATAACCGGAACGCAAATGGTAAAAGATTTAATATCCGGATCTCAAATTCGTGATTATTTTGACGATATTATCCCTTTTTTGTGCCAAATCATTTGAATTACTGATGTAATGTCACATTTATTAATTAATATATTTCAAAATAAAATTAATATATTCCATCAAATGTTTTCTATATCTAGATGAACATGACATTGAATTATCAACACAATCACAAGCTAGTTAGACAAACTTAGAATTAATTTCAAAGGAAATAAAAGAGTTCATAATTTCAAATCGAACGACATGTATAAACATGCGATAAAAGGAATAACAATATTATGAAAACATTTTTAAAATAGTATAAAATTCAGGGAAAGTTCATTAAACTTGTGGGAAAGTGAATTTTTGATACCAACTTTCCCTTGGAAAATTGCATCTGTATAAAAATCCTAGAACACTGCATTGATGTGATTTTTCTTCATTTGAAAGCTGTTAGACTAACATACAGATTAAGAAATTATAATTTTCCAGTCAGTGATATATTTTACAAATTAATTGTCATAATCATGATAATGCAGGAGTTGATAATAGATATATCTAATATGACTTCTTTTTTATTAGGACAATGAAAGTCGTCCTTTGAGATTTATTTTCATGCAGCTTCCATCAAAAAAGGAATATCCAGATTATTATGATGTTATTACTAATCCTATTGACATGTCAATGATAGAGCAGAAAATCAAATCTAACCAGGTAAAATATAATGTTCCTAATTGTCAGACTTATATGTCAGTAAAAATCCTATTGTCATACAATGATTGAACAAAAAATAAGATCTTAACTAGGTAAGATAATTTGTAAATCTTTGTCATTATTCAAACAGCCTTTTCATCATAAATTCTTTTGAAATGTCTAAGATAAAACAGAAGACCATTTGAAATTTTGTTCAGTGGTTAATTCGTTAAGAAAACTACAAAGAATGCCATGTTAGTACAACTTTTATTGACATGTATCATAAAAACTAATTTAATCATATAAGATGAATTTTAATCAAAGTTACATTAAAACAAGATAAATGTTGCTACACTTTGTGATTAAACAATTCTGGTTCTGAATGTACAATTTTGAGCCAGTAATCAAAATGTTAACCTAACAAATGTTGACAATACTATCTAAGAAGAGGGAGACCTTATTGATTTTGAGATCATTAGGTCAAAGGTGAAGATTACACCAGCAATAAAAAGACTAAAATTTGTAGAAATTTTTTTCATTCCAAATAATATACTTTGAATCCTGCATTCAATATTTACAAAATGAGTCTGCAATTTAGCCACATGCTCACACTTTGTCATTGAGTGTTCTCATTGTGAATTTAACTCTTTATTTCAGTATCCCAATCCTGACGTATTATTGACCGATTTTGAATTGATGTTCAACAATGCTCGTCGTTACAATGAGGAGGGATCCTTGGTTTATAATGATGCCAACACATTACAGAAAGCTTTGAAATTAAAATGGAAAAATATTTGCCAGACTAACGAGGCCAGGAAAGCACTTAGTAAAAGGTTAATATACATGTTTTTAATTTTAATGTTTTCTGATCGTGAATGTTAAGTCTAGTTGTTTCACACATGATAAATGGAAATATAATATTAAAATGATTTGAAATCCAAACCTAGACATTCCTGAAAAAAAATTCTGATTTTGGAATTGACAGTACCGTAATGAGTTATGAAAGCTATTCATGTTATTTGTAAGATTGATCTTTTTCAAATTTTTATTAAGAATATGTTACAGTTGTCAAAGAAATAAGTTTAGCCTCTGTACTTGATGTTTGTTATAAAATGTGGTAAAAAGCTTTAAGATATCCTTCTGAATGATTATTCATATATCAACAATTGATAAAAGATTATTAGGGCCCCGCCGAATGGCGGACGCCCTATAGTGATCAGTCTGTCTGTCCGTCTGTCCGTCCATCCGTCCGTAACAAATTGTGTCCACTCTATATCTAGAAAACCGTTATGATTTCAAAGTTTATACTTGACATGTATATTAACCAACACCAGAGGGTGTGTCATAATGTATGTAAAAATTCTTAGGTCAAAGGTCAAGGTCAAAAACTTTGGTTTCAGTTGACAACCCCATGTCCTATGGTAAAGATCGTGTCCGCTCTATATCTTGAGAACCGTTATGATTTCAAAGTTTATACTTGTCATGTATATAAACCAACACCAGAGGGTGTGTCATAATTTATGTACAACTTCCTAGGTCAAAGTTCAAGGTCAAAAGCTTTGGTTTCAGTTGACAACCCCATGTCCTATGGTAAAGATCGTGTCCGCTCTATATCTTGAGAACTGTTATGATTTCAAAGTTTATACTTGACATGTATATTAACCAACACCAAAGGGTGTGTCATAATTTATGTACAAGTTCCTAGGTCAAAGGTCAGGGTCAAAAACTTTGGTTTCAGTTGACAACCCCATGTCCTATGGTAAAGATTGTGTCCACTCTATATCTTGAGAACCGTTATGATTTCAAAGTTTATACTTGACATGTATATAAACCAACACCAGAGGGTGTGTCATAATTTATGTACAACTTCCTAGGTCAAAGTTCAAGGTCAAAAACTTTGGTTTCAGTTGACAACCCCATGTCCTATGGTAAAGATCGTGTCCGCTCTATATCTTGAGAACTGTTATGATTTCAAAGTTTATACTTGACATGTATATTAACCAACACCAAAGGGTGTGTATTAATTTATGTACAAGTTCCTAGGTCAAAGGTCAGGGTCAAAAACTTTGGTTTCAGTTGACAACCCCATGTCCTATGGTAAAGATACAAATTTTTTAACGCACATTATTCACAGCTGGGCCCACAGAGATGGCTCCCATCTCAATGATATCTAGTTCCTACTTGTACTTATTTCAGAAGTAAGTATAAATTATGATCATAGCAACAATTAGTAAGCTGTCATCAAAATGAAAATAACAAGCAATAGTTTATTTCTAATACCTTTATTCTTATTTCCTTTTTTCAGTAGAATTGAAGCCAAAAATATCCCAAGTAAACTACAGAGACTGTATGATGCTATCAACAACTTTTCAGATGTACATGGTAGAACATTATCTACACCATTCCTTAAACTACCTCTGAAAAGTGTAAGTACATTGTCCACTCATCACCAGAAAGAATAATGTTTGGTTATGTCTGCCGTGTCCGTTTGCAAAGTTTTGTGCATCATTAGACCTCAAATCTCTTCAAGCATAGTGATGCTAATTTTCATTTGTTACAGCAATAAAAAATGTCACATTAAAACAAAAAATTGTAATTATGAGCACATGCTCAAGAATCATGAAAAAATTTGTCATGGGAGGGTGAGTAAACATGGGGAAAACAACTTTTGACACATTGTAACTTAGAACTTAGGTTTGTAACTTTTAGGCTGTATTTTAATATGCACAGTTTCTGAAATTATACATTGTTGTCTTGTTTCCATAGCTTGTACAAATAAATTTTATATTTTCCAACAATGAACACATATTGCATATATCTTAAATGTGTGACTCTATTGTCATCACAGTTGCCCTCATTACTACTTAAATTACTTTCTGACAAATATGAGTAGATTGTTTCTACCATTTCTGAATTTTTATGTTTCTTTATTTCTTAAATTTCCTCTGAAAAGTTTGAGTAGTTTGTCTTTATAATATTTTTAAAACCATCCCTGAAAGTATTAGTTCATTGTTAGTAACATTCTTTAAACTGCCTTATAAAAGCGCAAGTAGATTGTTTACATTATTTTTAAAGAAGGAAGGGTAAATGAATATAAAAGTAGGGAGAGTTGGATAGAAGAAACAAAGCAAAATGAAAAACAAGTTTCTAACTTTTGTTTTTTAGGAATATCCTGACTATTTTGAGATTATAAAGAAGCCAATAGATATGCAGAGGATACAGCAGAAGCTACTGTTAAATCAGTACGAATCAGTAGAAGATATGGTCGCTGACTTTGTACAGATGTTTGATAATGCTTCTAAATACAATGAACCGGATTCACTAATTTACAAGGTAATACAAATAAAGGGATGGGGGTAACTGTCCATGAGACAGCACCCCAGCAACAATACAATTACAAGATAATAAATAAGAGGGGATGTGGGTATACATGAATGAGACAGCAGCCCAGCAACAATACAATGAACATCAATGGGAATCAGGAGAAGGACAGTTATACTTTTTCAAACCCTTAGTATGATCACTCAAAAATTTGTGGGAATACTTGTAAAGACATTTATAGATATCCTTATTTGTTAAATGAAAATTTCTCTGATGTTCTCTGAGCAAAAAGGCCATAAGGTCAACAAAATTGAGACAACACTATAAATATTTCTATTACATTTTATTCACTTTTCTTCATCAAAGTGAATGTGTGTAATTATATCAATTTAAGTTTCAGTATGAAATAAAGTTGCCTGTCCAATTAAATTTTAGGATGCATTGACTTTACAAAGAGTATGTCTGGAAAAGAAAATGGAGTTGACAGAAGAAGGCTCATGTGAAATTCCTGATGTCAGACATATCATCCAGGAGCTCACAACTAATCTGTTTATTTCTACATATAACTATCAGGTAATAACAGTGATTTTGTTTTAATCTAATGCCATATATGACTGCCTATTATCACCTCAATGTATAATCCATGTCTAAAGTCAAATTTAATATTGGACATGTTCTTTATATTGATATATAGTCTTATCATACAAAGTTACTGCAGGAGTTTGAGCTGCTTTCTGGTTGAGCAATTATTGCAGAAGTTGTACACTGCCACTTGAAAATGGGAGCATGTTGGATATGGTGCAACAGGCCACCTACAGATCCCCCATAGAGTTGATGCAAGAGTTCTTTGATATGCAGAGAGCTTGACTCTTTCCCTTCACAGGACATTAAATTAAACGTGCCCATTCTGACCTGATGTAAAAAATATATGTATGTGCACAACTTTATGTGCAAATGAAGTGTGAGTTCTGCATTATTTACATTTGTTACTCTAATTTCTAATAACAGGATGAAGAAGGTAGATGTTTGAGTGATTCATTCTCTGAGTTACCTGAGAGAGACCCTGACGAAGATTTAGAGACATCTAAACTTACAGAGTAAGTCATTATTTCCCAAGTAGTATTGAAGAGATATTCTGAGTTTTTTTATATTATTTAGTTGGTGTACTACATATATAGGTACAGAAGCAACTGCTTCCAGAATGAAATTCTGATGTCAGTGAGAAACCATAAATACCTACATTTTTGGAAGTGATCAATTCTATCAAGATTGTCATCGAAAGAGCTAATTTAAGAAAATGTTACTTGGTAAGTTGTTATTCAAGGAAAAGACAATTGTAATTTGTTGAAATACTTTTTTTTATTGTGCCTTGATCCTAACTTTACAGGAATGGTCTAAGTAGTTCATCAACAGTTATCACTAGCCTTTCAACTCTGTGGTCCAGAGTTCAAACCACACTCATGATGAGGTGTTTTTCACTCCGATATCAACAAGGATTGCCTGTTTTTCTACTGAAGGTGGCAGTTGCCTCCAGGTTCTCTGGCTTCCTTCACCAATAAAAACTTGCTGCAATGATTTAACCAAGGGTGTTGAAAGTGTTAAAGACTAACAATCAAACAAACATCATTAGACCAAAACACATTGTTATTAGTTTTAACAATTATTTCTTCTTACAGGAAACCATTATCATTTGATCAGATCAAAAGGAATATCGACAGGGTAAGTATTCTGTTGCAGTTGTTAGATCAAAACAAATGACTTAACTTTTGTTCAGATCAAAAAGTATAATTGATGTCAAAGTGTTTGACCATCTATTGATATGATGATCTGAACAAACCAAGGATACAATAGGTTGGTTTTCGAAGCATATAAACTTATTAAGGAGAAAGTAGTTCAAAGACTTATTTTCAATGTTTCATTTTATGCACATTGATATTGCAAAATTACAGTTAGTAGTCAATATATTAAGCATTTTAACTTAATTGCTGTACTCTATTAATTGAAAACCTCATGTCAAAATGCTGAATAGCTGATAATCTATATGAGTAAATCCAAAATTAATATTATTATTCTTGGTTTATTGATATTTGTTTTTATGTTTCACTAAAATTTCAGTTTTTCCTTTAACCATTCTAATCCAAGTTTTGGACAACATTAAATAGTGATATCTATGGTAGACGGTCAATTGTCACATATGCCTTGATTATACTGCTTATATTTGAACAAGTTGTTTAATTTTTTTTTTGAAAAGTGCATGCAAATATATATTTTCAAAAAATGAAATGTGAAGATGATAATAAAAAAAAATGATTTTACAACAGGGAAGATACAGAAGAATGGATAAGTTTCAGGAGGATATGTTCCAAGTCTTTGAGAGAGCGAGACGACTCTGTCGAACTGATTCACAGGTAAACTTTTGTATGAAAGGTCAACATGATGTTATTCTTTGATGATATATATTTTCCAACATGGAAATAATTGCAGAAATATTATTTGTTTGGAACTTTTTTTCTGATTGAGATCAATTGTGGTTGTTATAACCCACAAACTCTTAGGGTGGTTTTTGGTCTATGCATCAAGTCTGTTGGTCCGTTCTGTATCTGGTTACATTTTTGGTTTTAGGTAGTTTTTCCATGAAGTTTGGTCACACCAACTTGAAACTTAAAATACATGTTTGTTAGGATGTGAATATTTAAAGAAATATGCTAAATAGGGTTTTGGAACTTGATTCCACAGTTCACTGAACACGGGCATGGTGTACTATGAACACAAACTCTTGTTTCAAGATATTTTCACAGTATATGCAAAAATAGCAAACAAAAACAAATATGACAGAGAGAAACTAAAAACAACCTCTGAATTACATGCTCCTGGCTTAGCACATGCACACAAAGAATGTGGTTGGACCAAACATGTTTGTGAGGTCTCAATCCTCCCCTAAATGAGAACAGTGGTGTAACAGCAAAACATAAGAACAAACTTTGAAAATCAGTTGGAAATGGCTTGACTGATCAGATTGGTGAGAAGCACAAAAACAACAAAAGATAAAAATTACTGATCTAAGAGTACTCACAGTTACTGAAAGCTTGTTCAAAGCCAATTCATTCCTATTGCTAGCTTTTTAAATGTACATATACAAATATCTGCTGTTGATAATTTTGTGTCATTTGATTTGTTTATATGTTTAGCTGTATGAAGATGCAGTGGAAATGCAGCATTTCTTTATAAAGAAAAGAGACGAGATATGTAAGAATGGAGAGATCTTGCTAACTCCAGCTTTAAGTTACACAGAGCGCCACTTACAGGCAGCCCTTGATGCTGAAAGAAACAGGAAAATGCTTCAAGAGAAAGAGGGAACAGAAAAAGCTAAAAGAGAATCAGAAGAAAGACAGCTTCAAAATACAGTAATGTTTTATTTAAATTCAGTAGGAATGATCTGTTTTAAATCTATGCATATTGGAACCTTATGATAATTGTGGTTTAACTTCAAGAATCCCATATAGTGATTGTGGTAAATAACATTCCAGACCTACACTGTTAGTGAATTGATTAAAATGCAGTGTAATAAATAACATTCCAGACCTACACTGTTAGTGAATTGATTAAAATGTAGTATGGTAAATAACATTCCAGACCTACACTGTTAGTGAATTGATTAAAATGTAGTATGGTAAATAACATTCCAGACCTACACTGTTAGTGAATTGATTAAAATGTAGTGTGGTAAATAACATTCCAGACCTACACTGTTAGTGAATTGATTAAAATGTAGTTTGGTAAATAACATTCCAGACCTACACTGTTAGTGAATTGATTAAAATGTAGTATGTAGACCCGAATGGTCAATGCTTATATTTAAAATGTGTCACAGAATATGGAACTGAGATAGTGATTTCAAGATTTTAACCATACAACAAGTTACTGTGATACAGTATAGAATTATAAACTGGGATTTATTTAAAAGTTCTTTAATTTCTGACATGAATGTTCCCTTTTGACAGTTATGTTGATGTTCTGAATGGCCATAAAACATGTCACTGCTCAAAAAAATGATGAGTTTGACAAATCATTCAATAAAAATTCTTAAAAACAAATCTAAGAATCCCTGCCAAACTTTAGGAAATGAATTATTGATGCCCATATGTTTTGAATAATGACTACAGCCAACATATAACATTGCTGCCATTCTTTCTAAAAATATAAATTTTATGACAAGTTGAAAATCTTGTGAATGGCAAATTGGTAACGGTTGATGACCTTCAAATACCATTGAAAATTGCTATTGTAACTATGAAAACATTTGACAAATGGGGAAATGAAACATTTGTGATCCCAATTTTCTTTTATTTACTATTAATGACACAATTGCTAAACAAACAAAATTGTTTTGAAAACTTTCTTAGTTTAAGATTTTTAGAAATACAACTTTGCCCTCCGCCCCCCTTTTAAGAATTCTGGTTAATGATCACAACTACCATAAAAAATGTTACTTGATTGAAATGCATTTTTTTACAGAGAAAAAACATTTCAAAATGCATGTAAATGATATGACTTATTTTTTATGTTACATAGGTCAGTAGTGAAGATTTTTTCAAGTACAAAGAGCAAACATTTCATATTGGTGATACAGTGTATATTGAACCAAGGTAAAGTTTAAAATGAAATGATTAATAACTAGTTGGGGAGTAAATCTCTTCAGAATTCTGAAAAAAAACCAATTGTAAAATGAAATGGGATGATGCTCATATTTTAAGATACTCAGAATTTCTTTCTAGAATAAAGGCTATACAAAGTAATATTTTAAACTCAAAACACCCTCTGTGTAAAATTTTCAGAAATCTGTAAAACTCTCAGTGCGATTTCTTTGATATGACTATTGATTGTTAGTTCTTCCTACCATAACATCATTTTTTGGGGTAAGCCCTTTCTAAATTTGCAATTTGGCCGTTCGTTGGATTATAAAAGGATTTTAATGTTTGGATAGATCTGGTTTGAAGAGAAAATCTACAAGTATATACAGGTAAGTCTGATGGCTTTATTATTTCATAATTTGCATGGTGTTTTTTATATTGCCTGGCCCAGAGGGCCAGTGTGAGCTGTTGCCATCACTTGGCGTCCGTTGTCTTTTAACTTTTACAAAAAATCTTCTCCTCTGAAAGTACTTGACTACTAGGGGGGAAAAATAGCCACAATCATTCTTAGTGTATTTATTTTAAACAAAGTGTCTGATGATCCCCCATAGGCCAACATGGCTAAAAGTAGAATATAGGGTTTAAATGCCAGTTATCGTCTGATACCATAAATTAGGATATTTTGGTGGTTTTCACCAAAACAGTAGTGGTTAAATTTTGATGTGTCAAGTTTAGGCTCTTTGAGTCATTCCTGTTTTAAATTTTGCCATAATGGAATTCATGTACCTATTAACCTCTAAAAGTGAAAATGTAGGTCATGTCCTGCATAGAGTGAAAAAAAAAAATTCCGGTCATTATATTACAACATTATGTACAAACTTTTTTCAGTTGCATTTTACACATTTTTTTTCACCTACACTTAATTATAACTTGAAATGTAATCATTTGATTTCTTATTTATTAATCATTTAAAGACATTTATTATTTTCAACTAAAATTTAAAAAAACATCAATTTTGCCAAAAAATGTATTCACATTGTTGCAACCGACTTTTATGACGGTTCTAGTTATTCATCAAATAACTTTTTCTTGTCAACTTGCAAGGTTCAGAGTTGCAGTTCAGAAGTTTCAGTGGTCAAACTTTTGAGTTCTGATAAAGTTTGGGTTTCTAGATAGATGTTTTAAGTAATTGTTTTCCTGTACTGTTTGCAGCTATTCATATATGAATCAAACATTGCTTTGTAAAAGTCCATGACAGTTTCAATTCATACAGGATCTGAGAGAATAGTGTTATTATGCATTCTACTTGTTTGTAAGTTTGTTGGTATTTGCTTCTGTTTGTCAGCTGTTTGTCATCTGTTCGTCCATCAATTTTTTGGGTCACACTTTTATCTTCATATTTAATCAGCAGCTTGACAGTGATAGTTGTAATGTGTGAGACTTTTTAGGATCTGTCAGACACAAACCTTCGGTGTGCAGATACCTTGAATTTTCAATATGTTGAAAGAACTTAAAAATTTGTGTCACACTTTTCTCATGTGCTACTGAACATTTCATATTTATACAGCAGCTTAGCATTGATGAGTTGCAATGTGTGAGCACCTTTTTGATCTGTCAGACACCCACTTCAAATTTTACGATACTTTGAATTAAAAAAGGGGTGGTAATATTAAGCAGAACAATACCTGCAATCTTGTCCTATTTATTAACATTGGTGGAGGATATATTCTATTAACCTTAGATAGTGTTTTAATCAGATTTTGGCGTTCTCCTAAACAGGAGTCATATACAGTGCTATCACTTGGCATCCATCTTGGTCCGTTGTCATAAACTTTTTCAAAGATCTTCTTTAAAACTACTGAACCAATTTCAACCAACTTTGGGACAAATGATCTTTAGGGTTTCTAGTATTAAGTTTTTGTTTTATATTCCAGTCAGTCAACATACACCGTGGCATTAACTTAGAATAGAACATAAGACTAAATGCATTCCTTGATTGTCTTATATAGTATTAAGAGATGATCTGACAGGGGAAAAATGCTCATAACGTCAAAATCTACCTTTTTCAAAATTCCACCAATATTATCTGGTTACTCTTTATAATATAGGAGTTCTTGCACTTAAAAAAAGACCTATTGACTACTTTTTTGTATTTTTGTCTTTTAACTAGAAAACTATGATAGATAAGTATAAGCTAAAAACAGCAATAGTTTGAAAGGTGAGCGAATCAGGCTCTTATTAGCCTCTTGTTTACTTTTTAAGTCTTTTTAAATGACATAAGATATTTGATAAAGGTTAAGAGATTTCTATGACAATGTTTTTTTAAGATCAAATTTATTGAGAGATCTATTTACTCATGATTATTGACTTTGAATGGTGATTAATGACATTTCTAGACTATTTTCAGTGACGTTTCACACCTCTTAGCTATAATTAACAAGATAATTAGTGAATTGACACACTGTTGTATTGATACCTGTTAAATAATCTTAAATGGTAAGGTTCAAACTGATTCATGAAGAACTTCAAATTTGGCAGTATCTCGGGGGATCAAAAGTCTCATTGACAAGGATACGGGTGAAAATGGGTCAAATACTAAAATCACGGGTTATATGTTAATTGAAATAATTTGCCCTTAGAACTGCGGGTAGAGCAATTTGACTTGCATTTTAACAATTCATTCATAATGATAATCTTGTTTATTTTTGTAATCATATAAAATGATTGCTACAACATTTGATGTGTTGATCCTACTAATTATATAATTAGTGTGTTTTTTCACTCATAAAATTGAATCATATTTGTGTTTGGGCTAATTTTATTGTTTAATGAACATCATTGCTCATAACATTCCACTCCTGATTATTGAGAATCACATATTGACTATTTTGACTTCTGTTTTATTTTTGTGTGTTTAATTTTTGCACTTTCATCTAAGGCACCAAATAAACCAAAATATGACTACAACCAAAATATCCTAATTTTCAGTATCTTGAAAACTGTTATAGATAATAGAAATCAGATTTGGCTAAAATGTTCAAAATTTAGTGATCTACTTACTCAGTACTTTTTGTTGACCAAAACAGGAGAAGTCCTTGTAGGATTTATTGCCCTTTAATTGACAGTTTTACCTTTTTTGGATTTTGGCTATTAAAATCTTTAGATAGAAACTGTAAACAGTAAAATTAATCAGCTATATTTTTGACAGGTGAGCAATTCAGGCTCTAAGGAGCCTCTTGTTTTTTTTCATTCATTTAAATGATTCAAAGACACTCTAGTACAGGAAAAAAATATTTAATATTTATATTATGATGAGAGGACATCATTGATTACTTTAAAAAGTGTTTTTTTTTAGTTTGATAGTTATTCATATACTGTTTTCGAAAATGATTTTTATTCTAATTTGCAGTTGTAACTAAGAGAAAAATATAAGCATAATTTTTTTCATGTTGTTCCCAACTGAAGATTTATGAAATAAAATGTACCTGACTGAAAACAGTGTGTCATGCATTTAGCTCTAATCCTATGCATACCATATGTTTTTCAGAGAAGAAGGTCAGGAACCACATATTCTGTGTATTGAGAAATTATTTGTAGACACTGCTGGTGTACAAACATTGTACGGCTTCTGGTTTTATCGTCCAAATGAAACCTTTCATTCTGCTACCAGAAAATTTTTAGAGAAGGTCAGTTTGAATAATTTTTATAGATATTTTCTTTGATTATTAAGTATCCATACCTTAAACCATTGTGGTGACGTCAGCCTATTCATTTACCGTGGATTCTTTTTCTAGAATCAACGCTTCCTAAATCTGCCGCTGAAATGGACTCACCAAATTATTTTCAATTGTTTCCTTTGTGTGTCTAATTTCATTAAGTTTGAATTGGCTAATTTACTGATTTCTGTTCACTAATGGAATTAATTTAAAAACTTACCTTTAATCTTTGTAATTTGTATATGCCTTCACTGGGAATCGAACCCTTCCGAGAAATCTGTTATGAATGACTGACATCAACACATCGACGAAACCTCTCGGCTACCAATGGGTTACAACTTAGATGTCTATTTTATATATATAAATATACATCGGACACACAGGGGTTGTACCTTTATATATACACAATGGACAGTCGTATAATATAAGTTGGTAGCCGCGAGGTTAGCATGCTTAAATCAACGAGTTAAAAGATAGGGATTTGTCGGTTTAGGTTCGAATCCCTGTATTATCTCTGTTGTCCCAATTCAGTTTTTTTTCTAATTTTCATGTTATAGTGGATATTTTTGTAATAATAGCGAGTTTTACCGTTTATTTTTTGGATTATTATTGGCTATTTTAAATGTTTGAAACAAAAATGATTACATTCTATTTGTCAATTTTGTTGTATAAATATATTATGATTTCATCTGTTTTACTACATAATTTTACAAATGTTTGTTCGCAAATTCCTTTGCGAGAAAATCCTGATGTGCCTAGAGTGCTAGAAATTTCGGTAACATACTTATTATATATACTTTATATATGCTCTTTGGTCGGATTGTTGTCTCTATGACACATTCCCCATTTCCATTCTCAATTTTATTAGAAATAAGTTCAAATATGTCTTATTTTGTAAAAACAGATAATATTTAGATGCCTGATAATATAAAGATCTTTAAAGGTAGAAGTGTTATATTTGTATTTTATTAACCAATTAATTGTGATCTGAGATTTACCAATGCATCGTTGGACACGATAACATGGTTATTTAAACTCACTTACAATACCTTCTAATTAAGAAAAGGCTTTAATTTTGAAAAGAAATTAACACAATAGTTTAAGTTATAGATACAATGGATAAGCGTCGATTCATGAAAAACAAACCATTCGCCCTCCGGGCTCATGGTTTCTTTTTCAAGAATCCACGCTTATCCATTGTATCTATATAACAGATTCATTTATTGTAATATTAGCGAGGGTGTTACGTTCTTCAACATCATTATGATACAATAAGTCAAAGGCATATACAGACATTACATCCAAGTATATTAACAAATATTAGTCCAACATTTGCCTGTGATATCCAAAGTTGAAAGTAGTCATGTGACTAATTATACGACCGCAAAAAAATTTTTGTGGTCGTATATTGGTATGACGTTGGCGTCGTCGTCGTCCAAAGACACATTGGTTTTCGCACTCTTACTTTAGTTTAAGTGAATGGATCTCTATGAAATTTTAGCATAAGGTTCAATATCACAAAAGGAAGGTGGGGATTGATTTTGGGGGTTATGGTACCAACAGTTAAGGAATTAGGGGCCAAAAATAAGCATTTTTGTAACTTCCAGACATAACTTGTGTGTTAGTGTATGGATCTCTCTGACATTGTACCACAAGGTTCCATATCACTAAGGGAATGCTGGGATTGATTTTGGGGGTAATTGCCTCCAAATTTTAGGAATTAGGGGCCAAAAAGGGGCAAAAAACAAGCATGTTTCTAGTTTCATGACAATAACTTGTGTGTAAGTGTATGGATCTCTCTGACATTGTACCACAAGGTTCCATATCTCAAAGGGAATGCTGGGATTGATTTTGGGGGTAATTGCCCCCAAATTTTAGGAATTAGGGGCCAAAAAGGGGCAAAAAACAAGCATTTTTCTAGTTTCATGACAATCACTTGTTTGTAAGTGTATGGATTTTTATGAAATTGTACTACAAGGTTTCATATCACAAAGGGAAAGCTGGAATTGAGTTTGGGGGTAATTGCCCAAAATGTTTAGGAATAAGGGGCCAAAAATAAGCATTTTTCTAGTTTCCAGACAATAACTTGTGTTCAAGTGTATGGATCTCTCTGAAATTGTACTGCAAGGTACCATACCACATAGGGAAGGCTGGGATTGATTTTTGGGGTAATTGCCTCAAAATTTTAGGAATTAGGGGCCATAAAGGGGCAAAAAAACAAACATTTTTCTAGTTTCAGGACAATAACTTGTGTGTAAGTGTATGGATCTTTATGAAATTGTACTGCAAGGTTCCATATTACAAAGGGAAAGCTGGGTTTGAGTTTGGGGGTAATTGCCTTAAACGTTTAGGAATTTGGGGCCAAAAAGGGGCCAAAAAACAAGCATTTTTCTAGTTTCCAGACAATAACTTGTTTTCAAGTGTATGGATCTCTCTGAAATTGTACTGCAAGGTACCATACCACAAAGGGAAGGCTGGGATTGAGTTTGGGGGTGATGAATCATAAGGGGGTTCAAAAAATTTCGGGGGGGGGATTTTTTTTTAATTTTTTTTCTTTAATATTTTCCATTTTAAATTGGTTATTTCTGATTTATATATAAAAGCAAATAATAATGATATGGTTTGAATAGGTAAATTAAAAATGTTTAAGTTCTTAGACCACATTCATTCTGTGTCAGAAACCTATGCTGTGTCAAATATTTAATTACAATCCAAATTCAGTGCAGTATCAAGCTTGAATGTTGTGTCCATACTTGCCCCAACTGTTCAGGGTTCGACCTCTGCAGTCGTATCAAGCTGCGCCCCAGCGGAGCATTTTATTTGTTACTTACATCTAGCTTTTAGTGATATATATATGGTAAGTTGAGTTGTGGTCCATTTTGCTTAATATGGACTGATTCATGGTCGTATGTACAGTACTAGGCACTGATTCTGGTATATTAGATATTTTGCTAAATATTTGAAAGAACTCAAAATGAATACTTTTTTTTATAAACAATTTTCTATAGATCCGATAGGTGTAGTGACAAAATCAGACGTTAAAAAGTTTCAATATACTATGCATGTCATTCTAATTACAGGAAGTATTCAAGAGTGATGTGTACACAAACATACCATTAACACAGGTCATAGGTCGATGTTACGTCATGCATGTCAAGGAGTACTTCAAAATGAAACCTGAGGTATGTCAGTCCTAGTAATACTATGATATGTCATCTTATATTAGTCTAATTTTTTTGTATTAACACCATTTATTTATTTTTGTATGTATTTTTCAAGAGACAGTTACATGTATATGTTAAATGTATTTAAAAAAAACAATGGAAAGAACGTTTTTTCTCATCTGCAACAAAAATTACCAAAAGTGACTTTAAGCGAGACATGGGTATTACATTTAATGGCAGAGGCCACAACAGCTTTAACAACTTGCATATAACCTCAATATCTTATCCCTATTTTCACCTCAGAGCACAAACATTTTTTGAAGGAAATTCATAATGAGACCTTGTCAGCTGACCTTTACCTCATTTTCATCCTGTGGGGGTCGGGGTACATTTTAGGATGTCTTTTTCTTGGTAACTATACTTGATAGCTCAACATTATTTTAGTAAGTGTTTTTCAGAATCACATCCTATAGATAAAAATTAATTGTATGTAAATTCATTACATATATTTAAGCATGTTCACTTGACAGATTTTATTTGATCACTGACCTCAATTTGATAGTATTTCTTTTAACAAAATACAATATTGCAACATGTGAGAAATTTTAGTGTTAAATCTTGTTTTAAAAGTTGTTACAAATTATAATGGTGAAAAGAAGAATAAGAAATAAAAAACCAACCATCTAGACATTATATAATCTACCTATATTTTCAGGGATTTTCAGATAAAGATGTATATGTGTGTGAATCAAGATACTCGTCAAGACTCAGAGGTTTTAAGAAGATTAAGGTAAAAGTCAAATGAAAATCTTTTCTTCAAACAGTTTCACTATAGATTACTTGCTATGAATGATAACTTTTAGTGTTTTTTATAGAATTATTTTCAGTTTAATATTACTAATATAGAGAAATACCTCTATAACCTGCCACTGTTGCCACAGGATGATTTAATCATATACTTATTTAAGTACATTTACTTGTAGATTTGGCCAGTGCCAAGGAATGACCAAGTTATGTTAATACCTAGGGAGGTTACCCTAGTACCTATCAGAGTAGCATCTGTGTTTGTTGACAAGGAGAAAGATGAAGCAGATGATGGAGACAATAGTGTTTTGGACAAAGTCAGACTGGTAGGTAGCTGGACTGAAGGATACTTTTTATGTCCATTTGCAATTTTTTTTTTTTTTATTGAGCATATCTTAATATTCAAAGATTAAATGAAAATAACACTAGATAAGTTTGCGTGTCTAAAGTGCTTTTCTGGATTTACCTTCACCAGGAACGCTTTTAAAAACCAAATATTTGAAAGCCAGGATGTATAAATACATAGAAATGTTAAGAGCCATATGACCAAAAGGGAACCTAAACCAAATAGACAAATTCATCTGCAATTTTCCTATGTCAAACATCAAATGGTCATTTTACTTAATGCATTACAAAATTTTTTTAATTTATTTTATGAGTCTTGAACATCTGAAGAATATGTTAATGTATATTTTACTTCCAGGATGTTCGTATAGAAAATATACAAGGTGAAGAAGGTTTGACCTATTTTGAACAGTTGACCTGTAAAGCTGGTTCATTTAAAATTGGTGATTGTGTTTATGCTAGGTCAGCCAAAGACAGACCTGTTATTAGTAGAATTGATAAGATTTGGTCCAATCAAGTGTAAGTTCAATAATTATTAGATTTTTTTTAATAACTTATGAGAAAATGAGGAAATTGTTTACATATGATAGTTGACTTCTTAGTCTAATCTTAAGAAATGATAATGCTTTGTTAGCTGAAAAAAGATACAGTTTAATATTCATTATTTACTGTTAGTGACAATGAAAAAAGGACCCGAATAAGAGCCATCAAATAAAATCCGTTTCCATTGATTGTTTGAAATGGACCAAATTAAAGCAAGCCAGAGCAACATTCATAGATTTTTATTTCTTTAAAAACAACTGCCACTCTCCCCTTTTTTGATTTGTATAGTATACTATAAATTGAATAATGTGTAATTTTTAATCAAGGTTGACTCAACAATATTTTTTACAGTGGTGAACCTATTATAAACAGTACCTGTTTTGTTTTTCCTGTTGATATTGAACACTCACCAACTCGTCTGTTTTACAAGAAGGAAATTTTCTTGACTACAACAGAAGAAACATTATCAATGAACAATATTGAAGGAAAATGTTCAGTACTTCACATCAAGGATTACTATACCAGTAAGTTATATATGACCATTTTTAGCTCACCTGGTCCAAAGGGCCAGTATGACCTATTGCCATCACTTTACAATGATCCCCCCTGCAAACCAACATGGCAGCCAAGGCTAAACATAGAACATAGAGGTAAAATGCAAATATTATTTAATATCTTCGAAAACCATTTAAAGAGAGAAAATCTGGCATGGGCTGAATTTTTCACTTTGTAAAGAGCTACCTACTGTCCAAATTTCCTAAAATTGTCAGACAACTTATCATTTGAAATATTTATATGCATGTAATCCCTATACTCCATTTTCTGTAAATTTTGGTGTTTTCAATTACAGCTCTCCAGATTGAATTTTTATGCTTTCCACACAATTGATTTTGTTGATTCTCACCCTACCTGTCTTTTGAAAAAAAAAAATAAACATTTTTTTATGCCCAAATTTACAATAGAAGGAGGGTATTATGTTTCCCTGTTTGTGCATTTGTCCGTCCATCCAAATGTCCGTATGAGGTTACATTTTGTGTTTTAAGGTAGTTAAACATGAAATTGTGGTAATGTGGTTTCAACTTGAAACTTAGAACACATGTTTATTGATGTGAACATTTTAAATATTTGACTATAAGGTTTTGACCTTGATTTCACAGTTCACTTAACATAGAAATGTGTATTCTTGTTTTAGCAGGGCATTAACCATTGCATTGTTTTGTTTTTCAGGTCGTATAGGAGACATACCAGAAGATGATGTATATGTTTGTGAGTCCAAATATCAAGAACCAGAAAAAACTATAAAAAAATTAGGAAAAGGATTAAAGGTATAGAATCATACAAGTATTTTTCTGAAGGATGGCAGCTGTGTTGAAATATTTAATGAGATTTTGTTATGTAGATTGATAATGACAAGTAATAATGGTATCAACTCTGTTAGATGTAAATAAACTCTTTTTTTATACCTCATACAAAATGGTAAATGATTATTCTTTAAATGTGGAAATTTGTTCACGCTTGTTAATTTCCTTTATTTCGCAATGCATAAAATGTTTCCAAAATATCCCAGCACAAATAGTATTTTAAAAGCAACAACATTGATGTGAAGTGCTAATTTTATTTTTAATATGTACATTTAAATGCGCACACAAAGTTAATGTATGGGAATCACCAAAGTATCCATGTCTACAGTATTAGTCTTCATGTTTGTTCACCTTTCAATATGCCACACTATGAAATTCAGATTTATACGATGAAATGAAAATTGATTAATTATGCAATATAATATACTATTAAATACCATTGGATTGCTTTAAAATGGGTTTAAAATTTACCATTCATGACTACCATTTCTTTTCTGAAAATTGTGATAGTGTGGGAGGAATAGGTATCTCAGTATTACTTCACTTCGATTTGTATCAATAAGTTGTTATTATGACACAGGGCACCAATTGGTTAGTATACCCAATCCTACCTTCAGTTAACAATTTTTTTCTAAGTGTGAATTTTTCAACACTATTACTTTGCCTGGAATTAAATTTTAGATAGTGATTAAGCATCATATATACATATGATATTTTCATGAAAATGAAGAAAAAATTAGTTTTAAGGAAAAACTTGGTTTTCTCCAAAGGAATCGCAAAGGCAGTATGCCTTGAACAAAAATGAAATTGTACACAGTTGTTAATCATATTAATATTTTATCCTAGTAAACAAATCACTTTGCAGGAATTTTACTTATTTTTATGCCCCCACCATCACCAGAGTGGACATTAAGTGTTACCCTTGTCCGTATGTCCGTCCCAAAATAGTTTCCGTTCTCTAACTTTAGTTTGCCTCAACCAAGTGTTATGTTATACACAATGCTTATTACTACAACACATAGATCAAGTTTGAATTTGGGTGGCGTCACTTCTACCGTTCTGGAGTTATGCCTCTTTATAATGTTATATGCAAGGGGGGCATCATCTGTGTCCCATGGACACATTCTCCATTTATTTAATAATCATATGGTGTCCTCTTTGATCATGTATTCACAAGCAGAGCCTTTCTGATATGTCAGTTTTCAAGTTCTACTGTACTTTGAAAAGATGAAATTATCTATACATGTAATTTTCTCAACAGAAATACACCCTGTCACCATTGGTTACAGATGATGAACTTTACTTCTTCAAAAAGCCTCTGACTCTACAAAAGGTAAGTTTTATATGAATATTTAGGTCACATTAACAAAAAGAAAATTTATTTCCAATACGATGTTGTTGTTATTTTCCAGAAAGTATGTTTTCAGAACACTTATTTTAGGACTACTACAGTAACAGTAGTGGTAATTTCAGAGTTATAACTAGATTTTTAACGGTAATTAGATCACATCAAATGAAATGCTTTTCTTAGTGTTTGTGTGACCTCAGATTATTTTTAGTGTGACATTATAAATGTGCAGAAATGTAAAAAATAGTTTGCATGGATTAAAAGCAACTTGCCAAATTTCACATTAAAGGGTTTTTTTTCACTGTCACTTGACTGTACAGTTTTAAATCACTTCATTTACTTTACCTACCATAAACTCTTGACACAATCTTCAGGGACTTTTCTAATGATTAAATATAAAAGTGTTTTCCATTGAAATTTTAGCATTCAAAAACGTTTCAATTTTGTGTTAAATTTTGAATGGGAAATAAAAAATGTACAGAATATCCAGGAAATGCAACTGTTCAAAGAGTCATTAAAACTCTTGTAAGATAGGAAAATGCATAATAGATGCACCCGAAAGGACCATCATATTTCATACTTTTAATAAAAACACTTGAAAATAATAGTTTGCAGCGTTCAAACATATGTCAAAACTTTTGAATAAAACTGTAGTACATGAGGCTCAAAAAGATTTCAATTTTAATTTATAATTCCATACAGTACACTCCTGTGTAATTGAATGTAAATAGTATACAGATATAGACACTACTTGTACAAGGAACTAAGTAAACTGATAATCTTGATCTCCATACAGTGTACCCCTGTATAATTGAATGTAAATAGTATACAGATATAGAGACTACTTGTACAAGGAACTAAGTAAACTGATAATCTTAATCTCCATACTACATGAATAGTTCAATGCCAACATTTAAAGAATTAGCATTTAAAAGATCTTAATATTTCCTCTACAATAAATAAATTGAATTTTGTTGATGAAAGTTTATCTTTAAAGAAATAGAATGTAAAAAAACCCACAGTAGCTGTTCCATTAAAAAGACGTGCCTAATGAAAGGCATACTGAAATTACTATCATATATGGATGCCATTCAAAATCTGCTTTATAAAAGATGGCAGCAGAACATTGATAAACACCATTACTGCAAGTTCAACAGCAAATTGTTTGCTTGTGTCAAAGAGAAATTGTGTTTAGGAGGAAACCCCTCAATAAGAGTCTGATTTAGAGATAAAATTATACATAATTAACACTAATGGTTAAATCCAGTAAAAAAAGTTGGAACTAGTTTTTGGGTATAAAAAATAGGAAGATAATTGCTTATTGATATAAAATGCAGTACATTTATAATAAGCCTAAGATTCGGTTTTGTATCTTCATAAACATATACCTAGTTAGTTATTGACAATGTACATTCTTGCATGTGTATTTCCAGATAAATTCTAGTCAACTTTATGGAATCAAAACTACAGTAGGGATCTGTCTGTTGCTTTTTCATTGTTTATGTATTAGAGTTATTACAGATTGTCAAAATAAAATACCTGTTTGTTGTCAGTCCTTCTCTGTTTCATTCAAAACAATATATAACTTTTAAAGTTACACAATTTATGAAAAGAGTGTCATATTTGAATTTGTTTTTATATATTACAATAATAATAAAGCATTGTGTTACTATTTTGACTTCTTATCCCACACAATATTACAAAAAAAAACATTTTAGGGAATAAAAGATATCAAGTTAAGTAAGCTTTACCAAGTTTGACATCAAATATTTCTGTAATGGCTCTCTATCATTCTTGCTTTCTTTTGCCAATTTTAGCTTTATGTTTCATTACTCATAATGTACAGTCTTTTATGTTTCTGTGTTTAGTTAGTTATTTATTTCATTTTAAGCATGACGTTGATAAGATTTTTATTCGTTGATAAGATTTTTATTCGTTGATAACATTAATTATTTATTTACATAGAAAGAAGATATGATATTTTGAGTTTTTTTTTGTATTCTTAAATATTTTGGACATTGCCATTTACAAGTTTCATGGTTTTTTGTAAATGGTTGTAAAGTCCTAATTGCATTCTTGTATTGAACGAAAAAGGTATTCTTAACCTGAGAAAATCATTTTAGAAAAAAAAAAAATTGTTTATACAGAATTATTTTTTGGAATAAGAAGTAGGGGCCTCGGTGGCCGAGTGGTCTAAGTAGTTATTACTGTAATCACTAGCCAGTCAACACTGAAGTTGAGTGTTCGAACCCCGCTCGTGCCGGTGCACTCGACTCCAATCTTAATTGACTAGGATTGTCAGTTTTCCTATCGAAGGTCGTGGTTTTCTCAGGGCACTCCGGCTTCCTCAACCAATAAAAACTGGCCGCCACGAAATAGCCCAAAAGCAGTGCTTAAAAGTGGCGTTAAAACACCAAAAATCAAAAAATCAAAATCGAATCAGAAGATGAAGTCCTTTGAGCCTGCTTTGAGTAACTGAGAGCATTCTTTGATACAGTATTGTTTATTATTGTTTTATTTGTACTTGTGTTACACCAGTGTTATATAGTTAATTTTAGGAACCCAACAAGTTGTGTCAATCCACTGATCAAGATTAAAAAGAGTAGAGTTAATACCTAAAAAAAAAATAGTTTAACCTGCCATATTTTAATGTGCCTGTCCCATATCAAGAAGATTGTCAGTGGTTGTCTTTTGTCATATTTTAAAATGTTTTTGTTTGTTTTGGCTTTGATATCTTTGATAATCTCCTGTTGATAAATTGACAACTGACATTGGTCAGTTTAGAGTTTGATATATTGTATGTTGACCTCTAGATGTGTTTTAATTGTTTGTGTCAATGGGTTGCTGTCTCATTGATGAATACTCTTTTATTCATATTCTAGCAAGCAGTTCTAGATCAAAGTATAAATATTACTCTGTGAGATTCAGAACAATCTGTTTAAATTGAAAATCATGCTTACAAGGATATGACAACAGGTTTTGTCATAATGATACCGATCTTCAAAAATATTATTGGTTGACGTAAGAATTTTCAGAACAGAAAGTATAAAACAGAGCATTATTAAATCCATGTAAATGAAGTGTGAACACATGATCTGTTTTCCATCTGGATTGGATTTAGAATTGATAAAGAATTCAAAAAACACTCTTTTTCTCCAAATGTGTCATCAGTATTTACCTTATAGTAGTTAAATGCGATATCCTCTTTCTCTGAACCAGTTATAATGACATGTCAACACAATGTAAGGATTGGTTAAAGATGGTCACTTTGGCTCAGTTTTATTTAGACATGTGCAAGATTTATTCACACTATGCTGATAAGGAATGATTCTTTACACATTTTTTATTTTTTATATCCAATCCTGTGTAGCATTATAATATGAAGAAAATCTTACTTTTATCTCAGGTTTAACTTTTAAAGGATCTAATTGACTTATATGCTTGCTTTATACTTGGTGATTTGACAGTTTTTCTAGTATTTGAATTTGTTCCAATATGCTTTTAAATATAGAAAGCATGTGTAATTTGTTCTGGCCTATGACAGAATTAGCAGGAGGCAGGATAAAAGGTGTTACTTTTCCTGTGTAAATGATTTTGTTAGGTTTATGTTACTGCTTATAAAGATCTGTTATCCATCAATTTCAGTTATACATTTCAAGTTAGAATAAAGATTTTGCAGAGTATAAAAAAAAAGAGTTCTTATGTATTAAAAATGCAACTACATACAATTGGCAGAAGAATATGAGGAAATTTTAGTCATGCTCCAGTTACTTTGTATATTTTTCTTCCAAATGTTTGCTGATTAGGTGTGTACTGGTAGATTAAGTACTTATGGTCAGTGCCTGTTGCATCACCTCCAGTCCAGTGCATGCCTGCTGTAAACGTAATATGAACCCCTGTCCTGTTTTCAAGCTTCTTCTTTAATTTACAGAACAGAACAAGAAATTGTCTAAATTTGATATAACATGGCTGAAATAAAAATCATTGTCAACCAGCATACCTGTGAAAGGATGGAACCAAAAAACTTTTAATCCCTATATTAAATAGCTGGCTTCTTATTTATTTGTATCTATGAATATGTTGGAACACCTATTTCTTATGTATTAAAATTAACTATGTACACATAACTTGCAACAAATTTTGTGGATCATTTCTAGAGGTATTCACAAAATCTTGTTAATTCTTTTTAATTACAACTGACATGGGGCAATTTAAAGCTTGACATATACAGACATACTGTTAGGTTGTCTGACATGGGGCAATTTAAAGCTTGACATATACAAACATAGTGTTAGGTTGTCTGACATGGGCCAATTTAAAGCTTGACATATACAGACATACTGTTAGGTTGTCTGACATGGGTCAATTTAAAGCTTGCCATATACAGACATAGTGTTAGGTTGTCTGACATGGGTCAATTTAAAGCTTGACATATACAGACATAGTGTTAGGTTGTCTGACATGGGCCAATTTAAAGCTTGACATATACAGACATAGTGTTAAGTTGTCTGACATGGGTCAATTTAAAGCTTGACATATACAGACATAGTGTTAGGTTGTCTGATATGGGTCAATTTAAAGCTTGACATATACAGACATAGTGTTAGGTTGTCTGACATGGGCCAATTTAAAGCTTGACATATACAGACATACTGTTAGGTTGTCTGACATGGGTCAATTTAAAGCTTGCCATATACAGACATAGTGTTAGGTTGTCTGACATGGGTCAATTTAAAGCTTGACATATACAGACATAGTGTTAGGTTGTCTGACATGGGTCAATTTAAAGCTTGACATATACAGACATTGGGGTTATTATGGTATAATGGTGATTGAGATAGTTTTGGGTTGTAAGTGTGAAATGGTGGGGGGAGAGTTGATTTTGTAGTTTTAAGTGTATAATGTTGAATGAGATAATTTTTGGGGTTATAAGTGTAATGGTAAATGAGTAGATTTTGGGGTTGTTATGGTATAATGGTGAGTGAGATAATTGTGGGGTTATAAGTGTTAAATGGTGGGGGGAGTTGATTTTGCAGTTATAAGTGTATAATGGTGGGAAATGATTTTGGGGTTGTAAGTGTATAATGGTGAGAAATGATTTTGGGGTTGTAAGTATATAGTGGTGAGTGAGTTTATTTTGGGGTTGTCAGTGTATAATGGTGAGAGAGTTGATTTTGGGTATTAAGTGTACAACGCTGGGGGAGTCGATTTTGCAGTTATAAGTGTATATAATGGTGAGAAATGATTTTGGTGTTGTAAGTGTGTAATAGTGGGAAATGATTGTGGGTTGTAAGCGTAAAATGGTGGGAAATGATTTTGAGATTGTAAGTGTATGATAGTGTATAATGGTGAATGAGTTGATTTTGGTGTTGTCAGTGTATTAAGATGGGAAATGATTTTGGGGTTGTAAATGTATAATGGTGAGTGAGATGATTATGAGGTTATAAGTGTATAATGGTGAGGAGGATGATGGTGAGGTTATAAGTGTATAATGGTGGGAAAAGATTTTGGGGTTGTAAGTGTATAATGGTGAGTGAGATGATTATGAGGTTATAAGTGTATAATGGTGAGGAGGATGATGGTGAGGTTATAAGTGTATAATGGTGGGAAAAGATTTTGGGGTTGTAAATGTATAATGGTGAGTGAGATGATTATGAGGTTATAAGTGTATAATGGTGAGGAGGATGATGGTGAGGTTATAAGTGTATAATGGTGGGAAAAGATTTTGGGGTTGTAAGTGTATAATGGTGGATGAGATGATTTTTCGGTTATAAGTGTTTAATGGTGAGTGAGATGATTTTGGGTTATAAGTGTTTAATGGTGAGTGAGATGATTTGGGGTTATAAGTATTTAATGGTGAGAGATGATTTGGGGTTATAAATGTACAAAGGTAAGTTAGTTAAAGAGTTCATGTTTCCTTTTATTTGATCTTTCATGGAATTATGAACAATGGAATTGGAAAATTTAGAAGCAGTCAAGGCACTTGTGTGGTTTGTATATCGAAACCATTTAATACTCATTTACTTTCGACATTATTTAATAATCCCATTAGTGGTTGCCCTGTAAAGTTTTAAAAAATGTTGCGCATTTTCTGTAAGTGTTGTGCTGTTACTGTTTTTGTCACTAACACCAAGTTTGCTAGCTTAAGCTTTAACCAGCTTGTCTTGATTTTCAGGAGCCTTCTCCTTTGCTGATGAAAGTAAATGAAGATACCAACACTTCTTTTGTTGAGCAGGAGTCGTTCATCGATGAGGACAGTCGATCAATGGATACCAGTATTAGTTCAGTATTTGAATCATTTACACCACAACCAGAAAAACAACAAATGTCATCTTCTAGTAAAAAGGTAGTACAAAAGAACAGATCTGGGGTAATTAAAAGTGTAATTGTAATTATATGTAATTTATTACAAATTTGAAACTAATTTAATGTAATGTGTAATTATGCCCCCGCCACTAGGCGAAGGAGGCATTAAGTGTTACCCTTGTTCGTCTGTACATCCCAAAATTGGTTTCCGTTCTCTAACTTTAGTTTGCCTTAACCAAATGTTATGAAGCTTATGCACAATGCTTATTACCATAAAACACAGATCAAGTTCGAATTTGGGTGGCGTCACTTTTACAGTTCTTTAGATATGTCCCTTTACAACGTATGCAAGCGGGGGAATCATCTGTGTCCCATGGACACATTCTCCATTTATTTATTTTATTTTGACAGAGAAAACGTAGGCAAAGTAAAAACAAACAAAAACAAGTTATGAATCTGAATTGATTAAATAGAAAAAAACATTAGGTTTTAAAAAAGACATGAAATAAAATAAATCTTGTGTGAGGTAAAATCGAATTACAGATGACTTTGAAATATATATCTATTAGTGATTAAACATTTAAATGAAATATTAAATTTCTAAACACAAAACAATGCTTCCACAAATGTTTCAGTGCTAAACTGTGGCCTCATTTTAACTGGTTCACATTTTATCCTATATGATAAAGTTCTTAGTGCAAAAGTTATTGAAATATAATTGATTACTTAGTTAAGTAATTTGACCCCAAGACTGCAAAAGAGTCAGTTAATAGAATGCTCTTTGTTGTAAATCAATCTGAGCTTTATTTGTTGATATCATTTGAATATCGTTCAGAAGTTATGTATGAGATATTTACATTTACTATTTCTTGATCATTTCTCCTAAAAATTCATGTTTTCTGGACCATTTTTTTTTAACACTATTTTCAGATTTTAAAATTCCCAAGAAATAATTTTTATTGCAGTTAAAACACTTGAACGTTAAGGAATAGGAAATTCTATTTTTATGATTTTTTTTTATAATTTGAAAAAAGAATGAAAGAAACCTTCAGTATTAAAACAGATTTGATATTTTAGGCCAAACCAGGAATGAGGAGGCAGATCAGCGGATATATTGTATATTCTGGAGTAATAAGAAAACAAATTCAGCATGATAATCCTGATTGTTCCTTTGGGGACATCAGTCGTATTGTGGGGACAAAGGTAAAATGTGGCATGTAGCCAAGTTGCCTCGTGTTTAACTGTGCATGATGCATGACAAAGGTCCATATAGGCAAACAAAATCAAAGTAAAGCCAAGGAATTTGCTGAGATTCTCTTGACCATTACACATTTTTAACGTTTCCTAAATGGACCTTAGTATCATTATTTTTATGTTGCATTTTGTTTTGATTTATATAAATTTTGTAGGATAGAAAGCCACGAGTACCTAGCGGTTACATATTGTTTTCAAAGGACTTTCGCCGACAGACTCAACAGAAAAATCAATATATATCTTTTGGTGAAATGAGTCGTATGGTGGGAGAAAAGGTAAAAATATCTAGATTGTTATCAACCTGATAAATTGTCTTACATCAGGGAGTTGTTAATTGACCTTTAACCCCAAGAACGTTATGTGTATTTATACCATAGAAATCAATGCCCAAACAAACATATTTCTTTGATTTTTTATAAAACTTAAGCTGTGTTACTTGTTTAAGGTAAAGTGAATATTCTTCAACTTAATGATATGGGAAAATTAGTATGGATTGTCTTGTCTACTTTTATGTTACACAAGCTCCAACAAAGCTGTAAAACATCAATGGTTACATGAAGGACATGATTTAATCAATATGTACTTAAAAATACTGGCAATATTGGAACAATCTTCTTTATTTCATGTTGGCAGAGTCCCAAATTAAACTCCAGAATTACGAAATTAACTAGGAGTGAATTTTTTGATACTATTAATGAACTTTTGACATTAGAGCACAATAAAATTCCTGTCTCATTCATTTCCTTCAGAGTATTTTGGCAAACTGTTAGGAGCTTATTGAGAGGTCATATCCAGAAGTCATGCAAATGGTTTCTTTAGCTTTATCGTCATTTTTAGTCGCCAAGTATATTATATTACTTACCAAAACATTTGTGTCCTTTAAAACATTCTTTTCTGAGAAAGTTTTATTATATACATTTATTTGTTGATGTGCTGACATGTTGTTATGTTTTGTCCATGTAGATGTATAATGTGTACTGTTTATGTATAGTAGTTCCCAAAATATTTTGTGTTTTACATTCCCTGCATTTTGAATTTTGTTTTTAACCTAGAATAGATTGATGTAAATGTGTAATGTGCTAACTTATATGTCATGTATAAACAAACACTATTGAACGTCTGCAAGATATTCGAAAATATATAATGTATTTTGTTTTTATCAATGCTACATTCAGCACTTTAAATGTCAAAGGAACTTAATTTTAAACATTACTTTTGGTTTAAATTTGATTAGATTAAAGTAATTATTTAACCTCTGTAATGTGTACAACTTCTTTTTAAATATAAGGAAGAGTCTGACTTTAAGGCATGAGCATTTAAAGAAGTAAAAAAAACATAATATCAAACATTTTTATTGAGAGTTATAGGAAACAGTCTAGAAACTATATTTTGTTGTCCTATTCCTAAAACTTGGAAGCATGCATGTCAGACTGTAATTTTCGAAAAAAAAAATTTTTTTTTTAATTTATTTGTTAATTTAGCATCTTTTTCATATTAGCTTATGCATGTTACATATTCTATACATATTTAGTAACATTAGGATATACTTTGAAGAACTAGTTTATGTAAAATTATTAAGAAATAAGTTTATAAGTGCTTAGAATATTAAAATATCATATTCAAAGTTAACTTTATCAACCTGAAAAGAAACAGTCAATTGCCGAATTCATAATCTGATTTTATCAAAAGCTGTTATACATCAACATAGGCAACTCCAGGTGATTTTGAATGAAAAAAGGTGTGCATAAATAGGCATTTAAACAATATTTGTTAATGTGAAAATATCCATAAAATTGTCTCAAAATATCATGAAACTGATAACTTTTGTTTGTCACCTGGAGCAAATGATAACATGTCCATAGACAGTGAAAATATCAACAAGAAGTTTCCTGTGGGGTTTTTATACGACCGCAAAAAAATTTTTGTGGTCGTTTATTGATATAACGTTGGCGTCGTCGTCGTCCGAAGACACATTGGTTTTCGCACTCTAACTTTAGTTTTAGTGAATGGATCTCTATGAAATTTTACTATAAGGTTCAATACCACAAAAGGAAGGTAGGGATTGATTTTGGGGGTTATAGTACCAACAGTTAAGGAATTAGGGGCCCAAAAGGGGCAAAAAATAAGCATTTTTGTAACTTCCAGACATAACTTGTGTGTTAGTGTATGGATCTCTCTGACATTGTACCACAAGGTTCTATATCACAAAGGGAATGCTGGAATTGAGTTTGGGGGTAATTGCCCAAAACGTTTAGGAAAAAGGGGCCAAAAATAAGCATTTTTCTAGTTCCCAGACAATTACTTGCGTTCAAGTGTATGGATCTCTCTGAAATTGTACTGCAAGGTACCATACCACAAAGGGAAGGCTGGGATTGATTTTGGGGGTAATTGCCTCAAAATTTTAGGAATTAGGGGCCAAAAAGGGGAAAAAAACAAGCATTTTTCTAATTTCAGGACAATAACTTGTGTGTAAGTGAATGGATCTTTATGAAATTGTACTACAAGGTTCCATATCAAAAAGGGAAAGCTGGGTTTGAGTTTGGGGGTAATTGCCCTAAACGTTTAGGAATTTGGGGCCAAAAAGGGGCCTAAAAACAAGCATTTTTCTAGTTTCCAGACAATAACTTGTGTTCAAGTGTATGGATCTCTCTGAAATTGTACTGCAAGGTACCATACCACAAAGGGAAGGCTGGGATTGAGTTTGGGGGTGATGAATCATAAGGGGGTTCAAAAAATTGGGGGTGGGGATTTTTTTTTCTTTAAAATTTTCCAATTTGAATTGGTTATTTCTGATTTATATATAAAAGCAAATAATAATGATATAGTTTGAATAGGTAAATTAAAAAATTTTAAGTTCTTAGACCACATTCATTCTGTGTCAGAAACCTATGCTGTGTCAAATATTTAATCACAATCCAAATTCAGTGCTGTATCAAGCTTGAATGTTGTGTCCATACTTGCCCCAACTGTTCAGGGTTCGACCTCTGCGGTCGTATCAAGCTGCACCCAGCGGAGCATTTTATTTTATAAGTTAAATGATATATCTTTCAATAGAAATTTTAGCAATTACTGTGGGAATTTAAGAGTACAAATTTTGAGAAATTGTAGAACACTTTTAATTATTTTTAAACCTGTCTTTTGACACTAACAATCCATGGTCATCCTTACTTTAAATAAAGCACACAAAAAGTAATAAGGTATTTTTACAGTAACTATGATGATAAAAAAAAAAAAAGGAAATCTTTGAAAAGCTTTTTAAAAGAAAAATGAAAAAATATAACCAATTTGTTCCTTTTTTACGGTAAATCCATCTAATCACTTTTGTCTTAATATTCAATATTACTGAAAACAAATGTTTTCTTTCCCATTTTAACAGTTTATTATATAACATTAAAACATTAAATGATAAGAGTTAAAATTCTTGGAATGCAAAAGGTCTTATTTAAGATTTTTTGAAGTGTGTCAGGCCTAAGGTTTAAGGTTCTGGAGGCATTTAGATTACTTGAACATGAAGAGCAAAGCTTAGTTGATGTTAAAAAAGAAAATATAAAAAGAAATTCAAGAACAAAAACTGTTAGGAGAATTTCATCAGAGTTATCATTCTTGATTGTTGTGTTCTGTGAAAGTAGTTGAACAATAAAATTAAAATTTTAAGAAGGACAAAAAACAAAAGGATTGCATTATGGGAAAATTGATTGATTTGTATGTTGTTTGATTTTATTATCCGTCAATAGAATTAATATTGTGATTGTACTGTATTGAACTTTTAGTGGAGAAATTTAAGTCTTGATGAGAAACAAATGTATGAAGGTAGAGCCAAGAAAATAGCAGAGGAACAAGTTGCTAAACAGCAGGAAGCTGAACGGGCCTTCAATGAGAGCCTATCACAGCAGCAGCAGCAACAACAGCAGCAACAGAGTCCATGGGGAGATCTATCAAAGATGTCTCCTTCAGTATCTAGACCTGCCACACCAGCTCAAGGTATAGTTTTAAAAGGACTGTTTCAATATTGTTTGTCTTATTTAGTGTACATTTGCACCTTGAAATTTGAGTTTGTTTCAAGCATAAGAAACAAGTTTAAATATGACTGTCATTTATAACTATAATTTAACATTACTATTTAATCCAATGCAACAGAACAAGTCTAAACTTATGTCAGTTAAAAAACTAATATTTATCTTTTCTGTTTTGAAAGTTATGTATACACTTATTCAATATTTTGGTAAGAAAAAGAAAGATTTCATGACCATCTGTTATCTAACAGATATAGTCTTTCACCACAAAGTTTGAAACGTTAACCAATTTTTCCTGCAACTCGTCAGTTATATTGTAGTTAAAGCTATTTAAACAATTATTAGGTATTGAAACCAATTTGTTCAGGTGAAACAGCTTGATTTAATAGATTCATTTTCCCCACATTTATAAAGGAAGACAGGTTTTCAAAATCGCCCACAATTTACTGGTATGAAACCAAAGTTGCCATAAAAAATAGTTTATCATTTCTAGGAAGTTTGCCCATGCTAAATCTTTAAGAGTGGTATGAAGATATACCCTCCTTTTTAATTAGTTTTCTTTAATCAGGCTCAATTTTAGAATTCCATAGAAAACATGAGTATTTGTATTTTCTACAGTTCACAAAGGAAAGGAATGAAACATAAGTTATATCATACAATATGTAGCTGTTTGCCTCTTATTTTTATTTTGATGTTGTAGTTAATAAAGTTGATTTGTTGGTTTCTCATAGAAAAGCATGTATTTTACATTTCTACAGATGGGAAGAATTGTCAGTGCAAACAAAACTTAAACAAATTATTTCCTACCAAGTGTAGTTGTGTACCTCCTATTATATTTTTTTCAAACTTTTAGGGGTATTTCCCTTGGCAAATAATAGACTTAGACATTTCTAGATGTGGGGAAGTTACAGTTTACATAAGATTGATTGGAATGAAGCAAATCTTTACAGTTTTTTGTGTGGATCATTTTTTAAAGCCATGTCCTTTGTAATCTGGACAATATGCAGATGGGAAGACATATGCTTTTGTATAAAAAATCCGACTTTAATTTCCTTTAGATTAACCCAAGTTTCACTTGTGAAATTTTTGTTTCAATGACTAAAAGTTGTTTAAAAGATATTGATAAAATGAAATCGAATTGACTACTTGCAAGAAAATTGGTTAACAAATATATGGTGTCAGTTGTAAATATAGGGCATGTAGAGCATTTTGTATTAATCAAACTTCAATATCACCACTATATGACACACTCAAAATTTTGTTAAGTCTTAATAAAGAAAAAGGTTGATTATTTAACATAAATTTACTTGGACTGTGTAGTGAAAGAAAAATTGTTGGGTGGTTATGTTAAACGGGTAACTGTTTGGTGGCATAGTTTTTATTGCCTTTTAGTTGAAGTTTTTACCCCATTACCTGACCTGACATTTTCTAATTATGCATGTAATTCCTATGAAATTTGACTTAAAGTCTGTTTCATTTCTTATGACATGGTTGCAGTTGATTAATATACTCTGCTTTGACCACACCAAAAATAATTGTTCTTTAGATTTTCCAGATGAATATATTTGGTGGTGTCAAATCCAATGAACAAAATATTAATTTGGTGCGGCCTTTATGGAACTACTGTAAAATATTTTTTCTTCATTCTTGGTTGTCACTTTTCTGATGTATTGTTTGGGTGGTGTGTTCTTAAAATTATTGTGTCAATTTTAGACGACATGATAAGAGAAAACAGTAGAGTTTTTTGGATATAAAAATTGTTGCTTAAATGAAAAACCAAATCTAGGAAAATACCTCAAGTCCTTTCAAAATAATTTATATTCCATAATATGCTATTACTTTAATTGGGAATCAGTTTTTGTGTGAATTCTGTGATTAATCAAAACTACGTGTTCAAACAAATTTTAAAATGCATTTTTTCAATTGATTTGTTTTATGCTTATCAGATTCTTAAGTAAAAAAATCTTAGAACAGTTGCTGTTTCTACAAAAGCACAAAAATAAAGAAGTTACATAGTTATTTAAAGAAATTAAATATGAAGAAAAGTCAGAAGTTAAGTCATTGTGTGAGAGTCATTTCAAAAAATTGTGACAGCAAATCAGATGTTAATGGAAGCATGAAATTGATATGTTCATATTGTTGTAACTTTTTAAGCATGACATCCAGTAGCTTCTTGTTGCAGAATTTAATTTTGCTTGCATGGTTTATTTGCTTTCTGTTGTTTCACCCTTAATAAAGGTTATACAAATGGATATCATCCAATGACACCAATGCAGAGAGGAGCCACACCTACCAATCAGAGATTTATGTCTCCATACCAGCAACAAGCTTTTCCTGGAATGAGACCTATGGGGCCAGGAGGTTACAGTCCCTCCCCTCAGTATGCTCCCCACCCTCATGCACAACCGCATGCTAATGTGCCTCCACAGTCTGTTGCAGGTATGAGTGAAGTCAGTGTATATGTGTAGATGATAGGAACTGTGGAATTGGGTTATTAAAATGTCTTGTTTTAGTTTTGAAAATTATCTGCTTAAGTTATTATATTTTAGGGTATATCATATATGGTAGCTTTGTGCCATCATTATAGACGCTTAGTCCAATCAGATTCAATTTTAACAGAGTTTGTTTAATATTATCATACAAAATTCTTGTAATTTTAGTGAGGAAATTTTTTGCAATTAAAAATTCTGTAGTAGAATCTTTACCATGATTACAGGAAAACGAAGGCACATCTTTTTTTAATACAGAAGAATATCTGATTCTCAGTGTTGAATTACAAACAGATTCTTTTTGAGCTAATTTTTCACATTTGTAAAGGTAAATTTGATAGTACCAATATTTTAATGATTCTTTCCACAGTTTTTGTAGTATTAAGACACAGCAATGATTTGTTCTTGCCTCTAATAAAAGCTGGTGAAAGTTAAACACAGGTGTTAATTTTGGATGACAGCACCTGTTATAAACTGAAGTCCATTTTTATGTTTCAAAAAATGAATAAGAAGTGTACATAATTAAATTATGAAACTCATTTATAAATGTCAATTGCCTGTCTTTTCCATAGTTCAAGACAAATCGGTTTCTCCAAAGGAAGATACCATAGGAGTTTAAATACCTCACTAGAAACCTATATCAGTTTACACAAAGCACTACACCTGACCTCATTTTCATGAATAACTAAAAAAACATTTTATATTTTGTGGTTCATTCAATCTCTTTATTACTTAAATGATAGGTCTGTTTAAAATTCATCTACTTTTGCACAGGTCAGTCTTTATTTTATAATTATAATACAATTTTACTTTTCAACCATGTAATGTGTTTCCTATGTGATTTTTTTTATGCCCCTGCCATTAAGTGGGACATACAGTGTAAGCCTTGTCCGTCTGACAGATATTGATCTAATTTTTGGCATGGTTGAATATAATGATGACTTACAGATCAAGTTTGCATTTCATTCCCGTTGACCATCTTTTATTTTAAAAGACAATCCTTAAACTTAGAAAATTTAATGAAATTTACACTATTTCTGACTTTTTTTGTAATGCCTGCAGATCTTGAGCGTATTTTTGGTAACTTTGTGTATGGTTACGGGTTGAGTTTGCCTTTTAATAGTTTACCTACCTTTTGCAATATTTCTCAGGAGAGGACATTTGTGTTGTATTGACACATCTAGCATGTATGGCGTTGCTTGATTGTTGTTCTCATTTAGTTATGTTTTAAATATAATGCATATAAATTGTTTTTCCAGTAATAACTAAATAGAGATATTGATAAGTGGCATTTACAGCAGCAACAATTGTCACATAGCATTCCGTCTCATTACAGTACTTAACACATTTCTGTAGGAAAGTCATGACTTTTTCTGTGCTGACAAGTTTTCTGTAGGATTCTAGGATAGGCATGACTTTGTTCTGTGCTAACAGTTCATGTCACACTAAATTTCTGTATGATAGTCATGACATATCTCTGTGCTAACAGTTTATGTCACACTAAATTTCTGTAGGATAGTCATGACATATCTCTGTGCTAACAGTTTATACCCACTAACTTTCTGTAGGATAGTCATGACATATCTCTGTGCTAACAGTTTGTACCCACTAAATTTTGAGGATAGTCATGACATATCTCTGTGCTTACAGTTTATACCCACTAAATTTTTGTAGGATAGTCATGACATATCTCTGTGCTTACAGTTTGTACCCACTAAATTTCTGTAGGATAGTCATGACATATCTCTGTGCTAACAGTTTATACCCACTAACTTTCTGTAGGATAGTCATGACATATCTCTGTGCTAACAGTTTGTACCCACTAACTTTCTGTAGGATAGTCATGACATATCTCTGTGCTTACAGTTTATACCCACTAAATTTTTGTAGGATAGTCATGACATATCTCTGTGCTTACAGTTTGTACCCACTAAATTTCTGTAGGATAGTCATGACATATCTCTGTGCTAACAGTTTATACCCACTAAATTTCTGTAGGAGTGTCATGACATATCTCTGTGCTAACAGTTTATACCCACTAAATTTTTGTAGGATAGTCATGACATATCTCTGTGCTAACAGTTTATACCCACTAAATTTTGAGGATAGTCATGACATATCTCTGTGCTAACAGTTTATACCCACTAAATTTTGAGGATAGTCATGACATATCTCTGTGCTAACAGTTTATACCCACTAAATTTTTGTAGGATAGTCATGACATATCTCTGTGCTAACAGTTTATACCCACTAACTTTCTGTAGGATAGTCATGACATATCTCTGTGCTAACAGTTTATACCCACTAACTTTCTGTAGGATAGTCATGACATATCTCTGTGCTAACAGTTTATACCCACTAAATTTCTGTAGGATATTCATGACATATCTCTGTGCTAACAGTTTATACCCACTAAATTTTGAGGATAGTCATGACATATCTCTGTGCTAACAGTTTATACCCACTAACTTTCTGTAGGATAGTCATGACATATCTCTGTGCTAACAGTTTATACCCACTAAATTTTGAGGATAGTCATGACATATCTCTGTGCTAACAGTTTATACCCACTTAATTTCTGTAGGATAGTCATGACATATCTCTGTGCTAACAGTTTATACCCACTAAATTTCTGTAGGATAGTCATGACATATCTCTGTGCTAACAGTTTATACCCACTTAATTTCTGTAGGATAGTCATGACATATCTCTGTACTAACAGTTTATACCCACTTAATTTCTGTAGGATAGTCATGACATATCTCTGTGCTAACAGTTTATACCCACTTAATTTCTGTAGGATAGTCATGACATATCTCTGTGCTAACAGTTTATACCCACTAACTTTCTGTAGGATAGTCATGACATATTTCTGTGCTAACAGGTTATGATCTATTGATTATACTAATAAAGAGTATTTTGCTGTTTGGTATTTATTTCTGGACTGTGAGGTGATAAAGGACATTGAAGAAATATTGAATTGTGTCTAAAACTATAATCACAAGATCACTCTTATCTTGTTATCTGTCTAAAAAATACTGATTTACATAACAACAAATGTTCTATGGCAATGAAATACAAGGAATAAAGTATATTACTAAAGTAATCCATATTACAAATATTCAAATTCTTATCCCTAACCTGACCTACTTTTACCTTCACCCTATTTATTTCTTCTTTTTATTTTTTTAGTTAAACAAAAAAGGTGCATATTCAATGTAATAACAAGTTTTTGATTACATGAGTTGTTGAATAAAATAAATATATTGGTTCCAAAAAGACCTGACATTGTCTCTAGAATTAGTTCACAGACATATCACTACATATTTAAATGGTTTGTTTTATTTATAGGACCTGTACCATTACCCCCTCCAAAGCCTCCATCACCTGTGTTTGTTAGTGTCCCACCAAGGACACAGAGACTTCTCCATTCAGAGGCTTATTTAAGGTAAGTTATTTTATATTAGTATCGATTACCTTATCAAAATTAATTAAGTTGGTTAATAGTTATATATGTGCATAATATAGCCAACTGGACAAATCGTGGCAAATATATGGAAATATTGGTAACATTTTGCTTGTTCATATAAATGGCTAAATAAACTTGGAATTCCTGTCTAGTATTAAAATAATTATACCCCCACTTTAAAAAAGTGGGGGTATACTGTTTTACCTCTGTCTGTCCTTCTGTCAGTCCATCCATCAGTCCATCCGTCCCATGAATATTTTCGTCGCATTTTTCTCAGGAACTACTTGACAAGGATTTCTGAAATTTGGTTTCAGGGTTTATATAAGTAAGTTACACCGTGTGATGCGTTTTCAGATTCATCACTCAACAACTTCCTGTTTACCGAACACTTGTATTATTTCACACATGATAGCCAAGTTGAAAATTTTTCGTCAAATTTTTCTCAGGAACTACTTGACAAGGATTTCTGAAATTTGGTTTCAGGGTTTATATAAGTCAGCTATACCGTGTGATGCGTTTTCAGATTCATCACTCAACAACTTCCAGTTTCCCGAAATATTTCGGCGGGGGTATCATCAGTGAGCAGTAGCTCACAGTTTTACTTGTTTTTGCTACATTCATAGGTCTATGTTATTTGAACATTAAGACTTGAATTGATGAAACTTTTTAATTATTATAGTATTTAACTTAAATTTGGGGAAAAAAGTGTTCCATCTCAACAAATTAATCTTTATTATTTTCGCAATGTGTTTTATATCCCTGAGGCAGTCAGCAATAGAGAATGAAAACATTGGGATACACTAGAACATCTTTTGAATATGAATATCTAATTTCTTACCTTAGATATATATGGACTTGAGCACCCAGTCTGGTGGCTATAGAAGTATTATTTTTCGGGTTCCAAATTTTGTGTTTCACCAGTACTTTGAAATGTAATACCAAAATAATATTTTTTTACTGAATTTGTTCAACGCCAAAATTGGAAAACATATAACTTTGTCTGCAATCCACAAGATTTGGCATTTACCAATGAAATTACTTTCAGAGTAACCAGTTAGTTTAAAGGGTTCACTGCAGAAATACAACAGATTATTTCTTAAATATAAGGTAATATCATCTGATGTATTTAAGAGCCGACCCTGCGAGACTCTAATGAATAGTCAAGGCTGTTAAACACCCCTGTAGTAGTATGTATTTAGACCATTTCTTTGTTTTACAGGTATATTGAAGGATTACATGCTGATAAACCAAATGTTGGGGATTGGGAGAAGAATTTAACAGCAACTCCTGAAAATACAAAAACTGACGAAAGTCGAATGCCAGCAAGCTGGTTAGCTCAAGGTGCAGGTTACCATGGCAATGTTTCTAATGCATTATGGGCATTGCGGGATCTGATGTTAAAAGATACACTTAATATAACAAGAACAGTCCCATTTGAATCTCTTTGTAAGTACTGAAATACATGTAATATATATTTATATTATAATGCTGTATTATGCAGATATTTTTGTGAACATAAGTATTGTTCACCCTAATTATTGATGTCTATTTAACTGAAAGACAATATAAAAAAGCATTAAATTGACATGCATCATATGTAGTTGAAGCTTAAAAAAGACTTAAACAAAGGAGACTTGCGGTGACAATCATTTATATGCAAGTGTTACCTCAGTAAAAGAAAACAATTTTTAAATATGCAATTTTATAACTGTTTTCTGAACAATCTAAAAGATTCTTTTAAGATTAGATAACACTGAAAAATTATAAAAATGAAATCTGTTTGTAGTCATCTCTGTTAAAAGTAAAAATAAGCTTAGAGCTGTTCCAAAAATAAATGTATGGGGGGGGTCAGAAGGCACTTTTTATTTGACCCCAGCATGCATAAATTTTTAATTGGATATTTCCTTTAAATGTTCAAGCAATCTTTCTTAAATAACCACCACCCCTCAAGTTTTAATAAAAGTGCCTTCCGACCCCCCATACGGTCCGAGAACACAGTTATTTCGTAGTGCATTTCTTTTAGACAATAAATTTAAATTAAAAAAATCGCACCTGCTCTATCTGAAAAAGATTTTTAATGTGAAGAGGTCTATAATTCAGTTTGACAGCTTCAGGCATACTAATTTTTGTACTACTTTTTTAACTGGACCAAATCACGACTTTACATAAAAATTCATCACCCAAATTTTTTTAACATGTAATTTCATCCCCCTACTTAATATTGCATGCATAAAATATAAAGAAATAAACTTGGAAAGTGTATGAAAAAATTTGCAAGTTATACACTGTCCACACTAGGGACTATATTTGTAGACAACGATAATCAAAGGACGATAACTGTGTCCTCGGACCATACAATTAATTCTGGAAAAGCCCTTATGTTTTGTAGAATTAATTATCAGTTTTATTTTTATATTTTTTCAGGATGATAAAGCTGAATGTTGATCAACTACCACAGAGTGAAAGGCAGCATATTGAAATGATTCATTGTTTAAAAGAAGCATAATTAAACACACTTTCCTTAAAGGAATAACCTTTGTGTTCAAACACATTTCATTCTTTCTTACTAGTCCAGGAATGAAAACACTGTATTGAATATTTTATCATCAGTTTTGTCACATTTTAATGTTCTTAAATGTCAAAATATTCAAATAAAGTCATTTTTTATAAATTTTTCATGAATGTCATAATTTAGTAAACCTGAACATTGCAAAGTCTATATGACCATGTATTTACCTATAGATGTCTTATGATTTTTGTACATCCCACATCTTTTTATCTACATTAATAGGAACACACATATACTGATATAAAAATTAATGTTGGCCTGGTTCCAAGTTAAATCATTAATATTGTTATACAGCTGCATTATAGTGTACATGCTTGATGTCATATGATCTTAATCTTTCTGTGTGAAAACTTTAAGCTATCCAGTTGTCATATAATTGGAACACAATCTTCAGTGTTCTATGACATTGAAGTAAGTTCTTTATTGTTATATTTGTAAATTTGATGTTTAGATATAAGGGAAATTATTGATATCTGTTGTAAATATTTGATTATATATGTTGGTTTATGACCTAAGTTCATGATGAATATTCCTTATTCTTGCTTTAGGTTCTAATATTCAAAGCCTTTGGAACACTTTTTATTCTAAGTGAATGACCTGTTTATTTTTAGTGAATTTTAGTTTTTTATTAGAAAATTGACAGGTGACCATAAAATTTATTTTCGAAACAGTAATTGTAGTACATGTATTATGAATTTGTTTAAGATTTTTCTTGAGTAGAAATTTTTTCAAGACATCAAAAGATTCATTGTTATAAAACTCATATTCTGAAGGAAAACAAGCTAATCAAAGTTTTAATGTGATGACCTTGACTTATATTTGGACCAGAATGCTGACATTTAAATATTTTAATCAATTGTCAGATTACTATAAATCTGTAGTTGATAATTCCACTTATGGAGAGGAGGAACAACATTTAGGTTTTTAGATACTGATGGTAATCACAAACTGGATATACCTACCACTGAAAAATCCCAAATGAGGAACTATGACTAAAAACCAATATGACATTGGCTTAGGTAGTAACACATTAGAATTGTACACCACTAATTGTTTTTTTTTTTATTTATGATATATTTCCTGTATCTAAAGAGTCATGATGTAAACACTGTATTGCTGATATAAAGTTTTGCATGAATAACTCTGGTTCATTGTATTTTTCATCATTTTGTTGTATTGGTGCTAGTCATCATATTGTCATCTTACTGTTATGTAAAGTAAGGCCAAGAGGAAATATGTGTCTGTTAGTGGATTTCATGAAAAAAGTTAGCAAGTTCACTATATTATAAATGTTTTTTTTTCCTTATTGCATCAACAAAATAGGAAAACCAAAAGGATCTGTAATCATACAATAACTGACTGTTTCTGACAAGATAATATAAATTTCCACAAGATAAAAGTTAGGATTCCAGTATACCACCATAACTTTTTCTTCGTCAAGAAAATGTTTTTGAAGATATTTATTGTTAATCATAAATTGGAAATATCCAGTCATTGCCAGTATGTACTTTTACTTTTAATGCACTTACATATGTTATATTCCAGTTGCGTAATTCTAGACAGAAACCTATTTTTTGTTTGGCCTAAGATGGAGTATCAGAAAAATATATTAAATCTATCTTATCTGACTTTGTGTTTTACTTCATGGAAATCTTTCTGCAATAGTTAAGCTACTTATCAGGACTTGGTTGCATACCCTGCTATTAATGCAATTTAAAATTCAAGTGTTAATTAAATCATTAATAAATATAACTGATCTAATTAACTCTTTATTATCATCTAACAGTTTCTGTTGGTCAAATGTCCAGTGTCCTGGACCTCATTTTCATGGTACAGCAACTGCTTTAGTTCTTTTTATACGACCACAAAAAAATTTTGCTGTCGTATATTGGTATGACGTTGGCGTCGTCGTCTGAAGACACATTGGTTTTCGCACAATAACTTTAGTTTAAGTGAATTGATCTCTATGAAATTTTACCGTAGGGTTCAATTTTCACAAAAGGAAGGTTGGGATTGATTTTGGGGGTTATGGTACCAACAGTTAAGGAATTAGGGGCCAAAAATAAGCATTTTTCTAGTTTCCAGACAATAACTTGTGGAAAGGTGTATGGATCTCTCTGAAATTATACCACAAGTTTCCATACCACAAAGGGATGGTTAGGATTTGCTTTGGGGGGTTATGGCTCAAACCGTTTAGGAATAAGGGGCAAAAAAGGGGGAAAACAAGGGTGTCCTGGTTAATGGACAAATACTTTAGTACAAAACATAATTTAAAGCAATGTACATCATCTGAATTACCTCCCTAACACTGCTTTTAAATTATGTATAAAGTAATGGTTAATAAACAATTAAGACAGTTTAAAAGCAGTGTAAGGGAGGTAATCCAAATACAACGTTTTGATTACCTCCCTTACACTGCTTTTAATTATGTTTAAAGAAATGCATATTTATAAAGGAAGACCAGTAAAAATATCTGCAAATGTTGCATCTTTTTTTTTTTTACAAAAAAATCCATATGAAAGATTTGACACCATATTTTAAATTCTATTATAAAATAGATTAAGTTAGCACTATGGTAAATTTAAATGGGTAATTATGGTTGCAAACTCTTTTGGAAATTTGAATTGAGATTATGACCATATCTTGAGGGAAAGAATTTTTTTGGGGGAAAAAGGGGGGGGGGGTAAAAAGAAATTGTGGGGGTTCAATTTTTTCTCATTTCAGAAATTAAAAAGAAAAATTCTTCAAATATTTTTTTTGCAAAAAAAAAGTGTGTGTGTGTGGGGTGGGGTTAATACCCAACAGCATAGTGTATTGCACAAAAGCAAAAAAAAAAAAGGGGGGTAAATTTTTTATTTTTTTTTGTGGGGGGAGGGGGGTCAATTCACAACAGCAAAGTGTATTGCACAAAAGCAAAAAATTGAATATAAATTCAAATCATATAACCAATTCTAAGTTCTTTGACTACATTTATTCTGTGTCAGAAACCTTTTATGTGACAAATATTTAATTACAATCCAAATTCAGACCTGTATCAAGCGCGAATATTGCGTCCATTTTTGTCCCAACTGTTCAGGGTTGGACCTCTCCGGTCGTATCCAGCTGCGCTCGGCGAAGCAATTTATTTTTCATGTGAATTTCTTTCTCATTATGAGTAAAAGGCTAACTATTTTTGGTTTATGGGTTCCTTGCTAGGTCTACATATTCATCAAACAGGGTTCACCTGAAATCTACATTCCCTTGATCAGTGATCAAGGTTAAAGTTATGTGATACGGTCCATTTCTCAGATACTATAAGCAGTAGGTCAACTATATTTGGTGTATGGAATGATAAGTAAGGTGTATTTTCATGGTTCATTGGTCAATGTTCAGTCTGTTTCTCAGATACTATAAGAGATAGGTAAACTATATGTGTTGCACATAATAAGTGTACATGTCTGTCTGGCAGGTTCATGTGACCTTTACCTCATTGATTCATGGTCATTGTTTAGTTTTCATGGTTTGGTCTCTTGAAAGGATACTATAGCAAAAGGTCAACTAAAGTTGGTGTATGGAATGATAATAAGGTGTACATGTCTGTCTGGCAGGGTTTATCTGACCTTGTCATGGATCATTGATAATGTAAAGTTATGTGATACTTGTATTAAAACCTTTGATTTCACCTTTACCCTTAAAAATCAATCCTGATCAGTGATGCAAGAGAGACATTTCAGCGTGTGCACTCTTAAACACACCTTTGAAACTTAGAACCATACTGAAGTGAATGGTGATTGAAAGTACTTATCAAGTTATCTAATGGAGCAACATCCATTAGTACTTGAACAAGACCAATTCCGGGAACATGTATACTGAACATTCCTTTCATTGAATCCAAGAAAACTTTGACAAAAACTTTCCTTGTATACTGAGTTTTGTAAAATTTCAAAGTATCAGAAAATAGGAGTGGCTGCATGGCAGATGTTAAAAATGCTTACATGTTTCCACTCAACATTATCAAGCTGCAGACCAAATATTAAATCATTCCCATTCATGGAAACCAAAAAAACTTTTCGTTGGCAACACAGGTAAAAATCAGAAATCTATACATCACAAAATGATTTTATGTGTATATAAAGATTCTTTTTATAGCTTTGTAGCTGAGAAAATGTTACAAGCTATAAAGAAATGGAAAAAATAGGCAGAATTTTGGACTAACATGTAGGTCTCATATTCATTTTATATATATACTGAGTATAGTTGACCTATCAGTAAAGTATCCGAGAAACTAATATAAGATATGGTATGATTGCCAATGAGATAACTATTCATCAAAGACCACAGGACAAGGATGTGAACAACTGCATATCACCACTGTATGGCCATCAACAATGAGCAAAACCCATGTCATATACCGGTAGTAAAATGCTATACATGTAGATTGACAAAATGAAGCAATTCAGAAGAGAAAAACAAAGGCCAGATTTATACTAAAAACAAACGACAAACCAGTTATGGCAGACAGCAACAAACAAGAAACACTGGAATACATATAGCTTGGGACAGGTTTACAGAAAGCTTAAACATGTTTATGAGTGAATGCTCAACAATAAAACAGTATGAAATGTTAGACAAACGATGAAGATAAGCAATTGGAGACGAAATCCTGGTAGAATGTTCTCTATTTTTTTTTAAGAAACTACTGGTACTAAAATTTCACTCTTTATGTTCAGTTATGAATTGTTTATTTCATGAAATACCAATGTTTCAACATTGTGATGGGAGAGGAGCATCACTATGTTTTATAAAAGATTTAATCAGGTTTACCATACATAAGGCCATTTACTTAAGCTTTGAATAAATGATAATGGAAAAGAGATGTCAGTTTATACAGTTGTATATTTATATTAAATGTAAAGGCAGATGATGTGTGACATCAAGCAGAAAACTACTGTTATTGATAAAATAATAACTTACAAATTCCAATTAGTCTCAGGGTGTTAAATAGTAAAAAAAAAAGAAAGTCAATTGGAACCTTTTACTTAAATTACCTGTTATACTTATATCATGAATGAATATGAAATATCCACATAGGAATGCTGAAAAACAGCAGAAAACTATACATTTTAGTCAAAGATCTATAAATGTCAAAGGTAAGTTAACTAGAACAACACTCATATATGATATGTATCTTCTACTTATACAATTATATACCAAATATTACATTATCATCAAATACCTATATTTAATAGCCATAATTAGATCAAACATCGGTAAATCTGAACAAAACTACATTGACCAAAAACCTGATACAGGAGGGACCGACAAATGGAACCTATGGATTCATGCACAGATCAGAAAACAGAATGTCCTTTTATTTTGTAGACAGGGCATTAAAAGATTTATCAGAGTGGGGTGTAATGTTGACCTGGTGAATTTAAAACTATGTAAGAGGATGAACTGAACAAGAAAGTAAACAGTGCGTTACATAATATTTATTATATTCCAGATCTGTTGATTCCATTCTTTGGCAATGTATAGTGCCTAGTATTACATTGTATATAACACTGCAATAATTCCAAACATCTCAAGTTCTTCCATCTTACTTTGTCATCCCAAGCATAGCTGTCTGCATTAAAAAGTCCAAACAGTTTTTTACTGGGCCAGGACTCAAATGATTTATAATCCAAATACATGTATCCATGTCAGACATTTTAAGATTTTCACCATGTAAATGGGGCTCTTTCCCTCAACATTCGTACACTGAACTGTTTCCATTCCTTCTGTCTAATCCACAATTCCTGTGCTGTATCCAGACAAGCCAGAACTGCTGCACCTTTCCAACAGGTAAATGTTGGATCCATGTCCTGGAAAACAAATACTAGACATGTCAACATTATGGTAAACAGCTCATTATCTGATTGCAACATCATGAAATACACCAAACTGAGAAGTATGTCAAAAGCCAACTCAAAACTCTGCATTTTTACCAAAAATAAACATTTTGAGATTTCCAATTCAGAAGTTATTTTCAAATGATATCTGCAAACATAACTCAATTTATGAGAATAATGAGGCCTAATATTTTCAAAAGTTGATGACTATAGCCTTAATTTTCTTCAATCCAAACTTATTACATACAATGTGACAGTGATTTGGGTAAACAACAATACAATACATTAGAAATAGTAGGTTGATCATCATACTTTATAAATCTAATGAAAGGAACAAATTGACAGCTGGGTTCTTCAATGTAGAGATGTAGCATATTAACATCTAGCAAATAATTTCACTCAAGACAGTGTTAGGGACTAATTTGTATTATAGTGAGGTGTGAGTTTCTGTTCTGTGTTGACACCTCTCAGTGACTGAGACAATAAAACCAGTGTTGCTATTGGTTTCAACAAATGCGTATAGGGATTTTGTGTCATTATTCATACACCAATTTCCTTCTTTCCCATTCAGCAGAACAGCCAAGACTTTTAGTCCATTTTTTCCATTATATTTAAAGAGTATGTTTCTACTGCTCTGTGGAGGCAGTTAAAAGTTTCTCCATGCTTGAAGTGTATGCTCTTACATTTTAACCTCTATGGCATAATCATTCTTGACATAAGTACTTTTATGTGTAAATTTTCACTCCTCCTTTTTGGCCTGTTTTTTTATCCAAAATTGTTCAGCTGTCTTACAGAATTATTTGCCCTTATCATACATTATTTCTGGCTAAGTTATCTCAAAAATTATCTTGGTGTTCCGGTTGTTGTCTTATTTGTTTGTATTAGGTCTGTTTTTTTATAGCATTATCACTTTCTAGTAAATAATGCAATCAAACTGGTGATACAGGCACTTTTTAACATGCAGAATGTTGTGATCCTTTGCTTTGTCTTGACTAAGAGATTAAGAAAAGCAATAAAAGTGAAGTTCCTTTGCATTTTTTTGACAAGTGCACATGAGAAATTTGTGTCCTGAATTAACATCCTTTATCCTTTTTTTTCTATCACCAAGGGTAAGAACTGGCCGTAAAAAGCCATTACAACAAATTATATCTTTTTCACAGATTTTACATATTTTATATCAATCTTCTATTGTTTTTACTGTTGTATGTCTTGGTTCTTTTCCCTCTGTTAGTTATATCTTTTATCTTGGTAGTTTTATCTTTTCCCTCTGTTAGTTATATCTTTTATCTTGGTAGTTATATCTTTTATCTTGGTAGCTATATCTTTTATCTTGGTAGTTATATCTTTTCCCTCTGTTAGTTATATCTTTTATCTTGGTAGTTATATCTTTTATCTTGGTAGTTATATCTTTTCCCACTGTTAGTTATATCTTTTATCTTGTTAGTTATATCTTTTATCTTGGTAGTTATATCTTTTCCCTCTGTTAGTTGTATCTTTTATCTTGGTAGTTATATCTTTTATCTTGTTAGTTATATCTTTTATCTTGGTAGTTATATTGTTTATCTTGGTAGTTATATCTTTTATCTTGGTAGTTATATCTTTTCCCTCTGTTAGTTATATCTTTTATCTTGGTAGTTATATCTTTTATCTTGGTTGTTATATCTTTTATCTTTTATTTTATTATAATAATGATTTGCTCATGGAAGTCTTCCATACATTCCACAAAGTTTGATTAATATTGGCTCAGTAGTTGGTGGTGATAATGAAAATAAAAATTTTGATTAAAACAGACTTCAATTGGTTATAAATAATTTGTCCCCTTAGCTGACAGGTACAAAACAAAAACAGAAATGAGTCGTCTTTGTACTGGGTTTCTTAATCACCATTGTCATACAGAAAAAAAATCTGCCTTGTAGTTCCCAAAAAGAATTTAATTGAAAACTGATCAAACAGAATCAAGAATTGTCCCTGGCTGTTGGATACATGTGAAAAGAGGACTTTTCAGAAAGGACCATTCCTGCCATGTTTTATTAAGATTGACCTAGTTTTAGAGAAGAATTTTAACTTTTGAACAAAAACTACAACTGAAAAAGTTAGCTTTAATAGATATGATTGTAATTTTAATGTCTTGAGATGAACATCTTGATCATCTTACCCTTTACAAGTATCATCTGCTCTAGCACACTATATCAGACATACCTTAGGCCTTGTGATGACATCCATGGTTTCCAACATCAGTCTATACTGTGGTGGCATTCCTACCCACACTTTGTACTGTAACCATTGCTGTGCACCTTCAAACTTTAAACCTCCTCCTACAACTACTATACAGCTGTACATTTTCTTCTTTATCTCATCATTTCCTTAAAAAAAATAAGAACAAATATTCAGAAAAGGATGTAGATTCATTTAAAAGTGTTCTATGACTTCATTTACCATTTTCCAAAAGGCAGGAAGATCATGTATTGTCCATCTAACTTGTATGCCTGTGTTTGAATTTAAAAAAGCAAATATTCTTTGTGAATTATCATGATAATTTGGCTGGGATTAGCCAAGATATTTAAAGGGAGAAATCCATATGATAAACAAGAATAGTGTAGGCGATACCAATTACAATATGCAAGCATCTCAAGATTTTCAACAATAACATTTTTCTTTAAAAGCAGTCATCTTGTTTATAAGATCACTTGGAAGAGGATCCCACAGTAATATTTCATCAATTTTGTGCATCAGCAGGCTAAGCAAAAGATTGCAAATCAAAAGACCAGTGGTAATATGTCATTGAAACCAAAGAAAGATTCTTGCTTGGTACTTTGCAGCTTTCTGTTTTATTTTGTTTGATGACCTTAAAATGGCAATTTATCAATACATGTACTACAATGCAAAAATACATGCATATACCATGAAATCATCATATCTTCCATGATTACTGGGATATGACTTAAGTTGCTCAAAATGGAACAGAATGCTTGTTTAGTGTATATTAAATTGTGTAATTGCACAGTGATTGCTCTTAAAATCAACCAAAATGCAGTGAGCTGTGAAAATCTGTATTTAAAATATTTCTCTCTGCTTTATTTTTAACCACTCTAATTACATACCACATCTTTCTATGCTTTTGAGTATAGCTTGGTCTATTCCCATTAATTGTAAAACAGTTTCTGTATCTATGTCAGTCTCCTCCTCCTCGCCCCTCCTCCCACTTTTCACTGTGTCTGTCACATTTAACGTGTCTGGTGCATCATTAGAGTCATCATCCATCTGAGTCTGTAACTGAGAGTCGTCCATTACATTCAGTTCAGAATTGTCTTTAGATTCCGTTGTGTCCTTTTTCTTGGAAAGCTTGGCCTGCAAAATAGTGTGTTCACTAATAAAATCTCTTTTGTATGATAATTTCATGAGTCAGCCAGAATGCTACCATGTACTTGCATCTACATGTGTATTCAATATTCAAGTTTCATCAAAGAGCTGATTGCTCTGAGGTGGAAGAAGATACATAAAAGGTAACTTGAATTACCATAAGAGCAGCCCCACCAAACCAGTCTGCTTTGTCCCATTATTGCTTTTGACGTATTTTTTTCTTAAAAAAATAGTTAGACTCATAACTCAACCAAAACTCACTATACTTAACATAAAAATCTGCAAATACTGTTGATTCAAATAAATTTTTCTATAACTAGATTCCATAAATTCGTCTCGGAAAGGTCAGCTTGATGCAATGCAAATTCGCCAAGCAATTATAACATTAATTGATTTGGTTTCACTTAAAAGTTTTCTGTCAAAGGTAGATAGTTGACCTTAAAAAAAACTGGCTACCAAGATTTTAGTCAAGTTTGCTTAAACTAGGGTTTTCATTATAAACAGATATTGAAAAATTCTAAATATATCCAATGCAGATATGTGTCAGGCCAAGAATTGGGTTTTGGGCACTTATCAGCATTTCAAACTGGTTCCGTACTCAAGCTTCGATAATGGGTGTACCTAAATGACGAATAATGGTAAAGAGCTGGACTATTTAGTTGTTAAGATCCCGTTTTTGGTCACTTATAAAACTTTGAATCGTAAGGGAATAAAGACAATCATTGGGGACATTTCGACAATGACCGACGGTGCATCGTTTGATGTGTAACACACCAGCAGATTCACGTGTGCGCTTGACTCTTTATTATCGCCATAACATAATAAAATATTCTAACTTTAGTATTAAAAAACACATGTTGTCTAAAACTGGAATATGAATTGATTGCATTAAAGATCTAAACGTAGACGGAACAACCCAATCCGTGTATTTTTTCTAGCATCATTGATTTGAAGTCGTACTCTCCACGAAGATACTTGACTTTAACACAAGATAGATTGTATGAATATATGTAATTCTGTTTATCAATATTTGAAACTTTCGTACGCACAAGTTGTCAATTAAATTTCCCATTTGTGCACATGCGCAGATATGTAACCAACATGGTTTAGATTAACCCGAATAATCCAGTTGTTTTATTCCGATAATTCCAATCATTAATCTACTAAAGACAATATGATTACAACAATCAGAGAATTATCATCATGACCTATTAATGCTCCAAGACAAGCCATCAACTTTTAATTATTTTTTTTCATGTTTTTTCATGAATTTCGAGAATTTATACCATATAAAAATCTGAATAAGTTTATTAAAATTGAATACCCTTAATATTAATATTTTTTAAAAAATGAAAGGACGTATAAAACTTCATTGATAAAAGTAAGTAGAAGGAACTTAGGGCGATTGTACTCTATGGGCGAAAGAACTTAGGACAAACAGACCAAGGGCGAACATTTAAAAAGAGCGAACCAACCCGATACCAAATTCACGCATGCGTACTAAAATAATCTACATTAAAAACATCCAGTTACAAGTAAACAAATAACGTTCATGTAAGATGAGATGAAATCTAATAATTTACATAAATAAAAGGTTATATATTTTTACATTAAAACATGAGAAACTATAACACTTAAGATAGTGATTGTTTTTCAAGCCTAACTTATAAATTAAATGATGCAGATGCTTAATCATGTGTAAAAATCGGTGTCACGAAATAGCACGGAAGTTGTAATGAAATACACAGAAAGGGATACTGCATACAACCTGGTAACGGTTCAATGATTTTACAGCCGGCAGTAAAGGCTTTCAGAAGACTTGAAGTCTTCTTCCACCAATAAAAATAGCATTAGAAATTTAAAACATACTTAAACTCAACAAAAACCTGCAATTTTATGAAAATTCAATGTGATTTTAAAGTAGATAAATCCATTTTAATAAATATATCAGTAACCTGCAATGAATGGCGGCAAGCATACCAAATTTGCATACCAAATATCATTGACTTAACATTAGTGGTTCATCTTAAACTGACCTAATCACAAACTAATACATGAAAGATAAGCAAATGTTTCAAAGTCAATAGACCATGACTGAGGGGGCGAGGCCAAATAATCTCCATGGAAATGAGATATGCGAATGCTTATACAACTGCATACCAAATATCATTGACCTACCACTAATGGCTCCCCATTAACTGACCTAATCACAAACTAATACATGTAAACTAAAAAAAATTTCAAAGTCAATAGACCATGACTGAGGGGGCAGGGCCATATAATCTCCATGGCAATGAGATGTGCTAATGCTAATACAACTGCATACCAAATATCATTGCGCTCCCACTAGTGGTTCACCATAAACTAGACCGAATCACAAACAAATACATTGTTGACGCCGCCACCACTACCTATGTCTCACTTTTTGGCTCCTTCAAGGTGAGACAAAAATAGAATCTTTAGAGAGTAAGCTTACGTACTAAATGCCACACCACATAATTAACAAGAAGTTGCATGAGTAGTCATGCTAAGCATACCCTTATTCCTCAAAGTATTGGCACACAGGAAGTAGGTGTCTGACAAATCTGTAAAAGGACTAACATGTTACAATTGATCACTGTCAAGCTGCTAATCAAATATAAATGTTACAAACACTAAATAATATTTGCTTTCAGTCAACATATTGAAAAATTAGAAATATCTGCAAACTGACAGATCTGAAAAGCACTCATATGTTATAAACAAGAGTGCACACGCTGAAATGTCTCGCCTTCTTTACTAATCATTGATATTATGTTGATAGTCCTAAATATAAAGCTTTATTACAACTGTCACATAAACTTAACATTAACCAAGTAAACTAAACATTGACCAATGAACCATGAAAATGAGGTCAAGGTCAGATGAACCATGCTAGGCAGGCATGTACAGCTAACAATTCTTCCATACAACAAATATAGTTGACCTATTGCTTATAGTTTAAGAAAAACAGACGAAAACACAAAAACTTAACACTGAGCAATGAACCTTGAAAATGAGGTCAAGGTCAAATAAAACCTGTGTGACTGACATATAGATCATAAAATATTTCCATACACCAAATATAGTTGAACTATTGCATATAGTATTAGAAAAAAAGACCAAAACTCAAAAACTTAACTTTGACCACTGAACCATGAAAATGAGGTCAAGGTAAGATGACACCTGCCAGCTAGACATGTACACCTTACAATCATTCCATACACCAAATATAGCTGACCTATTGCATGCAGTATTAGAAAGAAAGACCAAAACTCAAAAACTTAACTTTGACCACTGAACCATGAAAATGAGGTCAAGGTCAGATGACACCTGCCAGCTAGACATGTACACCTTACAATCATTCCATACACCAAATATAGTAGACCTATTGCATACAGTATAAGAAAAACAGACCAAAACACAAAAACTTAACTATAACCACTGAACCATGAAAATGAGGTCAAGGTCAGATGACACCTGCCAGTTGGACATGTACACCTTACAGTCCTTCCATACACCGAATATACTAGACCTATTGCTTATAGTATCTGAGATATGGACTTGACCACGAAAACTTAACCTTGTTCACTAATCCATGAAATGAGGTCGAGGTCAAGTGAAAACTGTCTGACGGGCATGAGGACCTTGCAAGGTACGCACATACCAAATATAGTTATCCTATTACTTATAATAAGAGAGAATTTAACATTACAAAAAATCTGAACTTTTTTTTCAAGTAGTCACTGAACCATGAAAATGAGGTCAAGGACATTGGACATGTGACTGACGGAAACTTCGTAACATGAGGCATCCATATACAAAGTATGAAGCATCCAGGTCTTCCATCTTCTAAAATATAAAGCTTTTAAGAAGTTAGCTAACGCCGCCGCCGCCGCCGTAGCCGCCGCCGCCACCGCCGGATCGCTATCCCTATGTCGAGCTTTCTGCGACAAAAGTCGCAGGCTCGACAATAATCACTGTCAATCTGCTGATCAAATATGAAGTAATTCTTTTCAATAGTGAGAAAAAGGCAGACAAGGCAATGGCAATATAACCCCTTCTCCTTGAGCAAGAATATAGTATGGAATATTTTTACAAGTTTCCCTCATTGCCCCTCAGTTTATGTTTTTCTGATTAACAAACTCATTTCATGCTTTCTTGCACTGGGTATATTAAACTACCGGTAGTAAAGACATGCAAAAACTATTCAAAACATAAATGGATTACAAATCAACCAAAACGCTTGTTTTCCAAAATAAACCAAAGATCAGGAGTCAAGAGTTTGCAAATGTGATTCTAAGATAGCAAAGATTACAATCTTATAATTTAACCCTTTATCACTCTTAATGAATTAACTTTACCAAACATTATCAGTTTTTCTCATTACACTACATCTTAATTGAAGAATTTTCTAAATCAAAATTACCTTGAGTAGATCATCATAAGTCTTACCTCTCTAGAAGTCATCTGAAGGTAAAATTCATCATGTGGATCTTCAGGGTCCCCAGTACAACGACCCTGGGTCCTTACAAGTTGTGGTCCCATAATACCTAGCAGTTCTGGATGAAACAATGACATTGGTGCTATGATAGCCTCATCACCCAATTTAACAGGATATTTCACAATGTGTTGTTGAGGTTTCCTAATTAGCAGTGAATGATCTTGTATGCCAGTTTTATCCTGAAATTACAAAACTGAAGCTTTATAAAAAATCATTGAAATTCTAATACACAACTGTTTACTCCTTTTCATATTCAAACTTAAGGTCTTACAAGAAGTTTTCAAGGACATTTTTACTTTTTTCCTCAATAGCAATCTTTAAACATGCAAACTGTACATCAAAATTATAGCCAAATTACATGTACTATCAAAACATTATTCTGAATGGACTTTTAGGTTCATAGACTGGACATAAGATTTTATATAAATAGATCAATTGATATACACCTGTTCAGCATGGGTATCACTGCCAGACAGAAGTCTAAGATACCTTCATTTTTATACCATAGTCACCTTGGATTAAACTTATTGTATAGATCAGAAACATTTATTACATAGATATATATATCCTCCAACATGTAAATTTCACAATACACAGTGATGAACTTTTTTGCATTCAATTTATCAGATGTTAAAACTGTTGTTGTCTCCTTAATGAATGTCAAACTTATATCAAAATGTAATCCCAGTACATGTTAGCACAGCCTGATGTGCATCCAAATAATGAAAAAAGCTCTACTACTAATTCAACACTTTTACAAGATTTAAATAGGCTTACAATTACTGAATTTAACTGAAATAAACTTGGCATGCGCAAAGTAGTTTAAGAGAACAGATCTGAACTGATACATTTATACAAATGTATTCTATTCTACTCTATTTACTGTCTCTTACTTGTGATTATTTCTTATTTCATCTTCCTTCAAAGGCAACAGATTATAAGGTCAGAAATACATTTTACCTGGTCTAAATGGCAGTAGGATTCTTTCATTTCCTGCATTATGTTACAATCTGTTACTTTATTGAGGTCTATTTCCTTTGGATTGAACCCTGACCTCTGAAGTAGCCAATGGAAACATCGAGTAACATCACTCCCACCATATTCCATTGTAATTCTGTGGTATATATATGTCAGTAAATATGTAAACATTAAATATTACACAGTGTATTAATGACACCAATGTCTTATCAGAAGGTTAAGCACTTTAAGCTTGCGTTCAATAACTAAGTACATTTTTTAATTCAATATTAATTATTTATTATACAAATTACTCATGTTTTTGCTATCCATCATACTGTTATTCTTGAGTTAAGTGCTTTTATTGAACTGATTTTATTGTTTGTTCTCAAATGTATGTTTTGTTATTCCATTGTTCAAGATTAAAAAGGTGAAGTATTGAAATCTCAAAAAGCTGTTTAAGAACTCAAAAATCTGTCTACAGTCTACTGTATGCATGTTACCTTCTAGAGGTCTTTTGGTTTTTTTGTAGTTGGGTTGCTGTCATTGACATATGCCCCACATCTCATTTTATTTGTACCAATAAAAACTTGCCATAATAACACATAGAAGATTTAGAAAAGTTTCAGTGTATTTCACTTAGAGTAATTTAAAACATATCTGTTAGAACAATTTTGCAGAAATAACAAAAGATTTCCAAAATTCAAACCCTAAAATCCAACCTAAATAGTAAATTTCGTCAAATTTTGTTTACATGCTACTAACTAGTTAGTGTACAGTTCTGTATTTTCAATATGACACAAACCCATAGACGGTTATCAATAATGAGTTACATTTTTACCTTGTATTTAATGTAGAATTTCCATCTTCTACACAACACACACTGACTTTCTGGTCTCCTATATCAACAACACATGCACTACCCACACCAGCACCAAATGTAGCACACACGGACTCCTGTAAATTATCATATATAAGTTATAAGGCAATGATATTTAGAGTTTCTATCTATATCGAGATTTCCATTCTTTCATGTTTAAATGAGGGATGTGCATGCAGACAACAAAACATTTCTTGTCAACTTATTTCTGCGTTAGCTATCTTGACAAAACTGGTATGTCTGATTGAAGAGGACTCATTATCTAAGTCAAAGGAATATAGTTTAACTCTTTAATTAAACAAAAAATGCTGAAAGTTAGCTATGAAAGTTTTATAGAGAGAAGAAATCATCATGAAACCTATATTGAATCTAATTTACAATCCAGTAAATATGATTTAAAAGCCATAAAGAGCATGCAAAGTTTTGTAAAAACAAGTTCAACTATGAGCTATAGCTCAAAAATGATGCTCCTGCTGTAAATATCTGGCAATCTGGAAATTGATGAGTGATGGATGTAAAAAACCAATCACAAGGTAAATCATGCTCAAAAGGAGGCTGATTCAAAATTTCAAACAGCCTTGAGTTTCTGAAAAAAATGTTCCACACAGTATAGCATGCTAACATAAAGTTTGATGCCAAATTTCAGAAAGCTGTGATTTGTAGTTCCAGAGATATACCGTATAGCCGGTTATTTACGCCGGTGTAAAATTTCGCGATTTAGGGGCAACAAAGTAATAAAAAAAAAATGGCAGATTCTTTAATCCCAATAAAATATTTTGGCGGATACTGAAGTGGCTGCATTTAAAAAGTTGTAAAAATTGACAAACAAATGTCCATTGTAATGGTTAAATGATTGTTTTACCTGCATGATATAAATAAAATGCTCCACTGGGCGCAGCTTGATACGACCGCAGAGGTCGAACCCTGAACAGTTGGGGCAAGTATGGACACAACATTCAAGCTTGATACAGCTCTGAATTTGGATTGTGATTAAATATTTGACACAGCATTGGTTTCTGACACAGAATGAATGTGGTCTAAGAACTTAAAAAAATTTAATTTACCTATTCAAACCATATCATTATCATTTGCTTTTATATATAAATCAGAAATAACCAATTTAAAATGTAAAATTTTAAAGAAAAAAAAAAAAGGAAAAAAAAATCCCCCCCCAAATTTTTTGAACCCCCTTATGATTCCTCACCCCCAAACTCAATCCCAGCCTTCCCTTTGTGGTATGGTACCTTGCAGTACAATTTCAGAGAGATCCATACACTTGAAAACAAGTTATTGTCTGGAAACTAGAAAAATGTGTTTTTTGGCCCCTTTTTGGCCCCAAATTCCTCAACGTTTAGGGCAATTACCCCCAAACTCAAACCCAGCTTTCCCTTTGTGATATGGAACCTTGTAGTACAATTTCAGAAAGATCCATACACTTACACACAAGTTATTGTCTTGAAACTAGAAAAATGCTTGTTTTTTGCCCCTTTTTTGCCCCTCATTTCTAAAATTTTGAGGCAATTACCTCCAAAATCAATCCCAGCCTTCCCTTTGTGGTATGGTACCTTGCAGTACAATTTCAGAGAGATCCATACACTTGAACACAAGTTATTGTCTGGAAACTAGAAAAATGCTTATTTTTGGCCCCTTTTTGGCCCCCCAATTCCTAAACGTTTCGGCAATTACCCCCAAACTCAATTCCAGCTTTCCCTTTGTGATATGGAACCTTGTAGTACAATTTCAGAAAGATCCATACACTTACACACAAGTTATTGTCATGAAACTAGAAAAATGCTTGTTTTTTGCCCCTTTTTAGGCCCCTAATTCCTAAAATTTTGAGGCAATTACCCCCAAAATCAATCCCAGCATTCCTTTTGTGATATGGAACCTTGTGGTACAATGTCAGAAAGATCCATACACTAACACACAAGTTATGTCTGGAAGTTACAAAAATGCTTATTTTTGGCCCCTTTTTGGCCCCTAATTCCTTTACTGTTGGTACCATAACCCCCAAAATCAATCCCAACCTTCCTTTTGTGGTATTGAACCTTGTGGTAAATTTCATAGAGATCCATTCACTTAAACTAAAGTAAGAGTGCGAAAACCAATGTGTCTTCGGACAATTCCGGACGACAACGACGCCAACGTCATACCAATATACAACCACAAAAATTTGTTTGCGGTCGTATAAAAAAATCATGCATCTAAGATTAATTATCAATCCGTACACATCCAACATCCAATGGATTTAGTGTAAAGACGTCATAAACAGTCAGAGAAAAACATGACCTTGTGCAATGCCAAGATACAGGTATCGACAGATTGTAGATCCATGAATGTGTATTTGTATATAACAATAATATTTAGTTTGCTTTTAATTTACTGATAACAAAATCAATATTAGTACCAATAAAAACAATATTTAATGATCTAATTACAGTGTTGAATTGGTAACCTTTTAGAATAAGTTTATTTAAAGGATTGATAAGTTTACCAGGATCTTTTCTAAATTTCCTGATGTCTTCTTTATTGATTATGTTTTGATACAGTTAATCAATAGAAAACCGGTACTTAGATATTTGTCACAGGTGTACAAACTTCTTGTAAATGTTGCGGTTGATTAGTTACGAAATTGACCGGACTTTTGATGTTCTAATTAGATTATAAAATTATCAAGAGTGACTTGCAACTCATATATAATTTGACACTAATTAATAAGGGTAAAATATCTGACATAGTACCTTACACTCTTATATTATTTGACACCAATAAACTAATTAAAACCTGACAGCCAATTTATAAAATATATGTGAATAATGCCCTTTGGCATTCATGTTCAAATTAAAATAAACCGTTATTGACCAGTTGAGCGAGAACAAATAGATCGTTTACAAAACACTTTAGCTTTTAGAATGTACCGAACTGATGCATAAATTTTTCGCGGAATTTATTTTCACGATTTTCCTTTACCCGCTAAAATAAGCGAAAATAAACACCCCACGAAAATACCCGCTATACAGTATTTTACCAAAATTTTATGGGATGGGTGGATGTAAGAACAGCTGGACAGATAGTCTGACAGACAGAAATATAGACAGATGTAAGAATATAAAAGTATTTGGTATACAGAAAGTGGATGGGCAATCTGAAAATGCATCACATGAAGATTGATTCCAAATTTCAGACAGCCTTGATTTGAAGTTCCTGCTAAAAATGCAACAAAATTTTATACATGACCAGTATGTGATAGAATATGTTAAGTATTAATTGGCATTATACCTGTATAACAATAGCTGCACCAAATCCAAGTTTATTTAATAGTATGTCTGTCATGTGTTTAACATGGTTATGTACAAACACATCTGGAACAAGCAGCAATACTTTATATATCTGGAATATAAAATAAATGTGGTCGAGGAAAATCATGCATTTTCAATAACTGTTTATTTGTCAAACAGCATTGTATCAAAATGTCAAATACCACTGCCCTTTCCTCGATCTTGATATCTATATCATTAACGGAAAGCTTAATACTAAAATATATGATAAAAGAGATGATTTTTCATTTCCTATCGTTAATTATCCATTTTTAGATGGTGACGTTCCCTTGTCACCATCTTACGGTGTTTATATATCTCAACTTGTACGATTCGCTCGTGTATGTAACAATGTTTTAGATTTTAACGAGAGAAATTTATGTATTACTGAAAAATTATTACACCAGGGTTATCGATATCACAAACTAGTCAAAACATTTACTAAATTTTATCATCGGTATAAGGACATCATTCGTAAATATAGCTCAACATGCAGACTTCTTATACGTTCAGGTATTTCACATCCAATTTTTTATGGAAATATTCTTTATAAAGCACAAAAATGTCAGTATTCACCTCTGAAACTAACAAAACCTTTAAATAGACTTATCAAGAAGGGATATAGTTACGATACTGTTGTCAGGTCATTAAAGATTGCATATTTTGGCGTTAATATTGATTCACTTATAGGGTCTTTGCATCGGCACTAAACACATTTATTTAAAAACCAGTTGTTGGCATGACACGGGTTATGTTCTTCTCATATATGTTATGATGGTATGATACTAAACCCCTAACGGGAAGGATTGTGCCTGATATTCATATGATGAAGACATAATCTTTCAATCAGTTTAATTGAAGTCTGGAGCTGGCATGTCAGTTAACTGCTAGTAGTCTGTTGTTATTTATGTATTATTGTCATTTTGTTTATTTTCTTTGGTTACATCTTCTGACATCAGACTCGGACTTCTCTTGAACTGAATTTTAATGTGCGTATTGTTATGCGTTTACTTTTCTACATTGGCTAGAGGTATAGGGGGAGGGTTGAGATCTCATAAACATGTTTAACCCCGCCGCATTTTTGCGCCTGTCCCAAGTCAGGAGCCTCTAGCCTTTGTTAGTCTTGTATTATTTTTAATTTTAGTTTCTTGTGTACAATTTGGAGTTTAGTATGGCGTTCATTATCACTGAACTAGTATATATATTTGTTTAGGGGCCAGCTGAAGGACGCCTCCGGGTGCGGGAATTTCTCGCTGCATTGAAGACCTGTTGGTGACCTTCTGCTGTTGTCTGTTCTATGGTCGGGTTGTTGTCTCTTTGACACATTCCCCATTTCCATTCTCAATTTTATTCTATACACAAGTATAGTTTAAAAATATATGTAGTTAAAAATATTAAATAAAACAAATATGGTAATGCTAAAATGCAGTCTCAAGTTGATATCCTTTCAAGGATAACCCATAAAAGAATTTCCTTTTATTTCCAATGGGTCCTTATAGTGTATATGGCTCAGAATAAAAAATTAAGAAATTAAGAGGATACATGGCATAAATTTAATTTGAGTCACAAATAAAGATACAAGTTTACTTATTTTTTTAGATATTCCTTTACTGTGTAATGTGTTTACAAGGGATAGCAAACGATTCAAAATTTACTAAAAGGCTTACTTGTGATTGTCTCCAACCCATATTCAGGTTATGAAGAGCATGTCAAGAATCACAAAATATAGTGTAAATTTAAAAAAAAAAGCTAATTCAATAATAATAATAAATTATTTCAAGAAATAAAACATGTTAAATCAGTGAAAGTGATCTGTTCTAGACTTTAACTGTTTGCTTTTTCTTCCATACAATTCCTCCCACATAAATCATTTCCATACTGCACAAAAATGTTGCACATCTTACATGACATATATGTAAAACTTGCAAAGATGTATTTAAATATAATAAGAAAAAATTCTTTGCAGGGAAAATTAATGCTATATTAATCTATCTCTTCCAAAATGGTAACAAATGTATGGATCCTTCATTCCATTTACCTTAAGATCTTTAATAGGAATATCAAGATAAGTCTGTATAGCAGCAGACCAAAGAGTTTCCAAATCTTCCATCACAGCTGTCAGAGTGCCTCCTGGTCCATCATGTAAGTTTAAACGCCCTCTTCTCACTGGCCAGTGAATTCTAAATTTATCACTTGGTTTAATATGTAATGCCTGAAAGAAATAAAAGTTTGATCATTATCTAGTCAGTTATAAAAGTATGGGTTGTGCAGACTAACAAGTATACTTTGATAAGTTTTATACTCCATCTAAAATAAGCTGTGGTATGTAAGGAACCTCTTACAAGTCTGCTTGACCAAACACTTATGGTTTTCTAATGACCACTAGAAAACAGACAGGATAGCAATCAGAGGACTTGCTTGACAAATAGATGATCAGACTAGAGTATTATTTATATAAGACCCTATATACATACAAATTCAATTTTAATAAAATGCTCCGCTGGGCGCAGCTTGATACGACCGCAGAGGTCGAACCCTGAACAGTTGGGGCAAGTATGGACACAACATTCAAGCTTGATACAGCTCTGAATTTGGATTGTGATTAAATATTTGACACAGCAAAGGTTTCTGACACAGAATGAATGTGGTCTAAGAACTTAAAAAATTTTAATTTACCTATTATGGTCCAATATCCAAAATCTAAATACATGGTTAGATTCAGCATATCAAAGAATCTAAAGAATTCAATTTTTGATGAAATCAAACAAAGTTTAATTTTGGACCCTTTTGACCTCAATGTGGACCAATTTGATAATGGGGCCCAAAAATCAAAATACATGGTTAGATTCAGCATATCAAAGAACCCCATATATTCAATTTTTGATGAAATCAAACAAAGTTTAATTTTGGACCCCAACTTGGACCAACTTGAAAACTGGGCCCATAATCAAAAATCTAAACACATGTTTAGATTCAGCATATCAAAGAACCCCAAGAATTCAATTTTTGTTAAAATCAAACTAAGTTTAATTTTGGACCCTTTGGACCTTAATGTAAACCAATTTAAAAATAGGACCAAAAATTAAAAATCTAAATACACAGTTAGATTTGGCATATCAAAGAACCCCATTAATTTAATTTTTGATGAAATCAAACAAAGTTTAATTTTGGACCCTTTTGACCTCAATATGAACCAATTTGATAGCGGGGCCCACAAATAAAAAATCTAAATACATGGTTAGATTCAGCATATCAAAGAACCCCATATATTCAATTTTTGTTGAAATCAAACAAAGTTTAATTTTGGACCCCAATTTGGACCAACTTGAAAACTGGGCCCAAAATCAAAAATCTAAATACATGTTTAGATTCAGCATATCAAAGAACCCCATATATTCAATTTTTGTTAAAATCAAACTAAGTTCAATTTTGGACCCTTTGTACCTTAATGTAGACCAATTTGAAAACTTGACCCAAAATTAAAAATCTAAATACATGGTAAGATTCGGCATAACAAATAAATAAATGTGGTCAAAGATTTTACAAATCTAATGCGACATACTGTGTAATTAAAGATTACTTCTTGAAATTTTTCAATATTTGAAATTTGAAAAAAAAAAAATATTTGAAGAATAATTCTTATTAATTTCTGAAATCTGAAATGAGAAAAAATTGACCCCCCACAATTTCTCCCCCCCCCCCTTTTTTCCCCCAAAAAATTCTTTTCCTCAAGATATGGTCATAATCTCAATTCAAATTTCCAATGGAGTTTGCAACCATAATTACCCATTTAAATTTACCATAGTGCTAACTATAATAGAATTTAAAATATGGTGTCAAATCTTTCATATGGATTTTTTTGTAGAAAAAAAAGATGCAACATTTGCAGATATTTTTATTGGTCTTCCTTTATAAATATGCATTTCTTTAAACATTATTTAAAAGCAGTGTAAGGGAAGTAATCAAAATGTTGTATTTGGATTACCTCCCTTACACTGTTTTAAATTGCCTTAATTGTTCATTGACCATTACTTTATACATAATTTAAAAGCAGTGTAAGGGAGGTAATTCAAATGATGTATTTGAGTACTAAAGTATTTGTCCATTAACCAGGACACCCTTGTTTTTCCCCCTTTTTTGCCCCTTATTCCTAAACGGTTTGAGCCATAACCCCCCAAAGCAAATCCTAACCATCCCTTAGTGGTATGGAAACTTGTGGTATAATTTCAGAGAGATCCATACACCGTTCCACAAGTTATTGTCTGGAAACTAGAAAATGAGTATTTTTGGCCCCTTATTCCTTAACTGTTGGTACCATAACCCCAAAAATCAATCCCAACCTTCCTTTTGTGGTATTTAACCTTATGGTAAAATTTCATAGAGATCCATTCACTTAAACTTAAGTCATAGTGCGAAAACCAATGTGTCTTCGGACGACGACGACGCCAACGTCATACCAATATACGACTGCGGTCGTATAAAAATAACTGAAATATCCACAATGCTACAATATAAAATTTAAATACTTCAATATTTATAGGAACAAAACAGTAGCTCTATTTCAGTGGAAGAGAGTTAAAGTAAAATGGAAGCTTTTCTTAATCAATACTGAAATATAATTTTATATCATATGCATAAAAAAATTAAAGAACCTTAGTGAGCGCGCTCACATACCCCACGTCCCCACATTGTCATTGGAGAAATAAAATAAGTGTAAGAAAAAAAAATTGAATCATAATTTCCTGTCAATATGCACATCTACATAGTATGTCCTTATTATCTACAAAGTTTCATGAAATTCTGTTGTGTGGTTTCAGAGGAGTTTCGATGACAAACTGTTGCAGAATTACATTGAAGCAAATAAGTTCAAAGGGGCGTAACTCCTAGGAAAATAATTGAATCGTAATTTCCTGTTGATATGCACATCTACATAGTATGTCCTTATTATCTAAAAAGGTTTCATGAAATTCTGTTGTGTGGTTTGAGAGAAGTTGCAATGACAAGAAACAGGACTGACGGACGGACAGACGGACGGACAGAAGGACAGACAGACGGACGGACGGGTCAAAAACATTATACCCTTCGCAAAAAATTTGCATGGGTATAATGAAGTCAACAACTGTGTACAATTTCATTTTACTCTAAGGAATATTAGATGAATAAACTTTACCATTTTAATTCTAAAAAGTCTTTTTTTTTTATTTGCAAAGTTTTCTTGTCTTCTTGCTAATCAATTGATATATGAAACACAAAAGCTCTGAAAGTGATCTTTTTGATGATAAAATTCACAAACAAAAGTATCTGGTCGTGGTACATCTTTCGATAAATTATCTCTGGAAAATTGTTGTACTTGGTGACCCTCACTTTTGTTAATAAGAATTCAGTATGCGAGGTCTATGATGCTAACTTTTACTTATTGCTTTGAGTGTAAAAATGAAATTTCCAAACAAAACTTCTGCTGCAGAAAAGGAAAGAAAAATCATGAATTTATGAAAGCTGTACTTAAATTATATAAATTTAAGATACTATCACGAAAAACAAAAAAATCCTAACCTCTTCTCCTATCAGAAATGGTGTTTGCTTGGTCTCTGACCATTTTTGTGGACAAATTACTTCAGTTACTTGACCTCTGGCATTATTATTATAACTGTATATCTACAATAGAAAAATTAAGAACATTATTTTTCAACAATAAAATATAGCACTTTATCCAATATGAATACATAATACAGTATATTAATTGCACTGCAATGAGGAACATGCACCAATTTCATATGATTTGATAAGGTATGACAATTTCATTATTTAAAAACTGCATGCAATTTTTATGCTATATGAATACAAGTGATAAAGCACAATTCAAATGAAGCACTGTGAACCTCTTGTGCTATTTTGTGCTTCTTTATTCTTTAAAACTTATCAAATCTGTATTCAATTCTTAACCTCTCAGGCTAGTTAACTTTTACTAGTAAAATTGTTCTTTAAATAATTCGGTATTGAAAACAGATCTATGTTTTGGTAGGTTAGTCTCAGTAAAAATAAAAGAACAGAGTTCCAATGTCCCCCGCGTTGCACATATTTTATCTATCAAAGGTACAAGGGCCATAACTAAAAAAACCACTTTTTTTTTGTTCTTTAAAACATTTTATCAATATCTTAGAGAAATAAAGGAGCCAGAGCAATTGTAATGTGATTTCAATTATAATTAATATTTCCAAGGGGCATAACTCGTTAAAAATATTTGATCAGAACTTATTTTCCATAAATTTAATATTTCCAAGGGGCATAACTCTTTTTAATAAAATGCTTCGCTGGGCGCAGCTTGATACGACCGCAGAGGTCGAACCCTGAACAGTTGGGGCAAGTATGGACACAACATTCAAGCTTGATACAGCTCTGAATTTGGATTGTGATTAAATATTTGACACAGCATAGGTTTCTGACACAGAAAGAATGTGGTCTAAGAACTTCAATTTTTTTAATTTACCTATTATGGTCCAATGTCCAAAATCAAAATACATGGTTAGATTCAGCATAACAAAGAACCCCATTTATTCAATTTTTGTTGAAATCAAACAAAGTTTAATTTTGGACCCCAACTTGGACAAACTTGAAAACTGGTCCCATAATCAAAAATCTAAACACATGTTTAGATTCAGCATATCAAAGAACCCCAATAATTAAATTTTTGATGAAATCAAACAAAGTTTAATTTTGGACCCTTTTGACCTCAATATGAACCAATTTGATAGCGGGTCCACAAATATAAAAAATCTAAATACATGGTTAGATTCAGCATATCAAAGAACCCCAAGAATTCAATTTTTGATGAAATCAAACAAAGTTTAATTTTGGACCCTTTTGACCTCAATGTGGACAAAGTTGATAACGGGGCCCAAAAATCAAAAATCTAAATACATGGTTAGATTCAGCATATCAAAGAACCCCATATATTCAATTTTTGTTGAAATCAAACAAAGTTTAATTTTGGACCCCGATTTGGACCAACTTGAAAACTGGGCCCATAATCAAAAATCTAAATACATGTTTAGATTCAGCATATCAAAGAACCCTAAAAATTCAATTTTTGTTAAAATCAAACTAAAAGTTTAATTTTGGACCCTTTTGACCTTAATGTAGACCAATTCAAAAAACGGGACCAAAAAATTAAAAATCTAAAAACAAGGTTAGATTTGGCATATCAAAGAACCCCAATAATTCAATTTTTGATGAAATCAAACAAAGTTTAATTTTGGACCCTTTTGACCTCAATATGAACCAATTTGATAGCAGGCCCACAAAATAAAAAATATAAATACATGGTAAGATTCAGCATATCAAAGAACCCCATATATTCAATTTTTGTTGAAATCAAACAAAGTTTAATTTTGGACCCCAATTTATACCAACTTGAAAACTGGGCCAAAAATCTAAAATCTAAATACATGTTTAGATTCAGCATATCAAAGAACCCCATATATTCAATTTTTGTTGAAATCAAACAAAGTTTAATTTTGCACCCCAACTTGGACCAACTTGAAAACTGGTCCCATAATAAAAAATCTAAACACATGTTTAGATTCAGCATATCAAAGAACCCCAAAAATTCAATTTTTGTTAAAATCAAACTAAGTTTAATTTTGGACCCTTTGGACCTTAATGTAGACCAATTTAAAAAACGGGACCCAAAATTAAAAATCTAAATACACGGTTAGATTTGGCATATCAAAGAACCCCAATAATTAAATTTTTGATGAAATCAAACAAAGTTTAATTTTGGACCCTTTTGACCTCAATATGAACCAATTTGATAGCGGGCCCACAAATAAAAAATCTAAATACATGGTAAGATTCAGCATATCAAAGAACCCCATATATTCAATTTTTGTTGAACTCAAACAAAGTTTAATTTTGGACCCCAACTTGGACCAACTTGAAAACTGGGCCCATAATCAAAAATCTAAACACATGTTTAGATTCAGCATATCAAAGAACCCCAAGAATTCAATTTTTGTTAAAATCAAACTAAGTTTTATTTTGGACCCTTTTGACCTTAATGTAGACCAATTTGAAAACGGAACCAAAAATTAAGAATCTAAATACACGGTTAGATTCGGCATATCAAAGTCCCCCAATAATTCAATTTTTGATGAAATCAAACAAAGTTAAATTTTGGACCCTTTGGACCTCAATGTGGACCAATTTAAAAACGGGGCCCAAAATCCAAAAACTTAATACACGGTTAGATTCAGCATATTAAAGAACCCCAAGAATTCAAGAATAAAACCCCATTGAAATTGATCAAGAAATAAGCAATTTATACGAAGTATCTTCTTTTGCACAATACTGTGCAATTGAATATTTCTTGCTATTGTGCAATACTGTACAATTGACAATTTCTTGCTATTGCGCAATATTGTGCTATTGGATATTTCTTGCTATTGCGCAATACTGTGCAATTGAAGATTTCTTGCTATTGCGCAATACTGTGCAATTGAAGATTTCTTGCAATTGTGCAATACTGTGCAATTGAAAATTTCTTGCTATTGCACAATACTTATTATATAATAATTTACACATCCTGTTTGGTGTGTATCTCCTACCATATCATTATTATTTGCTTTTAAATATTAATCAGAAATATCCAACTTAAAATGGAAAATTTTAAAAGAAAAAAAAAAGGAAAAAAAGAAAAAAAAAGAAAGAAAAAAAAATCCCCCCCCCAAATTTTTTGAACCCCCTTATGATTCATCACCCCCAAACTCAATCCCAGCCTTCCCTTTGTGGTATGGTACCTTGCAGTACAATTTCAGAGAGATCCATACACTTGAACACAAGTTATTGTCTGGAAACTAGAAAAATGCTTATTTTTGGCCCCTTTTTGGCCCCCAATTCCTAAACGTTTCGGGCAATTACCCCCAAACTCAATTCCAGCTTTCCCTTTGTGATATGGAACCTTGTAGTACAATTTCAGAAATATCCAAACACTAACACACAAGTTATTGTCATGAAACTAGAAAAATGCTTGTTTTTTGCCCCTTTTTTGGCCCCTAATTCCTAAAATTTTGAGGCAATTACCCCCAAAATCAATTACAGCCTTCCCTTTGTGATATGGAACCTTGTGGTACAATGTCAGAGAGATCCATACACTTACACACAAGTTATTGTCTGGAATTACAAAAATGCTTATTTTTGGCCCCTTTTTGGCCCCTAATTCCTTAACTGTTGGTACCATAGCCCCCAAAATCAATCCCAACCTTCCTTTCGTGGTATTGAACCTTATGGTAAAATTTCATGGAGATCCATTCACTTAAACTAAAGTTAGAGTGCGAAAACCAATGTGTCTTCGGACGACGCCGGACGACGCCAGACGACGACGACGACGACGACGACGACGCCAACGTCATACCAATATACGACCAAAAAATTTTCAATTTTTGCATTCGTATAAAAAGTCGATCGGCCACCATTATACAACTTGTCCCAGATATTGCTGATATTAACCTATAGTATAAGTTTTATAAAAATCTGGCAAGAACTGTACCTGTGAGAGTGTTTACAAGACTGGACGGATGGACATGGACGGGCATACGCCCGGTATTTCTATTTCCCCCACAAAAGCGTGTGGGGGACAAAAATTTACAATCAGTCTAGACTCAAAATTTGAGCTTGATAACTGGCACAGACACTTGTCTATGACTGAAGACATATGTTGTCTTTGCAATGTCTTTTTATGTATTATCATATTGTATTGTTAATGAGTCATAAAATGCTTACACCTAATCTCTTTTTATTCATTTTCAAATTATTTTCAATTTTTTTTTGTATGAAATATAGTTTAATTTTGTATGTATACTTTTAACACATTAAAGTTCAAAAACTTATTTGCCATGTGATATAGCAATGTTTTGTTTATGGTAGTGTATGATGATTCTATCCATGTTGAATTATTATTCAACTATAACTCAAATAGCATGTTAAAGAATAGCTTACCAGTTTTTGTGAAGTTGGTTGTCTATATTCTCCAGTAGATGTTGGTCTGGAGGCCACAGCTTCCTCCGATTGTTTCAGTCCATACTTCTGTAATGCTTTAACATCACTGTGCTAAAATTAGATCAACATGGTCAATCACTAAATACACAAAAAAGAAAAGAAACATGTTTTTCTGTTGGCATTTTATTACTGTCATTGTATATTTTGTGTCTTCAATGAAGCTTTTAACTATCAGTTTTGTCCAGATGAAATGTTATTTTATAAATATATACTTTTTTGACAAACATGTCCAAGGCATGATACCTAAGTAAATCACATACAAAATCAAAGTGCTTGTAAGCACTAAAGGGTAAAGACTGATTTAATTTATCAGTGGTAAGTAAAATTAAATATTGCATTGTATAAAGCATTGGTTGTACAATGTACAAAAAATGTAGTTGATTCAACTAGAATTCTTGACAAAGGAAGATAACTCCAATTTTTAAAGATGACTTTAACAATGACATCATTGATATTTTTAGAACAGATATTAGATTCCTGCATCTTGCAAAAGTTATGTAATTTTCTTGACAAGTACAACATCATTTTGTGAATTGAATATCTTAGCATATATTTCATTGATAAATTTCTGGAAATGTTCATGGATAGGATGTATAGAATGTTATGATCAATGCACTACATTTTGTGTATCTCAAAAGTAGTGATAAATCTTGGAAGATTAAGATATCAAGTCAGTACCATAGGGTTTTGATTGCATTTCATGCAATCTTTACCCAAAAATATACAGAAAAATATATCAAAATTGGTTAAACAATTAATATTACATCTAAAAATTAAAAAACAACATTGCTTTTGGTTTATTTTGGCCAAAACTTTTTAAAACAGATGGCCCAGAATCTTCATTTGAAATCCCAACCTTCAATCACTGACAATAAAATTTATTGCCAATGTACTTATGCCATTTTGAACACATGATCTATTTTTGAATTATGCCATTTAAGTAATCTAGCTACACAAGTCTGCACTTGGACCACAATGTTAATGAATACTACATGTACAACATCATCATACAATTAAAACTCCTAAAAAAATAAACAACTTTATAGTTTATACTTTTACCTGACATTCTGGTCTGTTAATCCATGGTTCTGTTTTCTGGTAAGTAGTTCTCCGTGCTATACAGTGAGGTATGGTTACTGGATATGTGTCAGAGGCCCTCCCAAGTCTTAGATTTAATGATCCAGGATGTATAATCACTACAGTTGCTGTTTGTATAGGCTAAACAAAAAATAATGCCAATGTTATTGTATTCATTCAAATCATTATTTTGTAAGAAATTGCTATTGTTACTAAAACTTATATACAAGAATTCAATAAGAAAAGTTGAAAACTCTTAAGTATCACAACATTTTGTTAAGAGCAGGATACAAATGTTTGAATAACAAATTTAAATAAAAAGTTTCATTTCTTTCATTTTAAATGTAAACTTCTTTAAAAGAGGTGGGCTTTGGTGGCCGAGTGGTCTAAGTAGTCCAACTACTGTATCACTAGGCAGTCAACACTGAGGTTGTGAGTCCAAAACTGATTTACCAGGAAGCTACAAGCCTATGACATGTATGAAAACATCAAGGCTACTATTTTATTTAAACTCATAATCAAAATATGGTTCTTGAGAAAAATTGTTCAATTTTCTATAAATTTGTGCCATTTTCAATAAAAAGACTCAGCTAAGAAAATTTCATTGTAATTTTAAATAATTCAGCAAACAGAGCTTAAACAGCTGCCTGCATCCAAAATAACTTCAATTCTCCTGGCAGAACTTGAAGCCATTCATTTAGTCTTGGATTTCAATGGTAGAGTTGAAAACAAAACAATGATTGAAGAAGTTAAAATTTTCTGACAGCCATTCAGCAATTGGAATGCTTTCCATTAACTGGAAGATAGAAAATAATAGGTCAACTACTAATCAAATACTTCTAAAAATTAAATCAATACTGCACCAACATGGAATAAAAATTATTTTCAAATGGACCCTGGTTATGCAAGTGTACATGGAAACCAAATTGCTTACATATTAGAAAAAGAAACAGCAAAGCAAGCTAATGTCATATCCAATGAATTAGGAAGCCCAAAGCAGGACTTAACAGCAATAAGAGCTTTCGTAATTAAAAAATGTTGACAAAGTTGGGACCATAGAAATGTAGGAAGATTTTACTAAAATTTTCATCAAAATGTAGAAGAAAAAGTGTTACATTATTTCAAAGATAAAAAGACATCATGTATGTATTATTAGTAATTTAAGATACAGGATACTTCCTAAAAAAGACCAACATAACCTTAACATAAATACAGATCCAAAGTGTGAATGTTGTCAACATGAAACCATGAGCCATCAGTTTTTATGAATGTTACAAAGATGTAAGGCAAAAACTAATATAAGAGTTGTTTTTTCATACAGGCATACACCTAGAATAAGAACTTTTAGTATCAGTATAAAAGAGCAACAACTCTCCCATCTCAAGGACAATACTTCAGAGTTTTTGGGGAAATTTCATCAATTGCCACCAATTAGCACACTGAGTTAAGCACAAGTGAAAAGAACAGTGATCATCCAGTGTCCAGAGTAATATTTGGGTCCCATATGTTCCACCAGAAAAACCTAAATTAATGGAGGAATTTTGTAATGTTATTAAAAAAGAAAAATTGAAAAATCTAATTTTATTAGGTGACTTAAACGCAAAAAGTATGGAATGGAATAATCCTAAGGAAAACTCACATGGTAAACTATTGGAAAACTGTATGACAACATCAAATTTAATATGTACAAATGATGGACAATATACTAGAAGAAATAGTTCAAGTGTAATTGACATAGCACTTGTCTCGCAAGAAATATACAATTCTGTCTCAGACTGCATTACTCTTACTCATGAAACTGTACAATCCGACCATATTGCTGTATACTTAAACATCCAAAGTGAAGAAAATGTTGAAATAGAAGAAATAGATGAAACCTGGAACTTGAAAAAAGCAGATTGGAAAAAATGGAAAGAATCAACAAAAGAGAGATTCCAAAATTTTATATTTAATAGAGAGGAAAAGGTACAAGATTTGTATAACAGATTTGAAAAGGAAATTATGGAATGCATGGAAGAGTCAATTCCAAAAATTGAGAAAAAAAAGTTCTTTGCTCATAGGCACCCGGTTTGGTGGGATGACGCTGTAAAAGATAGTAAAAAAAGCCTTAATCAAGCACAACGTAAATTCAAAGTTAAATGTACTCCGAATAATTTTGAAAATCTCAAACAAGCAGAAATTAATTTCAACAAAGTGAAGGATTTGGCTCAAGAGGAATGGGGAAACAACCTAGCAGAAAAGCTTTCAAACGCATCTAATGTCAAGGACAAATGGAGTGTATTTAGAAAAATGACAAAGAAGAAAAATAATAACATGGTACTTCCATTTGTTGATGGAAATGGAAACGTAACATTTTAAGAAGAAGAAAAATGTCAAGAACTAGAAACAACTTTCTTCAAGGGAAAACACTTAAATCCCATTTCCTTAAATGCAGAATTTTATGAAGAAATAATGGACAAATATCATTCTATCTCAGAGGATGAAGAACAACATTTAGAGGATGACAATGATATTAATATCAACTTTGCCATAGAACAAGATGAGCTGGCTGGTGCAGTTTACAGACTAAAAAATGAAACTTGTCCAGGACCTGATAATTACTTTTCATTACTATTTATTAATGGAGATGATAATCTGTATAGCACTTTATTATATATAATGAACAAATCATGGGATGAAGGTTCCTTACCAAAATCATGGAAACAAGCAAATGTCAAGTTCATCAAAAAAATTGGTAAACCAAACTACAATAATCCGTCATCATATCGTCCAATTAGCTTAACAAGCATACTAGGTAAACTAATGGAGAGAATAGTAACATCAAGGTTAGAAGGTTATGTAGAGTCAAAATTTATATTAGATAAAGAACAAGAAGGTTTTCGACATTGCCGCTCCACCGACAATGCTTTATTATCTTTTGTTCAAAACATCTTAAATGGATTTAATAAAGATGAAAGTACTATCGCATTAATGATTGACCTAGAAAAAGCCTATGATAGTGTTTGGAGAGAAGGACTTTTAACAAAATTACATGGATATGGAATTAAAGGTAAAATCTGGAAATGGATAGAGAATTTTTTAAAAGACAGAGAAGCAAGATGTAATATAAACAAGCATCAGGGACAATGGTTTAAAACTCAAATTGGGCTTCCACAAGGCTCAGCTATATCCCCCTTACTTTTCAACATCTTTATTATTGATTTTTTTGCTAAAATTTCCTCTAACAAATGTAAATTTGCTGATGATGGGACAATCTGGAAAACAGGCAAAGACAAACATGAATTAGTGAAGGAGTTACAAAAAGATATTAACTCTATCCATGAATGGTCAACAAAATGGAGAATAAACCTCAGTATAGAAAAAACAGAATTTTGTGTATTTTCCAGAAATGGTATGACAAAGGAGGACATCAAGATAATGTTACAAGGAAAGGAATTAAAATACAATCCAAACCACAAAATTTTAGGCCTTACTTTAGATGAAAAATGTGATTTCAATAAACACATAGACACTGTTGAGCAAAAAGCACAAAAGTCCTTAGGGATAATCAGAAACATCAAGGGAATAGCAAAGGTATCTACAAAAATTTTAATACAAATATATCAAAGTATAGTGCTGTCTACAATGTTATATGCTAGCAGTGTATGGCAAATCAACAACAACACGCATATAAATAAATTAAATGCTATTCAAAGAAAAGGATTAGCCTTATGTCTCAACCTACCAACTACAGCTAGTATAGAAGCCTTAGAAGTAGTAGCAGGAATACTTCCACTGGACCTCAAAAGAGAAGAAGCCGGTATAAGACAAATTGCAAAAATAAAATCATATAAAATCACTATCCCTATTAAACAAATTTTTGAAGATTGGAAAAATATAAATGAACATGAAAAAATAATCTCACCAATTGGAAGAATGGTATTACAGTCTGAAGATATGAAGAGGTCAACAGAGATTGATTCTGATTGTATAGAGTCTCAATTTGAATTCCGAGGGTTAGCAGCCTCAAAATCACCACCAGAGTATTGGAAAAATCTCGGAAGTTCAAAGTCTAGATCAGAGGAACAAGCATTTCAGGGAAAGACTATTATTTTGGAAAAAATACATCAACTAAAAAAGAATACAACATTAGCTTTCACTGATGGCTCCTGCAAAGGAAACCCAGGTCCATGCGGGGCTGGGGCAGCTATTTTAATATCAAACAGCACAGAACATGTGGAGTTAACACAGCCAGTTTCCAATAGAGGATCTATTTTATTAGGGGAATTAGTAGCTATCAAGCTGGTAATAGATTTTCTTATAATTCCAAACAACAGAAAAAACACTGAATCCATCAAAATTTTCTCAGACAACCAATCAGCAATTGGAATTTTAACTTTAAATTGGAAATCAGATAATTACGGCAAAACTATTCATGATATTAAAATCGGTATATTGGCACTAAAATCTGAAGGAATCATTGTTTCCATTGAATGGACCCCTGGACACGCTGATATACAAGGTAATGAACTAGCAGACCAACTAGCTAAAAAAGCAGCAAAAGAGGCAGAAAAAATACAAAGCATTCCAATATTTACAAAACAAGATATACAAAAAGGAGCAAAAGACAGTGTAATGTTAAAATGGCAAAACCGATGGGACACCAGTGATAAAGGAAGAAGATATTATTCCTTTCAACAAAATGTAAAAAATACAATTCCAAAAGACAAACCTTCAACTGAAATATATTGGATAACTACTAGTTTTAGAACAGGATATTGTAATTTAAACTCTTACAAATCAATGATATGCCCAGCACTCATCGACAAATGCAGCTGTGGACAAATAGAAACAGTTGACCATTATCTACTGTATTGTGAAAATTATGAGGAGGCTAGAGAGAAACTCCGCTCTGCACTCTACTTCATAACATCAAAACTAACACTTGAATCAGAAGTATTATTAGCAACAACAGAAAATGAAAATTACAAACATCACATAGAAGATATTCAACATTTGTTAGGGGTCTTTATTAAAGATACTGGAAGATTCACAAAATAGATAGTTAAGGTTTTATAAGGGTTAATTATTTATTCCCTTTTTTTTTTTTTTTTTTAATTAATTATTTAATTATTTATTTATTTATTTATTTATTTTTCTCTGCAGTGCCACATCATAAATACAAATGTACTTATGAGTTTTATACAATAGTGACATAAAATTACCAGAGTGATCGAAAGTACAGAGAGATTATAGTGTCAAGTTGACACTTCTAAAGACTAAAAAAAACACCTACAGTAATCCTTATTAAGCAGTGGTCTCATTAGCCCAAAATAGAAGGGCGTCGCGCCCTGGGTGCCCTCAGCCGCGCCCTGGGTGCCTTCATCCACGCCCTTCTGCCCTGACACTTTTTTCCCAAAAACCCTTGTGCCGTTTTGGTAAAATTGCCTTTTGTTTCATTGATTTCTTATCACAAAGTTAAATTACATATATGACACCAGGTGATTGCCCCCAGGTTAATCATGTCATTACAATCAATTACAGTGGATAAGACTTCAAAGGTGTTAATACCTATAGGTAATTTAATTAAGACAATGTACCTTTTTGTCATAAATTTGATGAATGTGTCAGTGAGTGTTTTTAGCTTGGGTCGGCATTTTCAATCTCCAAGAAGAGTGTATAAATGAAGACTTTCATGACTTTAGAATAGAATTTTAGTCATCAAAATACAACTATGCCTTCACAGAAACGCCATCCATCTCAACTTGTGAGCGACAAGCAAACAGTAAAAGTGTTAGAAATTAATTTTGGAGTTACTTCCCCTGTTTTAGCTTATTACACATTTGTGCTCCTAAAATATTATCTAGTATTAAAAATAGGAATAAATTACCAATTGAATACAAAATTATATAAGAATGTTACCTTAAGGATATTAACTGTCTTTGAACATACCAAAAAAAATATATTGCAATTTATTTTTGATAATCATACTTTTAGCAATCCATGTTCTATACATTGCCAATTAAGAAATTTAAAACTTCAATTATTATGATGATGTTAAGCTGCAATCCTACATAAATGGGTAGTGTGAAGTTAAACTATCATGACATCAACTTGATGAAGCTTTACTAAATAATTCCTTAACACAAATAATGAAAAAAAGTTTTGAGGGCCAAACTCTAGCTGAAAATTTTGAAATAAGACAACTCTGTCACATGTATGCTAAACTATGAGATGTTTAGTTTATGTTGTTTTTTTTTGGAAAAGGGGGAGGGGGTGGGAGAATAGTAAGTTAATTTGCCTCTATTGGTTTATAGTGATGTGATGCATGAATGTGTATTGACATGTTTTATGAACATGTCGTATGAATTACATTTTCTAATGCAAATTTTATAGAATAAATAATCAAAACAACAACTTATGCATCTTTATTAACAACATATACAGTAAAAAAAAGAATGTGAACTCGTGATACACACAGAAACGTAGACAAAAGAAATGAGCAGTGCCTTTTCCTTTCATAAAAAAGTGCCCTGCCCTCCACTGGCACCCTGCCCCTTTTGATTTCTAGCTGGAGCACTGTTAAGGATGGTGTTTCCTGAGGGATTTTCCAATAGTGCCTTTCTTATTTGGTAAATCTCCAGATAACAAAATAACTCAAATGAGGGATTGTCACTCATTTGGGGAAAAGTTCCCCATTGGTTGGGTTGTCCCTTACCTGTTTACATGAATAAAATAAATGGAGAATGTGTCCATGGGACACAGATGATGCCCCTGCTTGCATATAAATCACGCATTTTCTTGCTTATTTGGCGGCATTTTCCTTTGATCTATTGTTTTTTCTCTTTGATCTTTACGATTTTGGTCAAATCTCACGCATTTGCATTATTAAAAGTTGGCAGAACTGTATAATGTTATAAAGAGACATAACTAGAGAACTGTAAAAGTGACACCATAATAAGGGGCATAATAAATACAAGAGTACATAAAATCAAATATCATTTAACAATAAAGATGTATTTATATAAAAAGTGAGGGTGAAAAAACTCTTTGGGAGAACGTGTTATGTGGCCAAACAGAGCCCAGTAAATGTTGACAAAATATCCTTCTACCGAGTAAAATCCGGTAATTTCGTTCGTCCTATAAATCTGTTTATTTTTATTGACAAAACTGCAAATGAACAGCTCTCCAGGACGAATGAAATTCAAATACCGGTCAACTTTTTTTATCGGTCCAATTAATTTCTTTCTAAAATGGCAAATCACTGCCATATGGAGTCAAATCAAATGGGGTAAGAACAATTTTGTCATATTTAACAGCTCTTTTCATTACTTCATTGGTCGGGTCCGGTGTTTGTGTATACAGTCTTTTTGTTGCATTTGTAGGCATGATTTTTCAGAGCTTTGGTTCATGTGTTGTGTTTACGTCATCATTTTTGTGAAGAAATAAAGAAAATCCATAACGGACTCGGGGATAGTTTCCGAAAATTCAGATAACTAACTGATAGCTCAGTATTTGTCGAATCTCGAGAGCTTTTTTGACAATAAAAGACGTTAAATAAAAAAAAAACTACAAATTCATTTTTTTTCAAACTCAAAAATGAATCAAAAAAAGAAACAGCTTAAACTTAAAACAGGGGGGGGGGGGGGGGGGGGGGGAGACATTTTCGGGACGCCGGGATCGGCCGAATTTAGCAACGGGAAATCGGGATTGCCTTGTTTAAAGATCGGGAATTCGGGATAGAAAAACATCGGGATACGGGAAAGCCACGTTTTTAGCCACGGGAAATCGGGATTTTTAGACTTTCCATCTAGTCGTAGAGCTGACAAAGAATCTGATAGTTTAGAGAACATTAGTTTAGAGGTTCACTTAAATAACACCAAATGGCTGATGATGGGTATTTATAAACCCCCATCAGTACCTGACAACAACTTTTCAGATAACTTTACAAAAAATATAGACAAGTGTATAATTAACTATGATAATATTTTATTACTTGGTGATCTAAATTTTGACATGTTAAATAGTAAAAAATGTCAATCTATGAATGACATATGTGATATCTTCAACTTGTCACAATTAATATCAAAACCAACTTGTTTTATGAAAGGGTCTAAACCCTCACTTCTTGATGTTATACTCACAAACCGTGAAGGAAAATATGTGTTTTAACACCCACTTTTTATCTACAGGTATTAGTGATTGTCATAATCTTATATCAGTTACAATCAAGGGCAAAGTTCATGCCCCAAAACAGCAAAAAATATCATACAGAAGTTATAGAAATTTTGATATAGATAAATTTAACACAGATCTAAACCAAATAAAAATGCCACTTACAGAAAATGTCACAAATTCTGAACAGTTAAACCAGGCATACAATGAATTTGAAGATACATTCACAAATATTCTAAACAAACATGCACCGATCAAAACAAGACAACCAAGAAAACAACCATTATCGTGCATGAATAGTGAACTTAGAAAAGCTGTATATCGCAAACACATGCTGTACACACAATTTACAAAGCATAAAGATTCAAAAACATGGGAAAAATATAGAAAACAGCGAAACCTTGTTACAAAACTTAAAAAAGTATCCATGAAAAATTATTTTTTAGAACGTTGTTCAGGTTGGGCAAAAAACAGTAACTTTTGGACAACTATAAAGCCGTTTTTCTCAAAAAAATGCCACTCAGGGGAACAAAAAATTGTTTTATGTGAAAACAGCAAAATCATAAACAACACCAAAGATGTTTCAGAACACTTTAACACATTTTTTTCGACAGTTGCAGACAAGATTGGTAGTGACGTGATATACGACCCACCAACTCATGCCAGTATCTTGCAAATAAAAGATCAAAACTGCACTAACACAAAATTTGATTTTCAGAAAACAACAACAGAAAAAGTAGCAAAAATTATTAACAAACTTAACATTAAAAAAGCTACTGGAGTAGATGGCATACCAGCAAAAGTAGTGAAACATTGTAAACCGATAATTGTGCCACAGTTAACAACACTTATAAATCTATCTGTAGAAACTGGAGTTTTTCCTGATAAACTCAAGCAGGCTCAAGTAACACCACTGCACAAGAAAAACAACCAACTTGACAAAGCCAATTATAGGCCTGTCAGCGTTCTACCAATTTTTTCTAAAATTAATGAAAAGGTTTTTGAAATTCAACTTGGTGATTTTTTTGAAATTATTTTTCATCCCTATCTGTGTGCTTTTAGACGTGGCCATGGGTGTCAGACCTCACTGTTACGACTGCTAGAAGATTGGCGTGCAGCATTAGATAAAAACCAGTATATAGCTGCTGTTTTAATGGACCTTTCAAAGGCTTTTGATTGCCTACCACATGAAATTCTGCTTGATAAATTATCAGCATATGGTGTCTCTGTTCATTCTATTTCACTACTTAAATCTTATTTGACAAACAGGAAACAACAAATTAAAATAAATAGTATTCTTAGCAGTTGGGCTGACATTCATAAGGGGGTTCCCCAGGGTTCTATCCTGGGCCCCCTTCTATTCAATGTTTTTATCAATGATATATTCTTATTTATAAAAAATGGAACTTTGTATAATTATGCAGATGACAATACTTTATCTTACTGTAGTCCTGATTATGATGTTTTGATTTCTACTTTGGAATCTGAATCACTCAAACTTATTGAGTAGTTCAAAATAAATAAAATGCAGGCAAACCCCGACAAATTTCAGGTCTTAGCAGTTGGGAAAAAGACATATAACAAAAATCCATCTATACGTATCCAAAGTGCTGATCTTTCGTGTGAGTCAACTGTCAAATTACTTGGCATTGACATAGATTATCAGCTAAATTTTGATATTCATATTGGTAAAATATGCAGGAAGGCATCTCAGCAACTAAATATTTTGAAACGTTTGGGAGCTTATCTGAACAAGCTAAGTAAGCTTACTATTTTCCATACATTTATTTTGTCAAACTTCAATTTCTGCCCTTTGGCATGGCATTTTTGTACCGAGAAAAAAGTAAAAAAAAATAGAAAAGTGCAAGAAAGAGCACTAAGGTTTGTGTACGAAGACCATTCAAGCTCATATCAACAGTTGCTTGAAAAGGCTAAGATGCCTTCACTGCATATTAAAAGACAAAGATCTATGGCAATTGAAACTTTTAATATAGTCAATAAATTAGCACCTGTCTGTTTACATGATTTATTAAATGTAAAAGATTGTAAATATTCTTTCAGATATAGTAATATACTGGATATACCACTACACAGTTTGGTAAGAAAAGTTTTAAATTTGCAGCTACTACTCTGTGGAACAGCCTTCCTGACCATTTCAGGACTGAAAACAGTTTTTGTCAATTTAAGAGCCTTATACAGTCTTGGAATGGTTCAAAATGTTGTTGTTCTGCTTGTAGATAAGCTTTGTCATATTTTAGAAGTTGCTCTAACATGTTATTATGCCTTAAATTTTTGCATGTGTGCTATATTTTATTTGTGCTTAATTTTAGTTGTGCTTAATTTTAAGTTGTGCTTCAGCTTTGGCTTTAGATATGTATTTTAAAAGTGCTTTGCATGTATTTCGATATGACTGTGCTGTTATATATCCTGTCTGCATGTTGTGTGTTTTAATGTTGTGTTTGTGTTACCTTATATTCGGTAAAAAGCTCTTAAGAGCTTATGTTTGTATTGTTATATGTGAACCGAATCAAAATAAAACTTTCGTATTCGTATTCGTATTCGTATGTTGAAATATAATGGGATTGACAAAAAACTGTACCTTGGACAGATAAAAGTGCCATTTTCATTATACTTCAATCAGAATCGCATCTATAGAAACAGAGTAGATCCAGATCAGAGTACATGTAACAGTAAGTTTAGAGATAAGCTTTGAGCTCGGATCAGGTCCTCAATTATACCGTTAAACGATTTTGATTTAATTACATATAAGATAGATAAGATAAGATAAGTTTTATTTTCCAAATTAGGTCCCCAGGGGGGCATATACACATAACATATAAAATTGATACAACATACAGTATTTTACATGACATTCATATAATAAACTTCAACTATTGAAATAAAGTCATACAGGTATTATATGTTAAATAAAAAGTATTTAAGAGTTGCTACTCCAGAGATGTGGCAAACTTTTTTTTCTCACTTGATTTTAAAATATTTTGCTGGAAATGTATAAATATAAATATAAATTATTGTTTCAAGCTGCAACAGACACCAAGGGACGATGCTCTAGGATTGTGAGCTTAAAAGCTCTAACAATCCTCCTCGTATCTGATGCAGAAAAACAAACACAAATGCGAAAAAAAAGTTCATGTGTATTCACAGCAAATAAAGTATACTGCAGTAATAGGTATTGAGAATAGTGTAGGTTTCCCTACTGCAACAGACACCAAGGGGCGGGTACTCAAGGAGCTGTGTTATTTACACAGTCCTCCTCGTGTCTGAAGCAGACAAGAAAGCCACATAATTAACAATTTTTCGAAATAAATTTACATGCAGCAGTGAGAATTGACTTATCTTCTGTGTTCATAAGCCTAATCAGTTTATCTCTTGCGTTAACAGTTAAAAAGTTGGGGGCAACTTTTAGTTATCTCTTGAAATAGATGAATGCGGTCATCATTAAATTTAACACAATGGAATAGAAAATGATATTCATCCTCCACATCTCCGGAGTTACAACGAGTACAAGTTCTGTCATTTAGGAGAGTACCCTGATACCTTCCGGACTCAATTCTTAAGTGGTGTGATGAAATTCTGAGCTTTGTTAAGCTTCGTCTCTGTTCAAAATTCCTTATAATGGAAAGATATTTTTCTCTTCCAAAAACTGATTTAAATGTAACATAAGTTCTAAGTTTACCATCTGAATGCTTTACCAATTCAGTGTTCCACAAGTCTATAAAATATGATTTTAATTTTTTTTTCATATTAGCTTTGAAGCTATTAATTTTTGGTAATGGTAAAGATATATGATTGATGTCTTGGATCATTTCAAGAATTGACTTCATAGAGCCATATCAAGATGGTTTTTTTTGAATGAGAAAGATTTTGTGATGTTACATAAGCATCTTTAAGAAGAGAAAATGTGGAATCAAGATTTTCCAAGCCAATTCCATACATAAACTTCCTGTAGCAGACGATGCTTTTTTGAAAGTCATCATGACAGAAGATTCTCAAATTATATCAATTCGAACCCTTTTGTTGTTCTTAAGGAAAAAAACAAACAATGTGCTAAAGGACAGCGAAAGCTGCACTGACTTAAACAAATTTAAAAAAATATGTAATCAATTATTGTGGAATTAATGAATCAGCCTGTGAAAAAGGGATGGGGAGAAATGTTAATACAAAGATAGGACGGCAATACAAAGATGACAAAGGAAAAGTGGAAAACTTTTCCATTAATACACAGCAACAATGGGAT